TTGATCAAGACTGCATAAAACTAGTAGCATAAAATAAAATCACTGTATAATTCGTCGTCTAGACTTTCCATCGGCTCTATTTCATCGTAATATAATCGAAGCTTGGTTAAATAAATAATTTGAATTATACGAAACTTGGCAGCGTTAAATTGTTTGTTAATCTTAAGAGGTCGTTAACTGAGAAAGATGAAGCTTCGTGAAATATTTAAACAATTATATTGTTTGTTCTTTGTAAACAATGATGATCAACATTTTTATGAAATTATCCCAACATCTGTCTTTTTATGAATGTCATCATGAGAAGAGATCTGCCAATAAATAAATCCATCAAATAGAAAGCGAATGATTGATTTACGTTTGGTTCTGTTTGTAAATATATAATTCATATCGAAATATAAAAATACAAAAAGTAGATTTATGATTAAAATGGATATGTTAAGAAAACATTTTATTTTGTTTCCACTTTTAGGATGTCTGAACAGTCTGACAGTAAATATTTCGAATTAAAATAATTTCGCATCTTTGACGGGTCTCAAATACTAAATATTTGTAAATCACACAGTATTTAATATGGAATACTAAATACTGTAAAAACTTAATCCATATGGTATTATAATTTTATAGAGTGCTGTCGATTACAATGACTGAGTTTGAATGTTTAGTAAAGCTTAGATGAAATATATAAAGCACTATATATAATAATAGATAAGAAATCGCTGAAATTTCTATAAATGACAATAAAAATGTATATGCAAGTCCTTAAATATATATTAGATATTTAAAAAAAAGACCGCGAAAATTTAATTTACTGGCGATTTATAAAATAATGAAAACAATGACAAGAAAAATACCAATAAAAGAAGAAATTAATTTTCATTACTATGACATGAAGTTGACAATAATTATAAAGAATTTTAAAGAAAGACAAAGGAAAAATATTAAAGTATCTCCATCTTAAACTATCTCTTTCAATTAATATACATATTTTGAACCCTCTCTTCGTTAACTAAGCGAAACAAATACATCCACAAGTTAGTTATAAAGTATATTTACAGACAATGATTATGTACATATAGTGACTTTTTTATTATATGATGTAAAATGAAAGAAGACAATCAAATATTAAATAACATACTTTTAATATGTACTTAATGAAATTAATACTTGGAATACTATTTAACGATAATAATCTAACAAAATAAGCAAAAACAAGCAATACATATTAAACGATTAAATTGTTGTCTAACAAAGATAAAATAGAATATTTAAAGTAACATTTCTAAAACTAGATTTAAACTCACATTCACAAAGGATTTGTTCACCTTTTAGCAACGAGAACTTAGAGTAACGAGCTTACTTCTATTTATAGTGGGCTGGGATGGCTTTTTGAGAATTTGCTGGTGAAGTACATGTACTGAACTCTAAAGGAGACGTACTATATTTGTTGAACTACAACTAGACTATACTATAGTAATAAGGGTATTTAGTTTCTCAAAGTAGTATATAAATTAATTTTAAAACAACAATACAAGATGCTGGTGCATTTATTGAAACTATTTCGTCTTTGAATAAAACACGCTTTATCTTGTAAAAAACGTCACAAATTACGTAACAACTTTATTTATAATTCCTCAAAGTAATTTTAGTGGCGTGTTTCACATGTCACCGAGGGTCCTTAGCGATGTAATATTGAAGTTTTATTAAACTTGTTATATTATGAAAAGATATTAACTTATAGACCTATTAATAATATTAAAAATAGTTGGGATATTTTCATAATTTGTTAAAGATATTTCTCATATCAATGAATATTTGTGAAAATATCAAATTAAATACTTATAATGTGATATTTCTAAAAATTTCATATATTTTTATTTATATCACTACAGAAAAATTATAATAAATAGAAAATATATTCTTTGTTGAGATTATATTTAAGCTTAAATGTCATGGTACCAATTAAACAATTTAAATAGTTACAAAATACGAGTACGTACACTCAAAGAATTTGTTAAGTCAACAACTCTTCAAAGTTACATGAAAGACGAATATCTTACTTTTTATTCATATCTTTGTATTTCCAAAAGTTATTAGGTCAATACTTTAACTACAGATTCAACTAAGTCTAGTCCAGAATTGAAATCAGAATTACTTTGTAATTTTAAATATCTTTGGACGGGTTTAAACATCAAAAAAATCTGTGAAAGCTTAGTTTCGTTTAAATAACAACAAAACTTTATATTTTAACTGGTGCCCTTATTAAGATCACCCATAACTATCCTCGGCTTAATGTCACGGAAAAGGAAATTACTTTTCCGTGACGTCACTCAGGGTGACGCGGACGTGATGACGTGATGACGTGACATGGTGACGTCATCAATGTTCAGAAGACAAAACAAAATAATAATTTAAATGTAGCATTGTGACTAACATGAATATCAAACTGTATTTAATATTTCATACTATTATTCAATTCATTTATTGTTTATATATTACAAACTTACAAATATTACAAACTTGAAAATTCATATATTACAAACTTACAAACATTTGACATAAAGAAAGTATCAATTAAAAATTAATACAACTTATCTCTTGGTTCTCTATTAATACTGTAATGAAAACACTGTTCCCGTTGTAATGTAATTTATTATTAGAAATTAGAATTATTATGACATGAAAAACTTATAACACACCTTGCTTTATTTTCAACAAAATACTTTTGGACAGAACGAGGAAAAATCTATAAAAAAAATATAAAACTATATATAGAAGAAGAAGGATTCCTAAAAACAAATCTTTACAAAGATCACACCAACACCAGCCTCTTATAAACTTCTAACTTCCCGTCAACTCAATATCGACTCAATGTCACTGTACATATGGTCCATAAACGCATATCCTTATGGTCCGTTATATTTGTATTTTAAACCTTAAGTCTATATCAATAAAAGCTATTCCTGAAACGTTACAAACCCTGATAAGCTCCGTCAAAGCAATCTTTACACTCACTTCGGTCTGGAATCAATGGTTATTGGAATTGGGCAACTATAGATTACAAATATGTAGAGGGAACATCGCCTTGTAATAAATATATATTTGAGAGTAATACTCATCAGAGAGCTCTTAAAGTAACAAATCTATATTTATGAATGTCGACATTTGATATTCTTTGCACACAAAACTTTAATATACTGTCTGATACGAGTTACTTATAATGTTTATTTATAAGGGTGTCTAAAACAATTTAAATGAGTTAAATTTACTTTTAAATAGAGATTATGAAATAAATTTATTTACTTATTCTTTAACAAATAACTGTAAGCGTCTCACTTTCCTATTCATTTTATAACAGTTACATTTTCCGTTTATATACATAGAACGGGTGATAGCTGATACTGGACAGATTTTTTTTCAACTTCTGTGTCTGTTAATAATTCCATTAATGCATATATGTATAACTGAAAGCATTAATTTAATTCAGAGATGAAACTTCTTATTATTCAATGTATTCACCGTGCGGTTGCTGGGTCCATCGTTACAGGAAGAGGAACTTTAACAGTGCCTGGGACTTGAGACCCAGGTGTAGGTTTAAGGGACCCCTATCTAACACGTGTTAAACGCTCTCCTTCACCGTTCAAGCATTCATTAATTAAACAGTTATATATTTTTCTTCGTCATTCTACTAGAAACATTAGTTGTTATTGAAAACAATCCGTTATGATAATAACAATTCACAAAACATTCACTGAACATACATTAACATATTTTAATAAATTATTTAAAATCAAACCAATGTCATTTCCACTGACCGTAATATAATGAAATTGTTGTATTATTGAAATATAATGTTATAATTTGCTTTTAATTTCCTATTTGATTGAACCAAAAGGACAAAGAGAATGAAAAAGTTATCTTATATGAATAATGAAAATGAGAACGTAATTAGGAGTCTTCTGAAATTAAAAGAAAAGACTATAACAATAGGTTGATTCCCTTAAGACTTCTTGTACTGAGAAATTCAAGAAAACAAAAATTTTAAACAGTAATTGCAATAAGTAAAGATATAATATACATTTAGCAGAGAAAACTACAGAAGACTATAATGAGAACAAACTAATGAGATCTAAGACATCGCGATGATTCATTTAAATGAAACTAATATCTTTCAGATTACTATGAGTATTGTATTATTTTAAAACCCACATACTCGAGACGTTTCGGTTACTTTTCAGCAACCGTGATCACGAAGACGAGATGTAGATGAGAATAAACTATATTACTAAAAATTTTCATTTTTATTTTCATCCTTATTTTTTTCACAAAAAAAATCGTTGTAAAGTAAAATATTGAAATAATGGCATATGAATTGGTTTTATTAATAGAAGCTCGGCATAGGATTAAAATATAGATAATCATTGTCATAAATATTTAAGCAGAATAATTAAAAATCTGATTATAATAATGAATACGAACATTGTACTTTTAATATAATTTATTTATAATTCATAAATTAAAAACTAAACCATACATCAGTTTATCAATAATACATTTTCATGACTATATAAAGATATTGCATATATTAAATTAAAATGTTTTCAATAAATTTATTCAGTACAATTTTATTATATATCTAACTAACATGACTATATTAAATGTACTTGTGACATACAAATATTTTATGGTGCTTTAAGATAATACAGAATTGGAGACAACTTGACTTGCTGTTTTGTTTTTCTGTCTGAATGTTACAGATAAAATCTGAATCAGTTAGCTTCTTTGTCTACCTACTAGTAAGTGAACGCCTCATAAAAAGGATAAATAGCTAAACATACATAGAATATCAATAAATCGCTAAAAAATTTAACATATGTAACAAGGTTCAACAAGTATTTTTGTTTGTTACCTTATTTTAAACTTCTTACAAAAACAAATATTAAATTACAGTCGAGTGAATATAAGTAATACAACCTGTGTCCATGTGTGTATCATACTATAGATCAAGGTGAAACCCTAGCATCTGAAATTACAGGAATATTACTAGGAACCTGGTAGTACTGGGGTGTTTCATTCAACGTGGTACCTCCTATGATTCCACCTCCAGCTACCAGCAGCAACCTTCTCTTCTTGTGATGTCGCAGCAGTGACGTCACACTGGTGAAGCTTCTCTCTCCCTTCCTCGCGAAGCCCAAAGCCAAACGGCCGTCAGGTCGCCGGCGTACTCCAACGTTATGGACCGAGTTGGAACAGGAGACAGTCAACGTGTAAGCGTGGTTTGACTGAAATATGAAATCAGTGGTTGAGAAGGGAAGAACCTGACAGGAACACAAGAGCAAATATCGTCAGAAACTTATTATAAAATAATGCACACAGGAACGATAGAATTTTATAGAATACAATGACAGCATAAAAAGAGATCACCAGAAATTCATTCCTCTTCGTAACGCTGCAACAGCCATTAGGGCTAACAACTACAGTCAAGTCGAAGAAACCAAATATTCTATTGAATCTTTATGTTCCTCACCTGGCTCGATGGTCTGAGTATAAATGTTCCATCAGGCTGCCCCATCAGAAGGTTTTCTGCTTCACTCCTATCAACATTAAAGTAGTAAGATTCATTCTCTACAGGGACCGGCAGCGGTCGGGCCGTCATGTCCACATTTTTCTCCCATTGTTCTCCAGACGGCTCTGTCTCCGAACCCTCAGAGTGAGTAGTGTCATTTGTCTCTGAATCGAAGAAAAACAAATCTCTTACTTATATGTGTCTTAATAAATATTTGGAGATTTTGTACCATTCCTCCTTTGTGGTCGTATAAATGACACTAAACTTACAGTGTCGTAGAAATTATGTGACTATGTATTTTATTCTTAAAGAAATATTGCGTTCCAAAAAAATATTACTAAAAGTATAATTTGAATATTTGATTACATGTAGTTGCCTTAAATAATCATATTATATTTAATGGTAGTATTTTATGTTAATGAGCCTGTAGAAGCTTTATAGCAATCATGAATGGAGGGAATGTGAGGCAGAATTACAGTAATAAGGATAAGTAACACCACCTAACAAACCTAAGGTAATCTAAAATTAGTTAGAGTTGATCTTTTAAAATTTAGAGTATAAGTATAGTATAAAGTAAAAAGCAATATATTTATTACGGTAAAACAAGTTTATAAATGACAGTTTTATGAAATAGAAAATTGATAGTATTCTCGTCAACTGTAAAATCCAAACAATTTCTTTGAAGCATTTTGTTAATTTTTACCTGCACCGAATCCTTATAGATAGGATTCTTTGAATCTATATTTATATAGTCCATATTACGAGTATATACTATTATATGAGGACGTCCGATTTAAGTAGTAATGTGGGGATGATGGTTGTAACTTCGCACAAAAACTATATTATATATCTTCATTAAACTTCACACTTATCTAGTATAAACGTCAAAATAAGACGTAATCTATAAATTGTCAGAAAATTGTGTAGATGGTGTATAGTCACGTGACACACACCCCAAATGCCGGTTGACAACCATATTTATAGTTTAAACCTACCTCCACCATTTTTTTCTCAGTCGTTTCGAAGCTCCTGCGACCGAAGCCGCAAATAATAACTAGTTTGGTAATTTAAGGAACTTTTAATTTTGTCCTTGCAATTGATGTTCAAGGACTAAAGATGATGACTAAAGCTCGAACATGGGCTGGCTTGACCGGGGAAGTATCACCCTCTCACAGAAGATCGGCATGAAGCAGTAATTTCTGCGTTTCATCCGTAGAGTGAGAAAGCCGGTTGCCCTTTCCCTATTCCAAGCCCTTTTCTGCTTTTTCCATTTCCTCAACAAGCAAGGTTAGCATCACATCTCCTATGTTGCGGATATCTTTCTCATAAAAAATATATATGTTATAACTCAATTTTAACTATTCTGTCCCCAACAGAAGTGTCACTTATACGCAGCATCAGAAATTTAAAATACAAAGATATTATATTATTATAATAGATCCAGATGTATTGACTCTATTTATTAAGCTACGATTACTTTTTAAACATAAAATAAGTAATTTTTTTAATAAATTCGTTTTGCAACAGTCACAAACAAAGCTAGTATTTTTCCCTTACTTTATTAGTATTTATCCACCCTCTGGAACCATATTAATGTTAAACAAGTAGTACTTTATTTCAATAATACCTTTGAAATTGAATTTACGTAAATATTCTGCATGAGAACCTGTTTCATTTATCTAATAACATATAAATTGACAATTATCGTTGTAACTTTATAACTCAAAAACGGGCCACCTATACAAACCAAGTTTAAGCTTTGTTCGAACTATTTACGAGTAGTAGATGATTTATGTGATGTTTGCACAAAATCGGTCGAGCGGTTCTTTTTATTTAACACATTTTTTTTTTGTAACAAACACAATAAATGACGGGTCATCCTATTAATGGGGATTTTGCTATCAAATTGAAACTTTTCGATGTTGACAGTACAAACATGATTAATGCAAATTGTCGTCGGCATTTATTGCTTTGTAATACATACATTACGATCTACCTAAAGTTGCATACATGTTGATTTGATTGATTCGGGACTTAAATTATCAATCTGGTTCTTTATTGCCATTGCGTTCTTTATTAGTGATGGTAATCATGAATTGGATCAACTTGTGCAAATTTTTTGAATACAAGATGAGAATTTGTGAGCTACAAAATTTTTCCATGAGCATTACATGAATAGTTCAATTGCTCTCGATCCTAGGCTGTCTGATAATAACAAAATCTTTATAATGGCCTTTAGAACACCTTTTTTGAGAACATGCAAGCCTACAATTAATAATACTGCAATCGTAATTCTTGGTGATCAATTTCAATACCGTGATTTTATACTTTTTCTCAGTAATGAGCAATAGCTTTTGCTCTTTGTGAACTCAAAATGTTTTCTATAAAATGTTTATTATACAAATAGGTAAAATTGATATAAATTTAACGAAAATCACCTCACCTGCAACGACATCTGTGAAACAATGGAACATTCGATACAAAACATCAAGCACAGCATCACTGATTCTAACACCAAGATTATACACCAGTGGAACACTTATTTTGATCCACCAACACATTATAATAAAACAAACTCTGTACAGTCAAATATACAAGAGAAGAAATTTTATTATTTTGTTTTTTTTCTGAACAAAACATTCTTGTCGTAATAAAATTCTAGGAAACCATTCCGTACTACAATAATTTTATAGTGCATAAAATGACAAACAAATCTTCCAAAAACAGTATTACATAGATGTAAGCGATTTCAATTAAGATTAATTTCTATCGTGTCGTGAGTCAGTCCTTTCGTATCGTGTTCGTCACGTTCTTCTTATAAAATACATATAATAAATGATGAAATAAATTTCTCAAAAATTTTAATCAAATATAATTTGTCTATTTAAAAACTTGCTATTAAATGTATCGAACACACTGACACAGAAACAATACTAAAAGTGTTTCATTTCAATTTCTTTTACTTTTAAAATAAAACCATTTTCCTAGTGATGGTAATTGCATCGATAAAATTTTGTCAAAATTATGTTCTTTTTAAATTTCATTCATACTCATGGGTCTACTATGAGCAATTACTGCACAAAGTACTCATTCCAAATACGTATAAACCATATTTTATTTACGACTATTAAAATTTCTGGATTTCAATTAACGAATATTCCTCAAAAATGAGTTCGATAATAGTATCGAGAGTGTCCCGTCACTAGACACATGCTCTCCATATGACACACCCGCTTGTAAATAAAAACAAAACTTTATGAGAATTTACAAGTTCTCTAATAGACCTTGGATACATACATATATAACATGAAGATACAACACATACATATATATATATAACATACCAGTATATAGAGAATAAATAACTATAAGAAATGAGAAAGTTTTAAAGAATAATAAAATGAAGTAAAAACTAAGATGAACCTTTTTATGTTGTCTTACCAGTCGTTTTAAATTTGATAAACTCTTTTTGTTGAAATTAAATCACTTAACATTTTTTGTTAAACTAGATCAATCCCGAAACATTTGTTATATGTTGTCATACAGCTTCTCAATTTTTCATATTTAATAGACAAAAACTCAAATATTATACAAACGACTAAAGTAAAACTCACAATTGATCTCAAACAATATTACCAGTAGACGTAAATGCATAGCAAAAAAATACATAATGAAAATTAGTCAATCTGTATTTGACTGAGCTTACAACTTGTATACTTCAGCACTTATCTTTCTTAATAAAAATTTATTTGATATATATCTTGAATTGAAAAATATCTTACTTTGTAATCAAAAATGTTCCTGAAAATACGTTATTAAAAATGAGATCTAAAACTTTCGCGAGTATTCATTTCAATGAAACTAATATTTTTAGATTACTAAACGTATTTTATCATTTTAAAAAACTACACAATTTTGAATGGCATTCACATCTCGTCTGCCTTTGATAATAATAGTTGCTGAAAAGTAACCAAAATGTCTGGAGTATAAATTTACTAGTTTCATTTAAACGTCATATAAATATATTAGAACAATAAGAACAATTTCACACTAAACCAGAGAATATTTATTGAAGAATATTCCTCGGGGAGTAGCCGAATATTGGCCATCAGAATAATGGCACTATATAAAAGTGTCGAACTGACTTCAACATGAATAATTAATACAGTGAGGGACGGTTTTATTAGGTTTGCTAATTTGATTCCCAGTCGATGAGGACTCTCTCACAACGACTTTAAAATACATTCACAATTATTATAATGAAATATTTTCATAATTAAAATATATCTTTCCTATATTTTTAATCATTGTAACTATGTATATATGTATGGTTGTTTTAACAAAATAATTGTTTCGGCAAATTTTGACTACAGTGACAGTAATGTACCTAATTTATAGAATAAAGAAACCCTATCAGCTTTAAGTCTTGTAATATACATAAATTATGAAGAACAATATATGAAAAGAAGATTTTATTCTTTTGTCTTTGACTATTTAACTCTTCTACCGTTAGTAATAGTTTTTAGATTTATTTTGTCATACGTAAGTCATCATCCATAGAGGTTAAAGTAATCAATTGGATTTTAAAAATCTATTCTATTTTTTGTAATAATTTGTTACTAGCTGTCACATGAGACTCTGCCTGCGTAAAAAAAGCAATGAAAAACTTTGAAGCACCGCATACGCCGCGCCTCCCATTCTCGCGTGATAAACTAAACTTAATTTCATGATCCGAATAAAATTATCCTACTTTAGTGGGTCTTATATCCGCTACCTACATTTAAGAGATTAACTGAAACAGGCTGACAGGCATACAAAAATTTTAAAAATATTGTTTTACTCGTACATGAAGTAAAAAACGCATGCAGTAAAATACTTTTAAAAAGTTTTCAATATTAAAAACAGATACTACAATTTTATATTTGTATAGATTCTTCGCTCTTTCTTACATTTTCAAGAATTATAATATTAGTTAATTCAATACAACACACTGAGGTAACATTTCATATAAATATCTCGCACTAGCAATTTACAAGTGACTGTCTATAAATTCACGAATAACCATTTAATAACGTAACATTGAGGAGGGTCCCGACTACCGAGTCCCAGTAGAACGGAAATTAGGAGCAATCATATGAGAGTATTTACACACCAGCTTTCGTGTGACTCTTGAGAACAAACATACAAAAATTATGTATAGATATATATAATAAATAAACTTTATTATAAATATACAATAATAAATAAACTAAATAAAAAATAAATTTTTCAGTGGTGGCCTAGTGGTTAAAAGGCCCGCCTCCCATGCATGAGACCGCGGGTTCGATCCTGGCAAGTACCAATGTGATTTTTTCGAGTCATATGTACTTTTTAAGAGTATTTAGACATCACTGATTAATGCATTCCCAAAGAGGGTGGATGTCAAGCAGGCGGTCGGTCATAAAATCAATTAGCCAAAACTATTCACAACATGTAAGGCAGACCCTGGTTAAAGCTGGGAAATTGCCAGGAAGAAGAAGAAGATATATATAATAAATAAACTTTTTACTAATCTATCATTTAATAAGGTATGATGGAGTGGCTTTAAAAGATCACTTCATCGTCAGGTGAAGTGGCAGTGCTGGGGTCAGCTAATTTAAATGAGAACGAAACGCCACAAAAAAAACGGTCTTACGTAAAAATTCTTACACGTTATTGTCACGCCACATCTCATAATATTAAGTAAAACCGAATAAAAAATTACCCATATGACATATGAGGAATTTTAAATAAAAACAATGTTTATGCTATAATGTATGAAGGCTTGACTTATAATAATATTTTTGCACTTATGATTAAAAGTACACGTAACTTTAAATTACCTTGGAATTAATTCAATAATTAAATGAATCTTTATTTTCTGTTGTCTTTATTAAGATTAAATAAGGACGGAGTGGTTACTACAACACATTGTCTTTAGATATCGATACGAATCTCTAGGTATACTATTAATTAAAAGTAAAACTATTTCCTATTAATTATCCAATTTGAAGATTCTCATTAAGGTAAATTCTTCAAGTGATTCAACACAATTATCGTGTTAGTATTTATTTAAAACAGTAATAAGAAAAAGTATTTTCGAAAAGAACAGTCAAGAGTCTTAGAAACTTTTTTATTGAAATGTAACAAAAGTTACAAATAAATCTACATATAATAACTGTAATATAAATTCGTATGTATGTTAAAATATTTCTTTTGTTTGAGACAATGCAACGTATAATATTATTGTATTTTTACACTCACATCTAAAATCGTGGACTATAACGAAGTTTTTTATGAGAGTAATAAATAAAATAAATGATAAAACTCACCACGTCTCCGAAGTCGATTTTCAAAGTAGTTCAAGATGTAATTAAGGAATGAATCATCTTTCTCCTTCAAAGAGACGTCGCAGTAGTCCTTGTGTAATTGCACTGGCTCCAAGTAATCCTCGACTTCTAAACTCCACTGAAATATACAAACAAACAAAATCATTCATTTTATTTGCATTTCAAACTGTTGCTCGACGAAAATAACTAAAATATTAGACAATCTTTATAAACAAAGAGACATAAAACGTTTGGATCTATAGATTTCTATCCTTGCTTGATAAAATGACTTTCATAATGATGCGAATGTACCAATATGTGAATGTGATTTAATTTTTCGATTGTATCAAGTAATGAATAAGATAAATGTACATAATATGAGAGCTGGATACTCGTAGTTCATCACGGCAGTAGTATCTGCAGTGAATTGAAACGCTATTAAATTTAAAACTCCGCATGACCGGGAACCAAAAAACATCTAGAAGTGACAAATTTTATAGTATTAATATTTGCCTTCGAATATACAAAATAATGTTTAAGATTCAAAAAAATGACAAATAACACAGAGTTCTTCATTATACATATTTCTACGTAACATATTAAATATGTATACAATGACATTTTATATTATAATCATAGACCTTTATCTGCACCCACTTTAAATTCCAGCGTACAAATTAAATCCAATAATCTTCATTATACATATTATAATAACTTTTATGTATTGAATAACATTTCAGTATTACTAGCCAGTAGTTGAAGTATTGTCACATAAATCTGAGAAATATGGACATAAATATTTGAAGTCTTTAACACTTTGAATATCTTCTTTAGTATTCACATGATATTTTAAATAACTTACTCGATGCTTAGGGAACTGATTTATTTATTAGGGCTTTTGAGTTGAGTTTAAGTTTAGTTTGTATATATATATATGTATATATATGCGTGTGTGTGTGGGTATATACACATCAATTTTGTCGAGTAAAACATGTAAATGTAAAAATAATACATATTTATAAACAAAAAACATTTTATAGTTGTCACCGTCTTTATAAATAAATTAAGAAGGAATTATTTGGATAATATAGTTTATCAACTACGTAAAATAATATTTTTGTTAGAATTATTTTCTCGGAAGATTTCTTGGAAAAAGCAAGAATATTCGTGACCACGAGTGTTATAAGTTAATCTTCGTCGCGACCTTCATCCGACTAAATAAATTTCGTAAGGTTTTTCAGTGAAAAGATAATGCTTTGTTATTGCTATTGCTATGAACAAAAAAAATTTTGTAGTACACATTTTGGTAAGATTTTTTTTTACACCGCTTTTCCTTTCTTTTTTAATACGCTTCACGAAAAGTATTATGACGTACATTAAAAAAAACCTCATATAACTAGAAAAAATATTATTAATAAATTTAAGCTTAAAGAGACATCGTAAAGTTATAAGCTACTAACCGTTTATTATACTCAAAAGATACTCATTAAAGTGCTATGATAGTACTATTAGAAATATAAAAGATCAATATATGAAGAATTGAAAACACATTTTATACTCAACGAACTGTTTGTTTTGTTTCATGAGGATCAAATCAGCTTCAGAACAGCTTTGTTAGAGGATAAACACTTCTCTTAGAAAAGGTTCTCGTACGCTTGCTAGCAAAATATTTAATGTACAAAACACAATAACAAAAATCCCTGTTACTTACATGTTTCTCATTTTTCTTCTCTTCGCTATCTCTTGCTACATGTATAGAGTCGTACATATTCATCGAACTATTTTCATACACATTTCTATCTTTTTCACTACTAATTTTTCTTTCTGGACTTTTCTTTTCTTCAGTTACTTCTGATTTTCTAAAAAACGGTAACCTTAACAGTTGCAACATCCCATGTATTTTAACCATACACGGTTTGAGAGGCGAGCTTCCCACCCGCGGCGATTCTGTTTTCTTGTCAACATTTATTTCATTGTAACACAAATCTTCATATAAATGGTCCTCTGTCAGTTTGTCGTTCAGCTCTTCTTGGCTCACTAGAGATTTGTATTTAGGCTTAGCGCCGGTTTTGCAGGTTCCGGCAGCGCAAGTTTTATTAGACGGCTTTATAAAATAATATCCTCTGTCGGTGCAGCTTTCGACTTTCGGGAATTGTATTTTAAGGTCGAATATCGGATAGTCATAAGAGCTCAATCGAAAGAATTTCCTTGATTTCTTTTCCGTTCCTGCATCCATAGGAAGGTAGGAAGTGAGCGACTTCTCCTGCCTCTTCGCGTGTCTGTATAAGAAGCTTTTGGGAGCCGTTACCTTCTTTAGTATTTCTTCAACAGTATTATGACTGGTAGTTTCTTGTTGGCTGACTTTACGAACGCTCACTGTTTGATACTGACTCTCACTACACAGATTTGTCTCCTTTACTTTGATGACGTCATAGTTCTTCAATCTGTTCAGATATTTCTTTGGATCTTTTTCCATATCTTTAATAAACGTCATTAATTTATGAGCGTCACAATTCGGTCGCCAGAGTTCCACCATGAGTTCGGAAACATCCTATAAGTAAGTTACGATAACTGACTGAGCTCCTAAGTTACAAATAACTTTGATAATTTTGGCCTCTTTGTTAATTTACGACCAAGATTGCGGAGAAAATACTGATAAGTTTGAGTTAAGTCTTATTGTTACAAGACTGAGAAAATTTATTTAAGTTAACTATTAGTTTAGTAAAGGAACGTTTAATTACATTTAACTTTTGTTGTATTTAATAATATTTTTCAACGCAAATAAACTGATGATTATTTCTATCAAATTTATAAAACGTTCCTAATTTCTTCTACTCTATCGTATAATAATTCATAGAATATAAATCTTACCGGTAAACTTCTTCCATTAATCCGTTTTTCTTTCACAAAGTCCACAAAGTCTTTCATACCCCACGTCTCAAACAGGTTCGCTAACTCATTGGTGTCCAAATCGTTTAATTTCGTAGCCATTTCTCATCAGATTCTTAGAAACCTAGTATGAATATTTACATTACAGATGCACTTTATAAATCACAAGACGATGTGAATATTAAATAAACGTCAGCGACGTCTCGGAAAGTAAATATAAAATCAAATACAGATCTAGGAAGTCGTGATTCGTGAGATGATTATTGATTATATATATTAGATATTTGTTATAATATATACATACATATAAGATTTAAATGAAATTTAATATTTTGCGGATATACTACGTGTGTTTTATTTTTGATAAAAACTACATACCCCCGACGTTTCGGCTACTTTCGGCAGAGGAGATGTGTCCCATCACTTAAGTCGCGTAGTATAATCCGAAAAATATTAGTTTTTTAAATGAATAAACCTCGCTAAAATCTTAGATCCCATTATATATATAATATCTTAAGATATTCTTAATTAAATCTCCATTAAATATTGTTAAAGATTATTTTGGTAATCGGTTTTAATATGATCGTTACGCTGTTAGTGAAATTCGTTAGGAACGTGGAAATGTCGGAACCAATAATTATGTTATGCCTTCAAAGCCTTACAAAATTAATGTTACTAACCGAATTATGATTGCTCAATTAATTATTAATTGTATCTCAGCTTGAACCTTCTTTATTAAACATGTTCCTTATTCAATATTACACGTATTTTGAATTCAAGTCTCGTGCTGATGTCATTGATTCTTCAAATTTTCTATTCGTATATTTAAATTTGTATTCAAAAATATTTTAAAGACGAACCTTATTTGAGTAATTATTCCAAAATAATGTTGAAATTTATCTCAAAATGTATCACATTTACATATTAAAACAGTCCTGTATATAAAAGTAATATGAACGTGTGCCATGTATGTATCACCACTGTACAATGAGCTCCTCAACGAGCCTTAATTGTCTTAACTGATATTACCATATAGTGATTAAGAGACGTTTGACTTCTTATTGTATAGTCCTATACATGAGTAAGACAAACTACACACTACAAACCTTTCCTTAGTACAGTAGTAGCATCTAAGAACATTTCAATACTAGAGAAATTAAAAACACGAACTACAAAGAATGTATTCAACCTGTAAAATGAAATAAAACTAAAGGAAATTAAAATTAAATTTAATTCCATTTTGTAAATTAATCCCTGACTATTGAATGAACCGGATTTTTTAAAACAAATCAGTCTCTAAACTAATTTGAAGTGAAAGATTGAAGGGCATAAATTACGTTAAAGGAAAGAGTTGGAAGATATTTGTTTATCAAAAATCGATTGTGGTTTTTTTAAATATAAATAAATAATAATAAAAATAATGATGAATGAAGATCAAATATAGAAATTCGAATATAAAATATTAATAAATCCAGTGTTTGACCGTCGCCAGCTATTATTATCATAATTAATGCAATCAACCAAATTCTAGCGAACAATTAATATTCAATATTGAATTTGTAACTTTAGCGGCAATTATTACAAACGAATTAAGAAATTTGCATGAAATATTTTAAAGCGTTCATTTTATAAGTAAGGAATTTATTTATTAAAAAAAGAAAAAGAATTAATTTTTTTTATTACAAGTAAACTAAAAGTCCTAATTTTGATTTATCACATTACTTTTACGTAACAGCATTACAAAGTTGCCTTATAAATTTAGACCTAATTTCTTTGTAAGTTATTAAAATTTAAATACCAAAAGATAGAAGTAAGGATAACAATAAATACTCCAAAATAAACATATGGACACTAAAGACATTAATAGCAACTTTATAATGATAGTCGTAGAGTTTATTTTCCTTTGAATCTAGATGGTTTAAATAATGTCGCGGAAGCCAATTGAAGAAATGATGTCACCTCATAAAAGTGAACTCATGAGTCAGGTTGAGATGATACGAAGATGAGATGCTTGAAGGAGAAGGCAAAAAATCCTATAAAACAAATTATAACAAAAAAAACTCTTCAAAAAATGAATAAAACAAGAAAAAAAATTTCAATCACATTTTTTTTTATTTTTGTCTTACAACAAATATAATCAATAAATAAACATTTTATTTTAAACATGTAATAAAATGGTTCGTTCCAGTCAATATCTTATCTTTATCGGATAAGTTTCAATTCAATGTATTTATAGATAAAGTGAAACTGGAACAAAAAAAACAAAATTGTCTTTGTTGTAGAACATATTACATGATAGTATTTTTTTTAGTTATATAAAAATAAACAGTGTCGAGCAATAGGAAAAACGAATGTAATTATATATATAAAATAGTCTTATCATTAAAATATATTAACTTATTCTGCAGAGAACATCATATAAATTGTGTGCGACCTCGGCGCCACCAAAACCTATGTAACATGCTTTGTGACTTGGATGAATCTTTCCTGGCGTTATGGACAACTGATGTCTTGCTCTTCCGACGTACAGTGTCTCCCCACTAGCCGTTTTTCCTCCAGGAATAGCTGATGGTGGAACCGATCCATTGGAAGACGGCACCCACCGCAGGTTGTCAGGCTTCGCGCACAGAACTTCGATATTCTGAACCGGAATTTCTTTTCCGTTATACATGACCGACGCAGCGTTGTGTCTCACTGATAACTTGCCAGGGATCTGATCTCCATTGTGCCAAGCTCTTATAACCCACAACGGACTTCCGTCCCAGCCTTCGTGTCCTCCTATCACAGCTTTCCCAGCCAATGAGCTAGCAGTGGTCGCGGTTGACGGAACCCAATTGAAGTCGCCTTCACTTTCAGATATTTGAACTTCAGAAGGCTGAGAAGACTCTCCTTGATAAATAATGTTCGTAATGTATGTTGGCTGACCTTCTGGTGGATGTGGCATTATTGGCACTGGCATCATGACAGCACCAGGTATATAGTAGGGATATGGAATTGGCCCGTGTCCTGATAGTTGTCCGGGGGGTTGATGGGGGTAAGGATGATTCGGCTTGTTATGTGGAGGCGGTGGAAGCCACCCTGGAGGTCCGTAGTACGGCGGCGGAGGAGGTCCTGGTGGTGGGAAACTCATTTTTTCAGTCCTCTTTATTTAATATATATCTATCGCTTGACACTCACAAAGAAAAGATAAATAACAAAGATTTCTACAAACTATGGTCGTCTTCAAGACACAATATATTATATTGTCAGTCCTAATCTTTCATAATCTTATCTTAGGATATTTTTATTAGTCATATCAATAAATTTGTAATTTTTTTTGCGAAAAATATCGATTGTAATATTTATTATTGAAACTGTTCGTGACTCACCCGGATCTGTGTATTATTTATTTTATTTTTATTAAAAATAGTATTGTTTTAAGAGTATGAAAAATTCTTTGTCATCTTCATAGTATTCCGTAACTAATTCACGAAAGAGTATGAAATAATCCGCATCATTCTATTTTAGAAACTATACTACGTACATATGTGTTGATATATTTTATCCATTATTTCTTTGTGTATCTAAAAAAAAGTACAAGAGAACTATTTTTGCATAAGATTTAAAATAAAATTCATGTTCATTTATTACAAGTGGCTATCGAAACTCTTCATTCATTTTAACTGATATTTTACATTATTTAATATTATTAGAGACGGCTTACAAAATTGGTTAGTAAATTCTAATATGTAGTATATTGTTACTACAACCATTGTACTTCATTTCATTGTCATAACATTAGTAATGAAATTCATATGGTTTTTGGATCAAATTAAATAAAACACAATAATAGTTAGAACTATTCTTATATATTTGGGAAAGAAGAATACTTACAAGTTATATAAAAGTCTTAAACTATATGTTAACATTTTATAAATACATTTCAAAGAATTTAAGTTATTTCATAAATTATTTTATTATTTTTGTTATTTGTACAATTATTATAAACTACTTTTTATTAAGTTTTTTAGTTATTTACAATATTTATTATTTTTTATGTTTAAACATATTCTTTATGTTTTAACATATTCTTTAGTCTGTTTTACTGTCCATACAAAGTCTAAAAACGGGATTTATTTATTCCTAGCTTTAAAGAGCATATCCTGAAATGATAATATTTATATCTCTTCATATATTTATTACATTATAATGCTATCAGTAGTCAAGTACATTAAACAAAGGTTTAATATCTTTAAAAAAATCGGTTCGTTTTTGACGTTGATACGTATTTTTTTTCATTACAAGCTGACGTACAATTCAAAGACTTAGATTTAAATTTTTTCACATCATAAAAGATATCTAATTCGTTTCAGAAATGTTTTATATTTATATACATCATGATATTAGGGGCATCGTATATTCCAAATTGAAAGATTAAATATAAGCTCTTGCATAGACATCAATACTAATCTCTCTTTGTAATATGTGGTGATACTTGTATTTTTATATTTGTCAATCAAAAAACGGAGACAGCTGCATGTGTGTGGGACGCCTTATAATTCTAAGTGAGGACGACAGCTCTGAAGACACACCGAGTTCCATCCACCAACGCGGGCCATACGAACGATCTTATGAGATCCGAGCGACGCTCTCGACTGTCCTGAGAGAAACGAACGTGCTTGTCGGGGTTCATTACCACTGAAACATATATTGAACATTAAGCAATTGGCTGAGACACAAACAAACACATCTTTTATATATAATTATTAATTAAATAACGACAGCCGATGTGCTACCATAACAGGTTGTCATATTAAGCATAAAACCGAAATGCAGTTATTATATTATATTGTATTTATGGATAAAAAAATTACGAATAAAAATTTGGGTACAAAATATCGACAACATTATTGTTTAAAATATATCACGTACACCAATATAAACACACTTTACTAATCTTATCTACCAAACATTAAATAAAAAAAAATACATATCCTTGTTGTTGAACTGTACATATAAATCAATTTGAAACATTTTCAGAAACATAAAATGTATAGAATAAGAATATTTCCATATTCTTTTGAAACCAAATATCATGAAGATGACAAATTAATGACACAATGTATACGTGTATATTTCTTACCAGGTGTGAAGTCAGTATCTATTCTGAGAGGCGGATGAAGGCTGATGGTCCACGCAGCACGACAGGCGACAGCTGCCAGGGCATGGAGCGCCCCACACGACTCCAGACAAGGATACTCCCGGAGAGTACTACACACCTGATACAGGAACACGAAATTAAAAGTCAAGGTCACTTTCAGGTCAAGCAGACGATAACGGAATACTTAATGCTCATAATTCGTAACGCAGGCAAAAAACCAATAGATTTTTTAGGGCTTTAGTTGTCACTGTCTAATAAAAATTGAGAATTAAAACAAACTACTGACGTAAGCATAAGTTGAAATTGAAAACCTCGTTTAGACTGGAAAGGGTCTATGAAAATTATCTCTTGGTAAAAAATTGCACAAACTTGATTAATGACAGTCCTCTCGGCATCCCCCAGAGGGAAGGTATCAGCAGTGTTCCTCATCAGCCTCATAGCAGCGGCGACGAAACCTGAGGTGCCGGGTGTATCGTCTGATTCACATCCGAGTAGAGACTTCACTTCACTGATACGTTTGTCTCGTAGACTGATGGCAGCGCGGAATGATAACTGGAAGAAATATATATATATATATGTACAGGTTAAGACTGTAGGTCTTATGGTAACGGGAATAGATGCTTAGTAGTCTCATTCTATTGTCAAATAATTGTTGTGGAGATGGATGTTTTTGCCTTTAGGATGCATTAAAGTTCCTTGCCGTATTTATTTTTTGAGAATTTAAATATTTATAGCATCCAAATTTCTTATTGAAATTAAATTAATACACATGATTTAGAAAATAAATTTTTGGTCACAATAAAAGTTGCAGAGTAACTAACAACCTCAATGACGAAATAATATAATATTTTTGCCATGTCCATATCCATGTGGACTTTAACTTTAGTTGAAAATAGATAAATAATATCTTAAATCAGAGAATTTTACAATAAAAACCAGACATTTCAATATATGTTTATATAACTTTTTTCCAAATAAAATTGCTACGTCGTAATCCTACTGTAATTATAAGAATATCATTAAAATTCATTCAATTGCTTTTTGCATTCAGTTCCTTTGTAAAGGATTAACAAAATCTAAACTTATCATTAATTATCAAGTCTCGCTTATAACTTTAATAATGATAAATAAAATTTAAATAATCTACTCACAACAACGACGGAGAATACTATCTTATATTTTAAGTTGGGAGTCGGTTTGAGAGGGTCTAATGCTGCTAGAGCCGGCAACACCTCTTCAGCAGCGAGCGACCAGACTGCAGCATACTGTGATACTAACTTACTTCTGAAAAATATATTAAGATATGTTTAAAACAATATAGAATCCCTAGTATACAAAATTGACTTTAGACTTATTGACGCTGTTAAAAAAATAATAGTTCAGCAGGAAATGATTTTACTAATTGATAACTCGTTTAGCTTATATTCTGTATTCGAAAATAACAGATTTTTGATTGAATACATATAAAATTTTCATTGAGTGGTGTCTTTAAAATCTTTTTATAAGTTATTTCGGCTCGTTTCCTGGCTGTACAGTATCCGATTCTTTTGAGACTTTAATACAAACCTATCAGGATGTTGGTGTGAATCATCACTGTCCGAGTGGTACCCATCACTGGCGGAGTCCGTCGGCGAGCGAGGAGTGTTCACCACCAGCACCTCACTCATCTGAGAGAGGAGGGCGGCGCAGCCTCGCGAATAGTTCATGAGAACACCAGCCACCGGTCTGGAAAATATACACGAATCTCAACAAAACAGAAACTAGTGAATTTTGTCTATAATATTATGGTTTTGCTTATAAATGACTAGCTGCGCCCCGCGGTGTTACCCGCGGATTTCCGGGATGTAAAGTAGCCTATATGTTATTCCTGGAGGTCAGCTTCCTGTATACAAAATTTTATCAAAATCGGTTCAGCCGTTTTATCGTGAAGAAGTCACAAACATACACACACACTCACAAACTTTCGCAATTATAATATTAGTAGGATTACTTAAGGTGATTTGGTTTAACGATCGAGCAACGAAACCAAATGGTATTTAACGTGAGAGTAAACTATTGATATTAAATATAATATTATTAATAATTATATTGTATTCAATATAACACTTTAATCAGACATTATATTTAGTTCTTGTAGTCTCCGCTCTTAGTTTATTTACAACGGAAAAAAGTCGAGATAGAGTGAAAGGTTTTAGATTACATCTGTAACTATTTTCAAGCTATATAAAGTATCTTCAACTGAACTACTATGCTAATGATATAAAAAACTAAATAAAACTAAAACAATCGTAATGATAGTGTTAATTTTGTCAAATGAAGCTCGCTCGGGAACAGTGTAGTGTGATACAATCTTTCTCATATGATTCTTATAAATGAAAGTTGTTACATCACTAGAGCATACTTGAGAGGCTCCATTACGTTGTTTGAGTTAAATGAACAGTTAACAAGACCGGCTCATGATATCTGGAAATATATTTAAATGAGAAAATTAACAGTGATTATTTAAACATAAACTTTAAATTCCAAAGAAATTGTCGTAATTATCAGCGAAGTTATTGAGACAAGATTTTTTATAAACCGTTCATTTTGTCGTTCGAAAGATATTATTTCTTTTCGATAGTGTTCTCTATGTTTTTTAAATTGAAAAATAATCCAATCAATACAATCACACATATATTTCCTAATCTATGCATATTACAAAAATACTTTAATAATCATTTAAGATATCAGATAATAAAAATTTAAAAGGACTTGACGTCGAACAAAATCATTCTATATAACTTAAATGCTTCTGAACATTCCTAGTGTTGTGAAGTCTGTGAAAACTAAATGAAAGTTGTAAACGATACAAACTTTTAAAAGTAAACTTTTTGCTTTTGAAAGAAACCATCAGTATTCAAAACTCGTTATGCGAATGTTATCGAGTTAGAAAACTGTTCTTACAATGTTGCTGGAAAACTACTTCAAGGTTTCCCTTACCATCTTCGTTCATATGTAAGAAAAACTTAGAAAATTCAGAAAGTGTTTAACATGTGGACAGAAAGTCGCGTGAATAATAAAATAACATGTAAGTAATACAACTATATGTATAACCAATGAATAAAATGTATACATAGTTGAAGTCAGTGGTGGCCTAGTGGTTAAAAGGCCCGCCTCTCATGCATGAGGACGTGGGTTGGGTCCTGGCAAGTATTAATGAGATTTTTTTGAGTCATATGTACTTTCTAAAAGTATTTAGACATCACTGATTAATGCATTCCCAAAGAGGGTTGATGTCAGGCAGGTGGTCGGTCGTAAAACAATTAGCCAAAACTATTCACAATATGTAAGGCAGACCCTGGCTAAAGCTGGGAAATTGCCATGTAGAATAAGATAAGCAGTATATAACAATCAAGCCAAGCTTTCTTTAATCATTACTTGGCTGTCGTAATACTAAAAGTGTGTGATAATAAGTTACGCTTAATTTAATAACCGTTTAAGAATCAAACTTAACCTTTGGAATGCAACATCACAATGAAATAGTAAAACGAATTTCATGACTTAACAATAAAATTAGTTTCGCGCGCTTCGCCTCTTTATGAGAGAAATTCCCAACAATGGCAATAAACTTGTCAGGTTTGTGAGAAATGAATGGACGGGCATACATACAAGTGAAGTAACGGTCACTTCTGCTCTTACACAGTAACTCTGAAACTTTGCATAAAAATATCTATTTCTTAATTTATAATAAAAGTTAGAAGTCACGTTTCATTAATATTCGTAATTATATCTCGTACTTTATACGCATGTTTCTCCTAACCACCACTTTATACCCCAATTAAACAGATTTTATTCTTGCTTGTAGTTAAATGAAAATATTTTTTTATATCACGTCTATCGAGCAAGGCTATAATTTGCTAAATGTAATCGTTTACTGTTACTATCTAAATTATAGATTACACCGCTATAAATAACCATTAGTGACCCATCTTACGTGACTGAATAGAGAACTTTCCTTGTTGTTTTACTTACTTCTTTCTACTTACTTTTTATATAACTATTATACTCCAAGCTTTGCCTGCGTATAATTGTGCTATTTATATTTCAAATTTTTTGTATGTATAATGTACTTTACAACCAACTCGTGTCTTTAACAATAAACAAACAAAAAAATAAACTTAAATAAACATTTACAATATCATTTTTATTACAGTCTTCAAAAAATATATGTCACATATAATTAAGAAATAAATATTTACACGTTACATAATAAAAAAAAGTAAATTTGTTCTGTCGATGAATCTCTCACTTTTACTATTGATTACTTTATGGAATATAAATATTATAAATGTTTTATAAAGTGCCGTCCGTCTGTTGTTGTGTAAGAGTGAAATCAATCACTCTTTACATTAGATACGTTCACTCATCAATACTTTTATAGCCACTGGCTTAACAATATTATTTAACAGAGCTTTCTTTACGCTTAGAATAATTTGCGTGGACATATAAATACGAAGCAATCTTGTTTATTATTTAATAACCTAGGTAAGTTTATAAAGTGCAAAGTTTTATGAATGAAAAACCTATTAGTTTTCTTATATGGATTGACTATGATCGTACTGGATAAAGATATCCAGTGGATATTATCCACTCCTTATAGACTCCTAGAAATCATAGAACCACCTCTTTTCAGATTGCTTCATAAATGGCGAACTTCGTATCGCCCTATAATCAAGAAATTTCTATTACGTTTTTTTATTTATATTTTTGGATTTACCTGTAAGCCCTTCGTGTTTTGAATATCGAATGATTGACATATTAGTTAGTTGTCAAATCTAATGAGTTTGTATGGGAAAATAGAAAAGGGCTGTTTTTTTGGTTTTTAATGAATCAACACATTCCCTGAATCTCCACGAAAACTAAGATAAGATTCTTCAATAATGTTTAGTTTTAGCGAGACTAAGGACAGACATTTTTATATATAGAAGAAGAAGATTATAGCCCTTCTTATTATCGTATTTGGAAAAGCTGTTAACAAGAAAATTTTTAACTAGAATTTAAAAAAAAATAATGTTATCGATGGAAGTCATACTACAAGAAACTAATTAAAATTTTTAAGAATTTGAAAAATGCATTCTTAATAGTTGTTGGAAACATTTTTGTTTCCAAGTATATTCATGATATCGATATAAAATATGAACAGGAGCAATTTTGAGAAAAATAACATAAACTATTATTATTATTTTGTAGAAAGAGTCAAATTGGAGATTATCAAAAACGGAAAGAAACGAGGAAATGATACATACTTCATGCAATTTCCAGTAAAAGAGTTATAATATATAATGAGCGTCTCTTCGCGTGATCTACTTCGTAACAACGGTTAAATAAAACACATTATTTTGTTGTTGTTATATTTAAACGACCTCCAGTTAAGTCAGATAAAAAACTAAAGTTATATAAGACACTAACTAATGTTAATAACACTCAATGTTATGAAGAGCGGACGCGGCTCTCTTCCTCAAACATAATTACTACATCCCGTGAGCTGAACTGTTTGACGAACATTTATATACAGTATTAAAATGTTAATGATTTAATGGTTGGTAGTTTGTTGAATCTTAACTCAAACCAGCCACACGGATTGAAGGCATCTAGACGAAAATATATTGTAGTCGAATAGGTTTTTGCTTAGCAGATGATATATGGTCCTCTACAAATATGTACATTTCTTACTTTTACATAGAAATATAGAATAATATGTTATAATTTTTGTTTCCAGGATTTACTACTACTTCTACCTGGCAATTTCCCAGCTTTTAGCCAGGATCTGCCTTACGTGTTGTGAATAGTTTTGGCTATTTCTTTTTACGACCGACCACCTGCCTGACATCAACTCTCTTTGGGAATGCAATAATCAGTGATGCCTTAATAGTCTCAGAAAGTGCATATGACTCGGAAAAATCACATTTAATTTAGTTACTTTTTTACAGAATTTAACAAATGAGAAATATTATATGATTGGTTATTCTTAGTTGATACTACTGTGAGAAAACATCACATACAAAAGAACTTTCAGCTCAAAAGTCAGAAGTCAATAATTTGTAAGCAGCGGTAATAAAGATAATAATCAATTATTAGTTATAATAACGCTATTATATTAAATGGATAATTTCAACGCCAGCTCTAATGCAATTGAATAAAATTTCACAGCTGTCAAAATTTATTTCTCCATGTTGAGTTACAAAGTTATTATTTTGATTCGTTAAGCATATCATTATGTTCTTTGGTAAGATGCTGCAACTGAATATTGTTCTTTATTTTTATGTCTTTTGAAACATAAAAAATGAGCATCACTATGTATATGAAACTTTATATTTTGCGAAAGAAACTAAAAGCTTAAATAAAAATAATATTATTACGGATTACTACGTGTATTTTTATAATTTTAAAACTACATACTCCCGACTTTATTGTTACTTTTCAGCAACCGTAATCACAGACAGACGAGATATAATATAAATTTCATATATTATACACGTTTTTTAAACAAAAATCACTCTAAAACAAAATCTTTCTACGACTCAACTCCTAATAATATTTTCATTCACTAACCTGGTATCACTCAAATCCAAAGTAGGGTCGCTTCTCTTGATTTGTCCAACACAAGCTAAGACCGCCTTATCACTGTCAACCCTCGCTGATAAGGAGGCGACCAAGGTCGGCAGCTGCTTCAAGGCCGGCTTATCAACAATGGTCAGGAGTGACTTGTTGTCAATGAGACGTCTCTCAACATCCGCGTGGGACAACGCCAACAGACGTTGATGAGATGATGATGCAGGGTCTTGGTTAACTGTCACCGATGACTGACAAACAATTACAATTTAAACATGATTTTTCAGACGGCTATAATTTTATTTCTAATTGTTCAATCATTCTAATTGTGTTTTTTTTTTGGTGTTCTACCCGCATTTTTTTTTATTTTTTATTAATTTTCTAAAATGACGCTTGCCGTCAACAGAAAATAAATTTAGACTCGCCCAAAAGGTCGTGGATGAGTCACGATGGTAATAATTATGATAGCTTTAGTATTTCATTCAACTTAAAACAAAGAAAAAATTATCAATTTATATTTAATATAATTAAAATATGATAAATCCTGTCTTAATGTGGAAAATAATATATCTTTATTGTAATGTTTTTTTTATTATATTTGTAAATTTAAATGTAGTGTCTTACAATGAAATGATATTTAATTTTGATACTGTTATTGTTTTTCAATACAAAGACAATTATGACAGAAATGTCAATGTCAAAATAATGTGACAATTTAAAATTGTTCATTATAATATATATTCAGATTGGACAAAATGAATTGTATATTTCTATATAAGTGAGGAAATATCTTAAAATTTGTATCACTTCGATCATTATTTCTATACTTCAGTTATTTTAGAATGATTAATTGTATATCTCACCAGTTCCTCTAGCTTATGTATCCCTGCTTGTAAACCTCCACGTGTCTCTGTAACTCGTTCTTCATAGCCACGTGGAGAGAAATCAGGGTTCCCGAGGAATCAGCTGTGAGACCATGGGTTCCAAGACCTATTAACATTACTATGATAAAAACTATTTCACCAACAAAACTTTATTAAGATGAGTCATTAAAAAAACAATGAAGAATTTTTTTTCCAAAGATAAATATTTTAACATCCTGGGAGCGAGGTTAGAGATTTATGAGATAAAATAATATAAATAAAACATACAAGTGGAACCACACGTAATGCATAATTTCCTCAAAAACCGGACGGTACACTAAATACTGGATATAATTCGTAGATTTCCTTCTGATTTCTATCGCTTCATAAAAACTTATTTAATATTCAAATTAACGTGGAAAAAATATCAATTACATAAAATGTGAGACTTAGTTGTTAAACGATTACATACAAAATCAAAGAAATATAATTTTATTAGGATTAGTATGTGAAATAATTATAAGTCATTATAATTTAAGATATCATCATATTTGGAAATGTTGAGTAAAAATCATTATCATTAATAGACTTGATTTCAAATATTAATGTTTTATTTTGTAGTTACGACGACCTACATACAATATTGTTCATTTATACATTTATTAATAACTTCTGCAGTTGTTATAATATGACAATTTTATTATTTTGAATGTCGGATAAGATAACGCAACAAATAATTTTTAACATTTTATCAAGGTGGAACATTAACCAACACTTGAGGTTCAAATATTCCAAATGCGCTAATTGAGATTCCAAAACTCTACCAAATAAGGTCATTTGAGATTATATTCGGTGAGTAATTTAATCAAATCTTTTTAAACACAACAGGAAAATTTTATGTTACCGTAATTATATGGAAACCTTGTCCTAATTAAAGGTCCCAATTAGTGTAACTTAAAAGAACTTATGTTTTAAATCATAATAGTGAAATCTTTTATGATAGTCAAGTTATAAAAGTCACCTATATCTAAACTCATGTAATAAATATCGGTCGTTATATATTAAGTAAGGAAGGTATTTCGTTTCAGACTTAAAATCATCCTATTTTTAGAGAAATATCTAGACAAAGAGATTATTTTATTGGGAAAGAACAAAACACATTTTGTTTACAAAATGGTCCATCTTGGACCAATTCTGATGAAACATACATGCTCTAAACCTACCTTGAACTGCTGCATCCAGCTGCCTTCGTCTGTTATCAACAGCTTCCCTCGCATCAGGGCTGTAGTGGACCAGGGCTGAGGCGAGGCGAGCTGTCCTCGCCCGGAGACCAGAACCTTGGTCTCCTCCGAGAAGACCGACCAGCCTCCATGCTACTGACTCACATTGAAGTTCCGGACGTGGAGTAATCTCCAGAGATATTAACCTGGAAGACACGTCTTAATGAAACTAAACATATAAACCTTATCCTGATATCGGTTTGATATCAAGAGACTGTGCTCGTAAGACTTACACTTTAATCTAAAAAAATAAGACTGTTAGCTGGATTATATGTGATGTTTTCATAACATTCTCAATTAAAGGTGATTATTACGAAATTTCATTCAAATCTCCCAAAAAAAAAGTAATCATTTACTGTTATCTCATAAGGTCGCACCCATTCATACATTTCTAGAAAACATCTCGACGCAACAATAACACACTGCGCTCCTCACTCAATAAAAACTTATTAATTCAATTGACAATGGAAGAGAAACAGTTTCATCATACACTTAAAACAATTAATATGCTATGGGAAATACTTGGGGATATTTTTTATTTGCATACATATATGGTTATGTGACTTTACTCGTCTCAATAAATAGAGAAAGCTATACAGCTTTTAGCGACAATCATAGAGAAAAAAATTCATTTGTTTTATCTTTTAACGTATTTCTATGAGAATATATAAAAATATTATATAAGCTTAGTTAATTATAAAATTGTAAGTACCGGATGGAAAGTATTACGAAACTTACTGCAAGTATAATAATTTTAGTAAAAAGATAAGTTTATTTGTATAAATAATAATTAAAGTTCTACTCATTTAGTAAGTATTTGAGTAAGAACAATCTCGTGTATTGGTTGTGTAACAGTTATTGATATATAGGAACAGGTCAAACATCCGACTTTCCTACCCAAACGAGTATTTTGGTATTATCCGAATCTGATCACTTTCTCCTGAGCCCTTGTGAGTCGTGACGAGGACGTACGTCATGTAACTTTGGTAATTACTCGTCTATATTTGGTTCATTAAATTTAATTATTGTTCTGCTATATCTATAGTTTTTTATTGTTGCAATCTTTACTTGTGATATGAGTGTAATATTTTTATTTATGGAAGTGAAGACTTCTAATTCTGTTTAATATTATCATAACACGTCTTGTTTATTTATTACAAATAATCACGTTTTAAGTTTCCTTTAATATAAACATCACGTTCTAAGATGACGGTCAAGATGTCGATGACCTTATTTGTACTTAAATATTAATTGGTACATTGAATTAATGTTCTTAATATAGGATAACTCTATAATGTCAATTGTCATCCACTTCATCCGCGTTTAATTTCAAGTTTTAACATCGACTTTATTCCGCGTTACTTTCGGAATTAAAATACATATTATATATGTAGACGACCGGGTGGACTCAGTCCCGCCCTAGTGGCGGTGAATAAGCAGATATTGAAATTTATTAAGTGATTTTTTTCTGTTTCGATCGAAGAGTATTAAATGACTTATATCCTTTTTCTTGGTTCAAAGCTATCTTCTCGCCAATTTTCAACCATATCCCTATAGCCGTTCTTAAGCTATAAATACTGTAACTAACACAACTTTCTTTAAAGACGATAGAAAAATTTCGTCTCTAGGAACTGACAACAGTAAAAATATCGATAGAATTATATTTTTTTCAAAGCACTGATCGGATGGATTCTTTCATCTCGCATGTTTTCGTATGTTAGTTACTTTCTATTTCTCTACATGACATCAATATTATACTCAAATATTAACAAATAATACAAATATTGAAGTACACACACTACACGTGTTACATAACGTTTACAGGTAATAAGAGGAGACACGCTAAACAAATGACGCTTGAACCACCTTCAACAAATAAAACATATTGTTGAAGAAAAACGTTTCCTTTTGATGGCTTGGGTTAGGTTTTTGATGAGATCTCCTAAAAGGCTTACAAATATGATATGTTTTTTGTAAAAAAAACAAGTTCCACATTTTATAGAGCTGAAATTATTAAAATTATATATATTTATAATGGAAATTTTGAACAACATCTGAATTCAATACAACGAACAAAATATTAGGTTGTTATAGCTACCTCACATTTTATATCGTTAGATAAACCTACCAGCCGTCGGCTCGTCTAAAGAACCACAAAGCGTCCTGTCGATGAAAAGGAAGATAAAAACTGTGACGGAAGTCGCGGGGCATTTCAATATCATAAATAAATAATAATGATTTATGTCCATATTGAATTACGTGAAAGTCGACACCGGCCGCTACTTTCATTCATCCAACGTCATTTTAATAAAACCAATTTAAACTATATTAACTTCGGTTAGAGTCCTAATTACCTTGTACTTTATTAGGGACAGGTGTAACTTTACAGTTGTTAAGATTTATTGAGGTAAATTACATATGAAGCTCTTAATAACAGTATCCTTACTACAAGTATACATCGTCACACGAAGCGTTTCCCGTCTCTCGTTCATTAATCTGCGTTACTATACAGCGTGAGAAGATTTATATATAAAAAATGAAAATTCTTCGTTATAGGAGTAGATTGAGGAATAAGATATGGTAACTCTTGTTTATTAATTACTTTAAATAAATCTCAGCTAAGATTATAGAATTTGGTAGCAAAGATATTCATGAAATCAAATTATCTTCTATATATATAAAAATGAATTGCTGTTCCTTAGTCTCACTAAAACTCGAGAACGTCTGAATGGATTTATCTTATCTTAGTCTTAAAATGTTCGTGGAGGTTCAGGGAAGGTATAAAAGTTGAAAAAAATTGATTCACTTCTGGGAAAACACTATAAACAGCCCTTTTCTATTTCCCATACAAACGTTTTTTTGACATTAGATTTGACAACTAACTAATATGTCAATCATTCTGTTCGATTGAAACCGGAAAAATTTAATAAATACCTATCAATACCTGGTTATTTAAGATGGAATAGAGTTCGCCCGGTTAGCTATACATATGTATATTACTCATGACGAAATTAACGCGGACGAAGTCGCGGGCAAAAACTAGTCTCAAATATAAGTATTTCCTCATTTTATATGGGTATATTGTCAGGAAGGTTCAATCTATTTTGAAAATGAAATTTGAAAAAAAAAATCGATTAAAACCAACTCATAAATATCTCCTTACGTACGCAATCATGATCGAAATAATAAAAAAATATATAAGAATTCTATAAGTAATACTAAAAGTGATTCTAGTCACGTATTATAAATAAGTTATTTTAATTTGAAATGTCTTAGTTAGTATCTAAATTAGTTTGTTTCAAGTGAAGCTGTAGCAGTTAAAGTAACTACCGCCGGTAGGTCATTAAAAGGTTAATGTACTGAAACTATCTCGCTGGGAACATTGTAAGTCGCTCATAATATACTTGATTAAAACACTCGTGTTCAACGATCTTCACACGGTCCACTCATTATATATGAAAAATATACTGTTATGATATATATTACACGTTAAAAGATTATACTTCACTCGAGAAACACGGCGCTTTATTTGTAGAGGTTTTAAGTAATATACGATGAACAATTTATGAAGTCGAAGCTTCTGCTTTGAACCTACGACCTCCGAGATTATTTCATCCCAGTCCCTTTACCAATTGAGCTATTCCGCCCTAACATAACCAGATAAAATTTTCTTCAGCCCAATATAGAAAAGTTTGATTTACGTCAGCTAAATCTGTTTAATCGCTTAAACATATATATTAACAATCCTAAATCCCCGATTTATAATTTTATTGATACCATTCAAATATCCGCAGTAGTTTTAATAATAGCGAGGTATGTTTTAAATGACACTACTACTTTCAGATTACTATTCGTATTTTATAAATTTAAACTACATACTCCCGACGTTTCGATTACTTTGCAGCAACAATTCACGGGCAGACGAGATGTGTCTTAGATCTCATTAGTTTTTAGTTTAGTATCAATTTGATGCTTACCTGTTTAGTAGTGTCTCCAACAGATGTGAGGAGTGAGGTAGTGCTTCCACCAATAAGTCCACTGGTAGTTCATTGGCCACACTCTGTAGTACTCCTGGTCCTAATCTAGACAATATAGCCGCCGCTTCTCTAAACTGGCGACCTTCAGCCAACAACAGACTCGTCGTAACGCGAGGCGAGGAGACGTGTATGTGTTCTTCTCCCTCTCTCTCTCTCGTCTTATTCTTTCTCGACTCTCGTTCATTTTAGGATCTTAACAGTTAGCCCATGTTTTGTAATAGATTCTGTAACAATAGAAAACGCATTCAAAACTAAAGGATTTCTTTCAAGTTTACTCAAATCAATTGTCTATACTATGTCTGTGCACAAAGTTTTTCAAAACCAATCGATTTTCTTATATTTTACTTAAAAGAATTATCATGAAAATATATAGCAGAGTCGCGTGAATCAGCTAGTGAAGTAAGCACGATGACATGTCAATATCGATCCGATGTGATATTTCTCATATGGACAGTTAGTAAGTGTTGTGTCTCCGTTATCAAGACACACGTCTGTAACGGTAGATGAGAGTCATTAGAGTTTTTTGGTGTCGCGATTATTACAATATTGATTTAATGTAACAAAAAATGACATTAACTTGAATAATATAATGTTCATCGCTAGTATATGGTTATGGAACGAAGGATATATAATATTATTTATAAATAACAGAGATTTATTCAGTTAAAAATATTAAAAGTCATCGAAAATGATTGAATTCATATTTCAGGTTTAGATATAATTTGCGACTATATTTTTAGTTTATAATAATGACTAATTGGATGCGATGGAATATATTTATTATTATATAAGATCATAATGACTGAAACATACTATATTAAAACAAATTATCTGCGATTGACCGAACAAGCAACTGTAACGAATTTTATTAATAAAGTTTTAAACATTTATATACTTCTTAATCTGATGAATAAGTTACATTATGGTGAAATACTGTGAACATTACAGTACGTAATGTAACTTTAGTTTTATATAAAAACATAAATATATCCCAGATTAAATATAAAATAAATAAAATTGAGAACAGTTTTAAGAAATAAATACATTTGTAATATAGGGTATATAAATGATTTGTAAATTATTTATAATACTAATAAAGTTATATGTCACATAATAATTTGCATTCCAAGTTATTATTAATACTGTTAACATAATAAAAACTGACATCTCTTCATCTGAACCACTGTCATTAAGATCAGTAACGGTCCTCTCACTGTACGAGACACTTAAAATATATGACAATAATATTATAAGAGACGTATGACGAATCATATTTTACTTCGTTATTTGACGTATTGTAACAATGTCCTACTTGTAGAAAAATGTACAGATTCACTATTAATTTAAATTATTTTCCAGGCGCCTGTCGATAAAGTGAATGTCAATGTCTAAGAATCATAATTAGAAGAAAGAGATCCGATTAGAATCGTCGATACATATTTTATTTCCTGTAGTATAATCATATCATCATCATCAGCATATCGGAGCCCATTGCTGAGCAAAGGCCTCTTCTCACATGGAGAAGGTTTAAGGTTTAAGCATTAACCATCATGCTTGCTCAAGAGAGGTTGGCGATTTCAAACTTTTAATTGCAAATTATAAGTCCAGGTTTCCTCCTGTCAATGATGTCTAAATACTCTTAGAAGGTACAAATGACTCGGAAAAATCACATTGGTACTTGCCAGACTTCGAACCCGCGCCCTCAAGAGAGGCGGTCCATTAACCACTAGTTCACCACGGCTCTCAGTATAATACAATCATATTTAATTTTTATGAAAATCCATATTCTTATTAATTCATATTTATAATTTTGCCTGTTCAATTAATGAGAGTCAAAACAAAAATCAATAAAACAATATGTTCAATAAGATTACCAAAGATGTTAATATTACGTCACACCTTTCACCAACAGAAACTGGTAATGTTGAGTGACGAGCTCACTGAGACTTATTTGTAATGTACTTATAGCAAGAATAAATATTACATACACTACTAATATAGAAAAAACATACAGAGACGAAACTTGCAACAGTGAAATGTTGTCAAAAAGATTTTCTAACACAATACATTAGCTGGCTATACTTGTACTATGATCGTACGTTTTAATAATATACATATATATATATAATTTTATGAATGTAAAATGAAATAGAATGTATCACTTAGAAATGTTATTGAACTTAAAGATTGTATGGTGTACTTGAGGAAGAATCTAGATTTGTTTGATGAGAAGATATTGGTGTTTGATTAGTACTTGTAAAATAATCTGCATCTTGGTAACATTTATAGTATTAACTATTACAAACCAAAGACATTTGATAATCAATAATAGAAGATAAGTTTAAAGTATACACAGTTCCAATAGTTTAAAACTTTTATTAGAATTAGGATCTATTTTACTAAGTAAAACCGAAACCCTGCACATTTAACATATATCAATAATGGAATTAATCCACTACGTATAAAAAACAAAAGCATAATACTAATAACATTCATAGTTCGATTGATTGAATTTAAATTAATTGCATAAAATATCACAAAGATTTAATTTAAATTTAAATATGAATAAAATGTTATAATTATTTAAATTAAAATAGTAGAACACGACTTTCATAGAGAAGGTTGGAATGCGCGGGTCGCCTGTAGAGTGTAGTCGCCTGTAGCTACTCGTACATATGATAATTATTATAAATTGTTAGAAAATGTTATCGGTGCGGGAATCAGGACGAGTGTGGAATATATTACTATGTATATATATTTAAATTAAAATTATATATTTAAAATATTAATAAATTCAATACTAGTTTGGAAGAAATTCATCAACTTTATTGTAAAAGCGAAATTAATAATTTACAATATGAATCATGTTAGTTTAATGTGGAGGTCAGTGGAACTAATAACACTAGCTGTTACCCGCGACTCTGTCTGTTTAAAATAAATTCAATGAACAAACTTTTTATATTCAATGACTGTTTGAAATCATTTAGTATATTTAGAGGATCGTTACGGTGTGCGGGTACAACAGAAGGTCATTGACATTACGACATCATTGTCAAATAATAACAGATTTTATATAGAAACAAAAATATTATTCGAATTAAAGCCTATTTTTTTATATTCAAAATATGTTTGCCTTGTTTTAAAAGTCATACGAAATGCGTAACTTTTTCTCCTCTTCATCTGATAACTAATTTTATAATTAATATAATAAAGTGTAGTTAAATAGATTAGGTGTAAATTTCACTTTTATATTTTAATATTTAATGTGTTTTTAGTATTCATGTTCCTGATAACAAACTAGTTATTAGTGACACGAAAGTTTAGTTCAAAAGATATGTTCATTTCTGAGAGAAGACTATTAGAATAACTCATGAGCTTAGAGAAAAGTCATGTTTATGAATACTAATATTTAAATGTTAAATATACTAACTTACTTTACAATTTAATGAAAATACATTTTCTCCTTAAAATTAATACTATTCTATCGTTGCTTCCTGAAAATCTAACAATTATATTTTGTCCCTAATCTGTTTACTAAATATTCATATTTTATTATTCTTAAATTTTGTGTAAACTTTGGTTCATCTACAGTTATAATAGTTTAAAATCTAAGCCGCAGACTTCATACAATATGTACAATAGGAATTTCTACTTATTTTTTTGATTGCAAATGTTACAAACTTTGACTCCACGAGAACTTGTCGTGATTGAAATAGTCTTTAGTATTATTTATGAAGAAAATTATAATTATAATCTTAAAAGTGATGTCATTTGATTAAATTTTCCAAAGCAAAATTAAATTTATACACAAGCCAAAGAAAAACGAGAATTATTGTATTAACAATTAATGTTGATCATCATGAATATTTTATAAGGACCGGCCTAGGCCTGAGGTTCTACAGCTGGGTCCAGTCTACAGGCCTATAGGTCCAGGGCCCCACGGGTCCACAGGCCTGCGGGCCCGGAGGTCGACGCACTTTCTATGAGCTTTTTAATTTACAACTTTCTTTGAATCATTAATTTATTCTAAACTACTTAAATATTATTTATATGTTCCTTTTAAAAGTTATACAAAATTATTAATAAAAAAAATCAAAGTAAGTATGTATCCTTAATAATAAATAACTTACCAAAATATCAAAACAAATCCTGTAACACAAACACAACACACACAGACGATACTACATACAGTCGAGACGAACTGATAACAATCATATATATATAATGAGATGTGTCCGAACGTACGTCCAGTATCGTCGAGTGTCTCACACTGAATGACTGAGGAGTGAGGAGTGAGGAGTGACTGGAACTGAGAAGAAAGCTTCCGATATGAGACGGTCACATGCAGAACAGTGACAGTACATTATAATACGTGTATTACTGAAGACAAAATATAATTAAAAAATCATTACATTACGTACATTTCAATCTCAAACGTGTGAATTAAATGGTAATTATTTTATAAGTTCATATGATTATTTCGATATTTTTATTTGAAAAAATTATCAAGCAAAAGCTTCACTTAATGGTATTAATTTATATCTTTACACGAAAACCTGAATTAAAGATTGGATAAAATAATGAAGAAGTAAAAACATTCTCAGTGTTATATATTTAAGTCGACCCGTTGTTGTATAACGCGGTCTTTATAACAGGTGGCCGCTTCGATCAGGTGGTGTCTGGGGTTCGATTCCCGGCGAGTGATTCACAGGGAGGTCAAAGGTCACCTAAGGTCTGCGTTATGTAACAGAACATTACATTCTATCACGCACTTCATAGTTCACGCACATTATACTAATAACAAATAATAAACATTTTATGAGACATAATTTCTCTATAATTCATTAGGCTTAATTAGAATGTCGTAAAGTTTAATTAAAACGTATATAATTTGTACATATATCTACTTCTATCTGTCAATTTCCCAGTTTTAGCCAGGGTCTGATTCACGTATTGTGAATAGTTTTGGCTAATTGTTTCTACGACCGGCCGCCTGCCTGACATCAACCCTCTTTGGGAATGCATTAATGTCTAAATACTCTTAGAAAGTACATATGTCTCGGAAAAATCACATTGGTACTTGCCAGGATCGAACCTGTGCCTTTTAACCACCAGTAACTTTATATAATAAATTTGATAATAATCCAGTTTAATTGAATTTTTATAAACGCATATTCTATCTATACGATACAACCTCCTCACGAGGTCACTGATAACATCTTCATATTATTTTATTGTTTCCTTCATCCGCTTACTTTTAATATTATTGTAACACAAACAAACAAATCTTATGTTTTATCAATTATAAGTTTTATTAAGGAATATGATTATAATCTGGTTGAATATGAACAAATGGAGATAATTTTATAATTAAAACATATTTTAATAAACTTGCTATAATTAACTTAACTTGGTGTGTTTGAAATTTTGAATATTATAAATGTATTTGACTTTATTCACAAAAACGAATCTTTCTCTAAAAACAATAACTCTAAATGTTCTCTTAATAAAGGTGATTGAAATTAAGAGATAAAGAGACAAACGTGCCTTCATCCATATAATTTTAGTTAGTTCCTAGAATCGTTTTCTTTTAATAACTTATAATATGTTAGTCATAACTTTATTTTTCGCATCAAATTATAGTCTAAGTAACTATTTCAATTAATCATTTCGGTCAGTATCTGAGTGTGTCTTCAAATATAAAACCCATTCTAAAATTAGAACTTAAAAAGTAATTTTTATGCAGCTTTAGTAATGTCAAAGGCGCAAGATTCAACGTGAGTCAAATCAAAAAATGCAATTGATATTTAGGGAAACTAATTCTTTGTTCTGTAATATTAATGTCTCTGGTTAATGATATACATTTTATACCAACTACATGTTTTAGCTACGTGCTTAAGAACACAAGAAATCAATTTCATTTTTTTTCCCACACTCATAAAAATACATTCCAATTATGCCATATCATTACATAAGATTGAAATAAAAAGAACAGTATGAAAAATTATGAACGCTGTCTGATTTGAACCTGTAACCCATGAAATATGGAATCCTAGTTACTTTGCAAATTAAGCTATCGAGTAGCGATACCATGAAAATTGTATATTCAAGTCATAAAAATTTTTTCTTGACTTCTTTCACAAGCATTTTAATTCCCGTATATAATATTATAGTTTATTTTATTCTTGAATAGATAGACAGCAGTGAAATATTATATTATCAGATACATATGTGTTTAAAAAATGTCCCGAAATCTCAGACACTACTTTCGTTTTTCATCAGGACAGTGAGTTGCGACATCAACAAGATAAAGTGTTACAAGATTATTGACTTTCAACGAAATATAGCCGACGTACGACTGACAACACACTCTTTATAAATACGTACCAAAACAAATTATACAAATTAAACATCAATATATTAGAACTGTAGAAGAAATCTATCTATTATATTGTTTATCTCATATTTTGTAGAAAAACATCTTTTTTATTAAGCTAAGATATTCGAACTCTAATATCTAATGCTTGAAATACAATAACGATCTTTATTACTATATGTATTAAAGTATATATTAGTAAATCATTAGTGAGTCATTGATTCATCTCGCCTAGTCGGTAATTTTTTATTAAGTCAAGTGACAACAGGTTCAGGATCGACACACGATCGCGGGTGAAAGTAGATTTAATACTTTTATAAGTTTACAATATACAGAACTTGATTGACTACTCTCATACACGACAACTTGTACATAAACGAAATCCTTCGAAGGTAGATGATTATATACAGAACAGGTGACTACTGGCTATGTTATATGTATATGAAAAGCATCCCTTAAAGACAGAACATATAATGTCTTCATAATAGTGATATAAGTCTTTTTGTATTAAGCAATTATTATTCAATCAATCATCAGTAATAACCACATCGCTATGCTATAATTGAACCATCGATCATGGGAACAAGTGCTGGTCGATATTCACACTTTAATAATAAAATTTACCAAAAATATATATGGTACATTAACAATATATAGTCGCGAAGATTTGAAGTCTTCCTTCACTTCTACTATATATAAATCCTATAATCGTTTTCAATATGTAAACTCAAAGATATTTCAAAAAACTTATACACTGCTTGTATTGATAACAAAATCAGCCATTTAAATGTAAGCATGTCAAGAGAACCGATATTTGAGGTTTCATTAAAGCGGACGACAGACAAAACACTTTCACTTATTATAGATTACTTGATAGAGATTATATTAGAGAAGAAACAAGCTATTGTTATTAATTTTATAACCATCATAAATAAATCGGCAGATGACTACACCCACAACATGTGTATGACACTACTGTTGATAGCACGAGGCGCGGCTGTTGATTGAGAAAAATATATTTGTTTACAACCATTAGTGTGAAATAATTAAAGGATTGTGTGACATACGAAAACTTTCATCTTGTAACTATCTATATTTTGTGTTATGTGGAAAATTGTCTTTATAGTTATTTAAGGAGAATTTAGATAAGTGTTGTTCCCATATTTTTTTTTTTTTTTTAACGAGGAGAATCTTTCAAAGACTTCCCGCCGCGGGGGAAAACACGGCGGGGGCGTGTGGGATTTCCACCCACTAAACTCCTCGGCGTTCTCTGCGCTGTGCGTAGGCTAGTGAGCGGGAACGGCAAGCCATACTTCCGCTCACTACGCACGAGTCCCATGGACTCCGTCTTCGGCAGGGGTCACAGTGGCTTCACCACACTTCCCCTCCGACTCCAGAGCAGCGTGCCGGGAACGCCAAGCACGCCACTCTCACTCCAGCCTATGTTGCCCGGACGCCGGTTCCCCAGCAACGCCCGGAGGCTCCTCTCACTGGGGAGGCATTTGGCGAGCGTAGGCCCGCTGCCTTCTACCCAGAAGTGTTGTTCCCAGACGCATCAAGTGTTGATGATAATCCCAATAAGTTTAGCTGACTATATAACATAAGTTAAATAGTCTTATTTGTACATATTTTTATTTTTTTATTCTTAGAGAAAACCATAACAAATATTGTGATTAAGTATAATATCTAAAACAAGACGGTAACATTTACAACATTAAGTTATCAATACGGTGTTAGAAAATTCGCATACCGTTAGAAATATATTAAATTCACATGATTTTCATTAAAATATAAATTCCCTACAAGTCTCTATACCTCATAGATGTCATTAGAACATTTTTCTCGACAAATTACTGATCCTTCCAGAGTCACTCGGACTGGTGTGTGTGATTATTTAAACGTATCAGATAAAATGTACGTTTATGTTAATGAATTGTACATTTGCATTTTGTAAACGGATTCTTAATAAAGTAATTATGATAATATGAAAACGTGTTCTGAGGATAGCATCTATTTATCGTAGAAAGCACTCGCTGACCTCACTGCCTACATTACTTCATTGAAATATCAATGGAATAGAATCAAGATGTCACAAAACATAAAACACAAATGCACTGTATGCATAGAAGAACTATTTGCTCACTCTAAGAATATGGAACGAACTCTACCATACATACTATACACAGAATATCTACTAAGCTTTGGTCTAAATTACTTGATATTAACTACAGGTGAAACGAATTTTATTATTTTATTTCCTTAAGTAATATCTCTAATAAATTCCTTATTAGGACTTATTATAATTGTATATATCGGAGTTATTACAAATTCGTTGATCTTAAAAGAGAGGGACGCCAGCCTCGCTGACGTCACTTATGTCACTTCTTCTAGTACGTTCCATGATATTTTAAAATGAAACTTCAATTGTTCTTAAAGCTCCTGTATTTCTCAAAGGTTCTTCATGATCACATATTTAAATGATACGCACTCACTGAACTCTCAACTCTGCCGTCGTGCGTCCAGACGTCATATTTATACCAAAATTTAAACATAGTTCTATTCACCTTTTAAACAATCTTTGATTTCGTTTTACTTTTAACAATAATCATGAATACTAATAAGTTTTAATAAGAATTGATGACAGCCTCAAATTATTTTCATGTCGCATCCGTTATAAAAGCTTATAGCGCCGATATATACATATATTGCATAAATATTTCACTAAAGTAGGATTCTGTTTGCTATTTTATATCAGTTTATAAATATAACCATCTGTGTGTCAAGTGGTTCGAAACTAGGCACGCGCCTGGAATAAACATCACATAGAAAATACTGGAACAACTGGACTGAGAAGGTGAGAACATAAACATTATCAATGTGTGAGGTCAATGACCTCTACTGACAATCATCCAATATTATCCCTACTAATATTATAAATGCGAAAGTAACTCTGTCTGTCTGTCTGTTACGCTTTCACGCCTAAACCACTCAACTGATTTTAATGAAATTTGGTGCTGAGATAGAATTGACCTTGAAAAAGAACATAGGATAGTTTTTATCCCAGATTTTAGAAAGGTTCTCTTGGAAACGCGATATAACCCAACTCAACGCGGGCGAAGCTGCAGGCGGAAAGCTAGTTTGAGATAAATCTACGTAAGTTAAGTAAGTGTGCCAAGTATAGTTTTAATTTCATTGTACTTACATTAGTATGTATTTATTTGAATAATAATACATCAAACTTGTCGTGAACATTTATTAAACGTTTAATTTATCTATTAACAGCTGACAATAATTATATTACAAGTCTAGTTACATATTGATCATGATATCGGAGCGTATCTACTGAGATATGTCTTTATTTATACTAAAAAATATATTTTTAATTTACATATTAGTGATGTTTAGTAACAAGTAAGTTTAATACTAGATATACTTTTGAAGAAGTTAGTATCAATACTCCGGGTTTGTTTGTTGTTTTTTTTATTCGTAAACAGTGATGGTGAGTTGTTTGGAGCGGTTGTTCTCGAAGCGGTCCATCGTCTTGATGTCCATGATCATACAGATGGAGACGAATAACACAACCAGCATCAGACCAGTCACCATGAGGCCGGACCTGGAACACAAACGATCAGTGTCACACTCACACTATACAGGGTGACTGGTGAATTACTATCAATATTTAAGGAGCATACTCGGTACATGATTCTCATTCGAATTATGTAAAAAAATAGGTACTTAATTTTTGACAAAATGTCCGTATAAATAAAGTGTGGACACGTTCCAAGTGTTCCAAGTGTGACGCGTGCGGCGACGTGCTGATACAACACCACGCCGCCGCACGTGTGTGTGTGTGTGTATACCTAATCTGTAGGGTGTTCACACGATACGTAATTAATTACATAACTTTTGGTTAACTTTACTTAGAAGTTTATTAATATTTATGTTATATTAATTTTTAGTTTGTCATATATGATCGTCAAATATCACGTCCCAGTCACCCTGTATACAAATTGTATTTTCAAACTCATACTCAAACTCAAATAACTTTATTCAATATAGAAGCATTACACTTTCTTATTGATGGTCACTTGACACTACCACCGGTTCGGAAAAGAAATAAAAAGAATTGCGTTTCTCATTCAACAAACTAAATGAATACTGTAATACTTGAAGATTTATGAATGTAAAACTCCTAAAGTACGTATGACAATTCAGATAAAGCATGCTGAAGTAAGTTTATTTTGGTGTACAAATGTCTGTAAAACAATATTCATATCCGACTTGTCCTTCTGCAAGGATTTTTCTCATTATATTTTTGTTATTTTACATAATGGAATTGGATTACCTATTCTTTTTAATTATTACTTAAATTAAATGACTATTTTCAACTACTAATCTTTCTCCTTATTTACAGTTATATTAAATCAATCATCATTCAACAATAAACTTCATTAGATTTTTCAATCGAAGCTAGACGTGGGCGTAAAAGATGATTTTCTATTTTTTATCTCCAAAAAAGGTTTGTTAAGAACGATAGGTCAAAGGTTTCTGAACTGTTGAGTGAAAGTGTCGGAAATAGACTTTTCCGGTTTTGATAAGATTTCCAGTATCACAAGTATTGTATAGTAATAAACATTAGAGAGTTACAGACATGGAAAACTTGATATATGAACACACTACGGCTGTACATGAGACTGACTGTTCAGTTTTGTGTCTTAAACACTTTAAGAGTTCTTCTTACCAGATAGGAACGGTCGTGAACCCGATACAATCAAAAGCATCAGCGAACTTCTCTGTGTTCTCCATAAACGGTTGAATCTGGAAAAAATGTCACTTAATGTACGAGTCGATTGTCATTTATTAATTTTATAACTGAGAACATCTAATCTCGTGTGAAAATTTACTTTGGAAATATTGACGGGTAACAAAATAAGACACAGTGTTTTTTATCTTTTTCCAAGGTAATAGGGTAAAATTCACCCACTCTGATATCAGGGAAGGTAAGTCTAGCGTCATCCGCTTCGTATATAAGTGGTAGAGAGCAATGGAAGGCTCTTCCTAATACAGCGGCGGGTGGGTCCAACGCTGGCATATTCAAGCCTGTGGTTTCCAATCCTCGACGTATCTCCACACCCACCGCCGACCACCACGAACCAGACTGCTTGAACGAGAACTCCAGGGTTATCTGAGGAAGAAATGTACATCCCTTTGCAAGACTTGAAGTAAATTAACTGAAACGCTACTAGGTTATCACGTGATTGCATTGATAATAACATATAAACGTATTTGTTAAGAAATAAGCCTAAAGTTAATTTAGTTTTTTTTACTTTTGCCTTTCTAGATTCATTTTATTCCTCAAAATTCAACATTTCACATACAAATAATTTAATATATCTAACTCTGTCTGTCTGTCTGTCTGTTACGCTTTCATGCCTGAACCACTGAACTGATTTTAATGAAATTTGGTACAGACATAGAGTTGACTTTGAGAAAGAACATAGGATAGTTTTTATCCCAGACTTTTGAAAGGTTCTCTTGGAAACGCGATATAACCGAACTCCACGCTAGGAAAGCTAGTTCTTCATAAATACGTAAATTAAGTAAATATATGAGGTACTAGCGTTATATTAACAACCTTATCTCTGGTGTTGTCTCCGTCAGCGAACCTCACAACCAGTATAGTGTAAAGTCTAGTTGGTTTGATGGTAGGTTCTCCTACAGGGCTGTCTAACACTGTCACCGTGCCATCTGGCCAGCGGAGTTCTGGCCAGCCTGAAGAATACAGGAGCGCTGCCTTACCCGGGGGACCTGAACAAATATAATAATAATAATAATAGTTTATTTGCTCGAATATGGGTTAACAAAGGTATTTCATACATTTACAATGGCCCAACATATTCTGCATATTTGGCTTGCAAATATTTTTGAATAAACTAATACATAATACTAATAATGAGTTTACTACAATTACAAATATAATGTTTATAGTTTACAATTTAAATAAATAATTTTCAATATCATCATTATAAATAAATAGTTATTTGTCAGTTAATTCAAATAAAATTACAATATTATTTATTATTTAAAATTTGTCGTTAAGAAATTCATTTAATCTATATCTATCAGTAATTTAAAACAAAAATTCTTAAATAGATTTAGAGACAATTCTTTACAATTTCTGGGTAGGTGGTTGTAAATGCGTATGGCCGTGCAGTATACAAATCCTATAGGGTATAACTCATTAGTTCAAACTTATTTGTAGTAATGAGACCAAAGACTTTCACGAAAATTCATTTTAATGAAATGTCGACATTTAAATGAAATGTCGTCTGCCCGTGATCACGATTGCTGAAAAGTAATTGAAACGTCGGGAGTATGCAGTTTTTACAATAATAAAATACACGAAGTATAATCCGAAAAATAGTTTAATTTATTGATAGTATTTGAAGAGCTTTTCTTAACAATTTTGGTCGCATTAAAATTTAACCAGTCTGTATTAATACGCCTTGTAAAAAAAATGAGGCAATTCATGCCAAAACGAATTTTGCTTTAGCGTTTTATAAGATAAAATTTCGCTAACATAATTATTTTTTATTTCAATTAGTAACTTCTGGGTAAAATAAATATGAACTTTAAATGAAAACTATTTTCGAATTACTGCGCATTTTTTATTATTTAAAAAAAACCACATACTCTTTTGGTTACTTGGCAGTGCCTGTGATCCCGGGCAGACGAGTTGTTAATCAACATGTACCTACATAACAATCGTACCTGTTGCGTTATACAAAGCATATTTCTGTATGTTCCTGGCAGGTTTCTCCTGCACGTCTTCGGTGGTAGCTGATGTAGTGGTCACGTCCCTCGCCTGACGTCTCACTCGAGTCCATTCAGTCTCGTAATACGGTTGACTTTGAGAGACTGAATTACCTGGAACATTTAAAACATCTTAAGATTTCCTTAACTATTATTATTAGTTATAAAATATTCTATACTTTGTCTTCTTCCTGGCAATTTCCCAGCTCTAACCAGGGTCTGCCTTACATGTTGTGAAAAGTTTTGGCTAATTGTTTTTACGACCGCTCGCCTGCCTGACATCAACCCTCTTTGGGAATAATATTCTATACTTTGTATAATACACTAAGTAATTTAAATTCTATATATATGCGATTAAATTCTATCCAAAGATTTCTCATTTCCTTCTTCCTTTTAAGATAATTCCTCCTTCCCTTTCCCACCCTATTATCTCTAAGGTCCAGTATTCATAGTTCCTCCTTACCTAACACTCCCAGAACTCTTCCCGCTCCATATATATCCTGGAGCCTGGCGAATGTCTCCGTCATCTGAGCGTCTCGTTCAGACCACGGCCCTTGTAGTGTTAACACCTTCACAATGAAACAATATACATATCACATATACATGTTATATTATAACTAGAAGACCCGGCGAACTTCGTATCACCCCATAATCAAGAAATATCTGTTACGTTTTTTTATTTATATTTTTGGAGTTTACCTATTAAAGATATAAATCTCCGTGTTTTGAAGTGCGACAGAATGATTGACGTATTAGTTAGTTGTCAAATCTAATGTCAAAAAAAACGTTTGTATCAACAACTACTAATAAATTAAAAATTCATTAGAAAACATTGTCCAGCGGACAAAATTGTGAATCTAAACAATTCCCAGATCCCCTTGAACACACACAATAAATTTCATCAAAATCGGTCCAGTCGTTTGAGAGAAGTTCAGTGACATACACACTCACAGAAGAATTATATATATAAAGATATATATGCATTAACTGTTTGATTTGAATTAGGTATATTTGACTTATAGATTGCTTACATTAGCCACGTACAAAGTCTTGGTCTAGATCGTTAACATATATTCATTTGTTTTACACCACATAAAATTTAAAGTGTGACCTCTCAAAATATTTAATACTGTAACTAAAGTATTTAAGTAATTCATATTTTATCTAATGAATGTCTGTTTGGAATCATTACTCATACAAACAGATCACTCGGAAAAACATATGTTTGATCTGTGGTCGACGAAACAATTTATACCTAATTATAATTTATTTTTTTCAAGTTTCAATACTTATTAAAATTATATAAATATATTATTATATAAAACGAGTAAAACACATTGATAATTAAATACATATAGAATAAAATATTAATATAAATCTATATATAACATAATTTCTCAATAGTAATGAACGCTTACTTGTGTTTCGTTACTAATATAATCGGGATGGACGTCTAAGAAGTCTTGAGGGAGGACCAGCGTAGTCTGACCCTCCAACATCTTCCTCAGACGAGGAAAAATTCCTGCAGACAGAGGTACGGAATCCTGGTTGTTAAACACGACTATGGCGGCCTGCTCCCCATATATCCTCATTAAATCATCTTGATCCAACGACTGTAAGGCAGGTCTTCTATATTTTTGTAACGACTGCGGACCGAAAAACAGAAACGGTCCTTCCAAATTTCCATGGCAGTAATAGAAAAGTGAAAATATTATTAATACACGGAACATGGTGCTGTAGTGAGTTTAAAATACATTTAACACTTTATATTGATTTGTTGGTGAGCATGCGCGGCCCGGGACGCACCCTGGTGGCGCGGAGAATGAATTAATTGGTTCAATATGATGAAGAGGTATTATACAGCGTATTATATTCTATTATACAATAATATCCATAAGTTATTTAATATTTCTTCTCCGTCAAATACTGCTCCGTTATTATTGCTAATTAAATAGTACAGACTAATATAATAATCTTTGAAGTTGGCTACACAATTTTTATCTCTATTTGTGAGTAAATATAACATTTAAATACATCACTTTATGTATTTAAATTTAATAATAATTAATTATGAAGTCTCTTTTCTAATTTGAACACATTTTATGTTTGTTTGGATCCATAAGTTGGTTCAGATCAATGTAAAATCTAAACAAATTTGTTTTTTAAACCGTTTTATTTAGCTCACCCCGTTTGTTTTATTCTTTTTTCATTTTTCTTGGGTCAAATTTAGTACTTCAAATTTCACCCTCTTCCTGTCAACCGATTAATCTGAAAATTTGTATACACTTTGGATTTGGTGACAATACAATTATGTTTATTAATTATCATTATAAATTCAAGATGGCCGCCGCTACAAAATGGCGGATAACGTAGGTTTTATCAATCCCATCAACATGGGTATCAAATGAAAGGTCTCAAGTAGAATACAATTTACTATGCTAAATTGAAATCCAAGATGGCGGCCGCTACAAAATGGCGGATAACGTAGATTTTATCAATCCCATCAATATGGGTATCAAATGAAAGGTCTCAACAAGTAGAATACAATTTATTATGCTAAATTGAAATCTAAGATGGTCGCAGCTACCAAATGGCTGATAACAATTTTTTAGAGGAGTTGGACTGCAATAAACTAACGGGCAAGAAACCTTGCAATAATGAAGCACAAATGAATTAAACAGAATTCGAAATAAAAACTAAAAACTACAAAATAAAAAAGGTAAAACAACTTTTTAAGTTAAACGGTTTTACGTGAAACATACATTGCAATGTTTAAGATAAATGTACTAAAAATTAATAAAACAGATACAGTCGTGGGAATTATAAACATATGCACAGACTAAAATAAAAGCGATGGGCACGTCAATCGTGAAACATACATTGCAATGTTTAAGATAAATGTACTAAAAATTAATAAAACAGATACAGTCGTGGGAATTATAAACATATGCACAGACTAAAATAAAAGCGATGGGCACGTCAATTGTCTACAATCGTTGATTAAAATGTTTGTTTTGTAATGTAACACTATAATTAGGTAGTTGTAATTTCCATGAGCAAGAAAATATTAAGTAATTTCCTCTCCGTCTGCGGGCCAACTGCCTAACGACGAAGTAAACGATTCTTCTCTCGCACATAAAGTCGATAATTTGTTTTTTTACCTAGGCGATATAATATGGAAAATGGGATCGAAAGGAAAGTAATTTTCACAATACAATGGGATCTGTATTTAACAAACGGTCCCTGTCTAAAACATATTACTACTCAGTAGTGTCCGAAGTATGAAAGCCTGAGCTAAATATGATAGCAAATAAAATGCAAAGACATCTTATAAAACTTCGATGTGTTACATTCGGACGCTCTCTCGTCTGTGTTCTTTGCATCGTCATTATTGTGAACTGTACAGTCAGGGCCGTTTTATCCATTAGGCATTATAGGCAACTGCCTAGAGGCCCTGCCACGTTCTGGGGCCCCTGTGCTACAGGGAAAAGAATGGGCAATGTTTCTTAAACAGTAAAAAATTAATTTGAAAATTTACTCTGTACATTACATCGACGCTATTTTAGTACATTTCGGAACGCATTCCTTATTAGATATTATTACATATTATGTTTATTATTATATTAATATTTAAGCTATGTATGTTTTTTTTTTAAATGCATAAATAAACATTCTGTTCATTTGATTCAACATTTTTATTGAATAATATGATGATATACCCAGGTTAGTAAAAAACGGTGTAATTTTGAATTTTGTTGTGTTAACGAAAAAATTAGAAGAGGGTAGGGGGCCCTGGATGAGCATTGCCTAGGGGCCCCGACAGGCATAACCCGGCCCTGTGTACAGTTTTATATTTTTGAAATTGAAATTTGGTATCATTTCATGAACTAGTCAGCATTGTTCATAAAATACAAAACATTTTATATTTCTTTTTTTGGATATATCTCTGCATATTTTGATATCAACAAAAGTCTATAGTTTAAACTTAAATACTGAAAACGTTCCGTATATAACGACACGACGTCACTCGCTGTGAAAGAACTAATCTATACTTAACATTGTAAAGAGGAAAGGTTTGATTTTTTGTTCGTTTGTCTCGAATAGGATCCGAAAATACTGTACCGATTTGAAAAATTCTTTCACTATTAGAAAGCTATACTATCCCGGAGTGACATAGGCTATATTTAGTTTTAAAAAAATAGGATTCCTTACCAAAACTCCGATAATGTAAAAAATATACCAAAAAACTTTCTTTAATCGCGAACGCTCCGAAAACGATTCAAGATATACAAAGTGATGAATAAAATTTTGTAGAACTTATCATTATCTACAAGGAACGTTGCGACATCATATCTCTAACTATTATAGTTTTGTCACAATAAGCGATTTTTTATATAATTTTTTTTATTAAAATACCACTGCTTGAAAAGGCTCTCTATTTGTACCTCAATATTAATTCTTATCAAAATAAAAGGTTTATTATTTAAGATCGTTTCAAAACCTTTATATAACTTTTTGAATAATTAGATTCTGACATTCCATTCAAAAGATATCATTAAATTCAAAAAATATCCGTTCGGCAGCTAACTATGCGTTTTAGAGTTTTAGGCGTCACTCGGGCACCTAGGTACGGGAGGGGAGTTAAGATCACGAAATAATATTTAAAAATTAAAGGAGATGGAAACTTGTGGGCCCAAAATGTAATGATTTCAAAATTGATTTAAAAAATAACTAGTTTTTTATATGAAATACCAAAAATCTGCATAAATTCTCAATCTACAAGCAGAGAAATATGCAAATAACTGAAGCAATCGATTAACGATTAATTAAATAAAAAATGATTATTCGATTATTATTTAATCACAAAATAAAAACTTCACTCCTAGTTTTAAACTTATAGTAACTTCATTTAAACTACACCATATATGTCTACAATTCAATAAAAATAACTTTTAATAACGTGTATTAATATAATAATAATATTAAATATTATTTTAAAACATCCTTTTCGATTATCGATTCCATATCGATCGAAATCATTCTGTATATAGTCTATGACAAGAAAAGAGCGCGGGAATTGAAACGTTGACGCGGGCTTTTTGAAAGTTTTAATTATTTTAAATAGTTTTATACTATAATTTGCAAATTTTTGTTTAGTTTATTGTAAAGAAGTAAAACTTAGTCTGTATATAAGTGTTTATGTGGAGAGATGGTGAAAAAACGTAAAAAGAAGGATTCGGGTGAGTCCTTAAATTTCAGCACAAGCAGCGATTCCGATTGCGAGGATTCGCTAGTATTGCAGGATGCAAATGCTTTCGCTCCCTTTAGGGTCGCTGATTATTGTCGGCGATACTCTGAAGATGCGGAAGCCAAGTCTGAACTCTTAGTATGTGTCAAAAGTACTAAAGATGTCCCACTCGGTAATAGGGACATGATGTCGCTTAGTACTAGTTTTATACGCTCTGTGAAAGGTATACAATATTTAAAAAAATAAATAAATATAACGTCGGTGTTGTTTTCCAACGTGCGAATTTGGCAAATACCTTTTTAGAAAATACTACATATCATTTCTTTCGACGCATAATGCGTAAAGTAAAAGGAGAAAATAACACCTTCACACTGCAACCTACTCAGAGCGTAGTAATAACTTTTGCGTCTGCTACGTCACTGCCGGACTATGTTCACATTAAGATGTGGCGCCTGCCTGTCTCCACATATGTCCCACCTATAAAACAGTGTTTTAAATGTTTACGCTATGATCATCTGGCTAAGTTATGTAAAAATTCACTGCGATGTTCCATTTGCACAGAGGGGCATTCTTTCAAAGAATGCAAGGTTAACATTGAAAAAGCTAAGTGCATTAATTGTAATGGCAATCACATTGCCATCTCTAGCCAGTGCCCTATAAGGCAAAAAAAAATCGCAAACAGTAAACCCAAGTCATATGCTGACACGTTAAAAAATTCATTGAATTTTCCCTCCCTTAATAAAAAATTAAATACCCAAGAAGTAATCCAAGCAATACTATCAAATTCTGAAGCAATGACCCTATTAACAGAATCTATAGTAAAAGTTATTACTCTAAATAAAACTCAAAATATAAGTGTTAGTTCACAATTTATTAGCTCAACTATTAAAGAAACCATCCAAGATAAAAATAGCAAATCGTCACATACAACCACCAAATCTTAAATATTGTACAGTGGAACGCTCAAAGTCTGTTAAGTAACAGACTTGAGTTTCAAAATTTTCTATACCAAAATAATATACATGTAGCCATATGTACCATTATTAGGAATGACTGCAGTAATGATCATAATGGCGTAGCAATATTAATTAAAAATTGTATACATTTCTCTAAACTAGATGCTTTTTATGATGATTCGTTACAAAATGTAGTAATTGTTATTAAACTGAAACATAAATACATTTCTTTGGTTAGTTTTTACAGTCCTGGTAATAGTTCTCCTGCTTTTGAAAAGGCGAAGTTCGATCGTTTATTGTACAGTATTCCAAAACCCTTTATAATTGCAGGCGATTTTAACGCCCATCACACTTTTTGGGGTTGCAGTCGCATAGATTCTCGGGGCAGAGCTATTATGGATTCCATGGATGACCATGACTTAATACTTTTAAATAATGGTCAACCAACAACTACAGGCTCTCATATTTGGAAACCAAACAGTCTAGATTTAACTATGGTGTCTTCTTCTTTATTTCTTTCTTGTGACTGGCAAGTTCATCAGGAACCTTTAGGCAGTTATCATCTGCCAACTATCACAAAATTTACTCTCGTAAAAGATCAACATGAGCCCTCTATTTCCTTGAACTATATTCCTTTTCACAGCAATCTGAAATTAGTAAATTAGGATAGGTATGAACAAATTGTAAATAAAATGTTAATGAACTTTAAAGTTGACAATAGTGATCTCCTTGACTCATACAGAAAGTTTTGTGCAATTATTCTATTGGCAATCAAATTCTCCAGGCCCAGCTTAAACCATAACACAACTGATAGTAATAATAACCGTCCTAGAAAAAGGTGTCAAGTACCTTGGTGGAATGATAAATGTTCAAAAGTAGTAGAAGACAAGAACGCCTACATTTTTTCAAAACTAGTCTTAATAGTAAAAATTACATTAATTTCAAACGCGCACAAGACTTTAAAAAACTCACTTTAAAAAAGAACGTTGTAAAAGTTGGTCTGAATTCTGCTCATCAATAAATCGTTTGACATCTATAAATCGCATTTGGACTAAAATAAGTAAATTCAAAAAAACTTTCCGAGTTCTAACTTATTTTCTGACCTCAATTGGGTTCAAACATTTTTATATAAATACACACCGGATACTGTTTCACAACAGACAAGTATAGATGATGTTCTTGGAGTAAATAGTGATAATTCATACATGATCGGTTGTTTTACTATGCAAGAGTTAAAATCTGCTTTAGCCTCAAGAAAAGATCCTTCATGTGGCCTGGATTGGCTTTCCTACAAAATGTTTAAACTTTCAAATGTTCAAACTCTATCTATTTTTTTAAGTCTATTAAATAGTTTATGGTCGTCTTCTACATATTATCCGAGAGGATTAGAAAACTGACTGTTTGGTACCAATATTAAAACCTGTAAAGACTTTAATTTGGCTGATTCTTATCGTTCTATTACACTGAGTTCACGTGTTGGAAAAATTTTCGAACAATTAATAAAACAGAGATTAATTTTTCACATAGAAAGTAATAATCTTTTACCTTACAATCAGTTTGGCTTTCGTTGTGGCCGTTCTGCTTGTGAGAGTCTACATAATTTCTGTCTGGATATCCACGATGCTCGTTCCGAGAATAAAGTACTAGTTGGTGTTTTTCTTGAAATTGTAGGGGCTTTCAATAATGTAGATCTGAACAAATTATCCTCAATATTTTTATTACTACAGGTACCTGGAAAAGTTGTAAATTGGATTTTTAATTTTTTTAAGTACAGAAAGGATGGTTAAGGTCAACTATCAGTTATTTGGTCCAAGATATTCTTGTAGGTGTGTATCACAGGGTGGTGTATTGAGCCCATTGCTTTTTATCCTATTCATACATCAGCTAAATTTAACTCTGGGGTGTGAAGTTTCTAATCTGCAGTTTGCAGATGATTTAGTTGTTTATTGCTCTGATACTAATTTTTTACGTGTACAATCAGTCCACAATGTTGCTCTCCAAAGAATAAAGAACTATTTTGATAGCCTTGGGCTGGAGGTCAGCAATGAAAAAAGTAAAGTTGTTGTCTTTTCAAAAAATGGAATTAGAAATGGGAATGTAAATATTTTGTTCAATAATAATGTTATGTCTGTAGAGAGCTCTGTAAAGTTTTTAGGTGTTACTTTTACAAACAATTTTAGATGGAATAAGTATGCTGAAACTCTAGAATCTCGAGCTTTAAATGCTTGTAATGTTTTAAAATCTTTAACCGGCACATATTGGGGTGCTGATCCAAGGATTCTATTAACATTGTATAAATCATTAGTAAGGAGTCGTTTTGAATATGCTTTTTTTTGTTTTGCAGGGGTAAGAACTATAGTAGATAAATTAGAAAAGATACAGAATAATTGTTTGCGTATTATAATGGGTTCCATGCGGACTACTCCCATAGTGTCAATGCAGGTGGAATGTAATATACCTCCATTAGCACTTAGGTTTAAATACTTACAATCAAAATTTTTTGCAAGGTTGCTCTCCGTCAGTAATCATCCACTTCTTGTTAAAATACAGGACACCATGAACAGGACTGCCAATATTAATTCATATTTGTTTCAAGGTTTTTCTGAAACAGAACAAATTTTTAATAAACATAATATACTTTCTAGCATGATATGGCCTTGTTACTCTGGGTTATATGAATCAAAATTTATTCAGATTATAATTGTAGTCAAAAGTCTTCTAAAGTATAAGGGAGACATTTATAGGGAACTGGATAGGTGGCAGGGATATCATCAGATATATACAGATGGGTCTAGGAACAATGAAGCAGTCTCTATAGCTGTCTATGATAGACAGATCAAAAGTGGATTCGGTCATAGGATGAATCCACCCACAAGCATATACTCCGCTGAATCCATAGCTGTATACACAGCACATTCAAACACAGACTCATCCAAAGTGGATTATAATAACGGATAGTTTAAGTTTATTAAAGCCACTACAAAATCCACAATTAAATTCAAAAACTCACTATATTATATATAAAATAAGAGAGTTGTATCACCTGCTGTCTCAAAACAAGCAAACAGTCATATTCTGGACACCAGCTCACATTGGTGTGCATGGTAATGAGCAAGCAGACTATTTAGCTAAATTTATTACAAATCCGGCCAACAATCAATTAAGTCATAGCTTTTTAAATTTCCCAATTCCTTATTCAGATGCTCTATCCCTCTTCAAACTCAAGTTACAGAAAGAATTTTACAACTTGTGGCATCAGGAGGTAAAGGTAAAAGGAAAATGGTTCGCTATAATAAAGAAAAAGGTCTCTTCCCCCTGGTTTACCCGGCGTAGTGACTATAGCCATAGAAAGTATTATACCACAATCTGTCGTTTGCGTCTGGGACATTGTAGTTTTGGTGCTCACCTTTTTAGGATTAGTGTTTTTGACTCTTCAAGTTGTAGATATTGCAATAGTGATGATGAAATCCTCGAACATATATTTTTTGATTGTCCACAGTTTAGTATTCAAAGGATGGTCCTTGTAGAACAACTTTTAAGTATTTTTAAAACTGCTGAAGATATCCCGCGCTCCCATCAGCAAATACTAAGCATTCAAGAATGCTTCTTCCCAGTTTATGACTTTATGGTTTCTACTATAAATGAAATCTAATTGTTATTTGTATATATGTATATAATACAAATTCATTCGTTTTGTTTTAGATATTTGCTTCCAGCTATTTCAGCTATTTTCAGAATTTGACTGTTATATCGATTTTGACAAATAAATTATTGTACTAAAAATGACATTACAAGGACTTTACATTGAAAAAGACGGAATGTATAAAAAAAACAAGAATTTGACAAAAAAAAATATTTTAAATAAAGTCATGGTTTCGGCCTTATAATTAAAAAAGGATTCAAGAAAAAAATTAAAAGAAGACATGGCTTCGGCCTTAAGTTTAAAAAAATGCTTTAAGAAGAAAATTAAAAGAAGACATGGCTTAGGCCTGATATAAAAACTTGAGTCTAGAATAAAAAGGAGATTAAGACATTTAAAAATAATTTAAGATACAAAATACAAAAGACATGGCTGTATGGGCTTTGTTCTCTTTGCCTGTTCTTAACGGAACGAACATAACCAAAAAAAAGTCTATGGCAACATGACATTGACACTTAACAATTACCATGTCAGATGCATTGTTTATTGTTATCTGAGTTTGACTTGTTTCGTGTTTTTCGATGAGTTTCGAGTGCTTTCCCGGTCATTTTAAGTTTTCAACGACCACTGCTTTGTTTTTTACGGACTCCAAACCCGCCTAACGTTTTACGACCCTTGCTTTCACATTGGACACCGACGATCGCCTGCACGTTTGACTTGGAATATTAATTTGGATTATTTCGCCGGCTTGTGGATTCGATATTACTGAAACGGTGGATCACTGTGTGAATTGTGGGATAGCAACTAGTAACATTGTACCCCCTGTACAGTTTCTAGACGATATTTTAATTATTATTGGAGAGGAATAAAATACATATCCCATTAAAATTATTTGTTTTATTTTATGACTTTTATTCACATAGTTCACTCCTGTTCCTCGTAAACTTCCATACTTGTTACCTATATTTGTATGTCTTTGAGTCTTTCTTGCCTTGTTATAACTTATCAGATATTCTCTTCTAAATAAAATTATTATTTTTCACATACTTTTAAGTGTATTCATCTAACTCTTAAAGTTAATGCAATAAAACCTCACTTTTACTGAACCTCCAATAACTCAGCTATTTGATTGTCAATTTTTATAGAATTTTCAATGAAGAAACTCTTAATTTTGAACCTTTTAATTAATACTATTTTCATGTTTTTACATTGTGGGCCCAGAATTGTATACAATTAAGGCGGCCAACCGTCCCGCATTCTGCGGGACCGTCCCGCAATTCTAGACGAAATCCCGCTTTGAAATTATTAGTGAAATAGTCCCGCAAAACGTTGTATGCGTCCCGCATTTTTCTATCTCTCTTTCCCCCTATTTTTCTACCACACTTCTACACAACACCCATACCACGGTCAACAGTGCAGGAACACAGATTACCTATAATAGGGACAAGCGTATCGCACCCGCGCTAATCTCGTTTTCTTCCTTTCTTCTGAACTCATAACGTGAGTACTTAAATTTAATATGGGCAATTGCGAAGATTTTTATGACATTCCCAATCCCTAACACCCCCCCCCCCCCCCCCCCGCCTTCACGAAAGGTTAAGTCCCGCATTCAGTTTTCGGAAATTTGGCCGCCTTATATACAATACTTTCGATCTCCACAACATATGTCATAGTGCATACAACTATCCGGATATTCTTGAGCAAGTCAAATTATGCATCCATCCAAAAAATCTCAAATCACTATCTCTATTTCATGTACCGCGATCATACACAAATGCGGGATTACGCGCCCCAATACGAAAAATATGTCGCACTTATAATAACGAATTTTCACCGGTTGATATTCTCCGTCACAATTCAGCCGCGTTTCATAACAAATTGCGGGACATATTATTGGAAAAAAATAAACCACCTAGCAGTCCTGTTTCTCATTAACATTGACTAAGAATTTAGTTTAGTTTGTTTTAAGTATTAAATATTCTCTGCACATTCGCCATCGCTCCCTTCACATACTAGATTAGGTTTACACATCGCTTTTATCAAATGTATTTATTAGTGGAGATACTTACATGCCCAAGCATCCTCTCATTTTAACTTAGTTATATTTCTCTTTGAGAAATATTTAAGGACACAGGTATTGTTTGTCTTTAATATGCTGTATTATTGTTTATATTTTTTATTATAGGGAGCGTTCAAGTATTACGTAAGTCGTAACGCAATTTTGGGGGAGGGGGGGTCTCGTAAAACGTTACGATGCGTTACAGGGGCGGGAGGGGGTGTCTTTACAAAACGTTACGTAGCATTCTTTCTAAAAAAAAATATTAATAAAAACCCCCAAACTGGCAACTCTTTTCATATACGTTACATCATGTTGACCAGATTGTATTAGTCTGGTCGATATTTTATTTGTTATTCCAAGTTTGCAAACCTCTTAATTGATATTTTACGGGGAATACCTAGATTGTATTGTAAGTCATTTAATGTTGCTTCCGTGTTCAGTATTCGTTATTGTTCATCCGTGAGTTCATACTGTAATTTCTTCAGAAGAGGGAGATTTGTATCAATGATCTTTTTTCATTTAATAGATTTAAACTATACCAAACTATTACATATTGTTTTACGACTTTCGGATGAAATTGATCACTTGAGTGTTACATAACGTTTTGAGAAGGAGGGGGGCTACAGAAAAACGTTACTGTGCGTTACAAAGGGGGAAGGGGGGTTCAAAATCTTCAAAAATTGCGTTACGTAATACTTGAACGCTCCCATACTCCTGTTTTCTGTTTTTTTCTCCAATAAACTAAATAAATAAATAAATCTCCTTTAATATATTTTTTTATTTGACGCAAAAAATTGTGAATATTTTTATAAATGTCATGTTTAGTGTCCGTGCGAAGCTGCTATTAGTCCGGTCAATTTAGACATTCGAAGTTACATAAAGTCCCAACAAGCTGAATTTTTAAGAAATTGTTCAAAACATAATTATAAACGATGTCTAGAAGTTTTCCATCATTCCCCTGTAAGGAAAATTTTTATTCTAGGTCAAAGGTCAAAAAAATGAGTTTTTCGCGATTTTCAGCAAAACGGTAAGTTTTATCATAAAAGTACCTCAGACAAAAATTATAGATCATAAAATTATCTATAACAAATGTATCAATACTTCTTTTCTTACGAGCCACCGTTTCTGAGATATAACGATTCAAAAAGTTATAAAAGTTGTTATCGTCACAATATGCATGAGTACGACACGTATATACATCTAGAGTTGTTATATCTTCTATCTTCTATATATATAAAAATGGATTGCTGTTCCTTAGTCTCGCTAAAACTCGAAAATGGCTGAACCTATTTGGCTAATTTTAGTCTTGAAATACTCCTGGACGTCCAAAAATGGTTTAAAAGGTGAGAAAAATTGGAATAATTGCTAGAAAAACCCTAAAAACAGCCCTTTTCTATTTCCCATACAAACGTTTTTTTTGACATTAGATTTGACAACTAACTAATATGTCAATCGTTCTGTTTGATTGAAACAGGAAAAACCTGATTATTTATGGCCTCTAAGACGGAATAGAGTTCGCCTGGTCAGCTATAACTACATATATTACTCTTGACCAAACTAACGCGGACGAAGTCGCGGGCAAAAACTAGTTTTATATATATAATTCTTCTGTGAGTGTGTATGTCACTGAACTTCTCTCAAACGACTGGACTTGAAATTTTTTGTGTGTGTTCAAGGGGATCTGGGAATGGTTTTGATTCACAATCTGTCCGCTTGACAATGTTTTTTTAATCTATATCTATATTCTATATATGTATATAAAAATGGATTGCTGTTCCTTAGTCTCGCTAAAACTCGAGAACGGCTGAACGGATTTATCTTATCTTAGTCTTGAAATGTTCGTGGAGGCTTAGGGAAGGTTTAAAAACTGAACAAAATTGATTCATTTCCGGGAAAACCCTAAAAACAGCCCTTTTCTATTTCCCATACAAACGTTTTTTTCAATAGATTTGACAACTAACTAAATCACTCTGTCGCACTTCAAAACATGGAGATTTATGGCTTAAAGGTAAACTCCAAAAATATAAATAAAAAAACGTAACAGATATTTCTTTAATTTCTCGCTACATAATAAACATAGTTCTTTGAAACAAAAAGCTGATTCACTGATAATAATTGATGTAGTACGAGGAGGACTTGCTGTGGATGTACTGACTTCTTGTTCTTCACGTTGTCTTTTATTAGCAGCAGAAAAAGAAGACTTTCGAATATAATTTTTACGGCAATTTTCATATATTGTCACAGATTTCTGATTTTTGAGATATTTCGAAAAATCATCAGCTCTTTCGATACTTGCATTAATTAATACCAGGTTCAACAGTAACAACTTCACTTTCAGTTAAAAGTTTACACAAATAAATCAATATTTATATATATAAATCTTCTTCTTCTACCTGGCAATTTCCCAGCTATAGCCAGGGTCTGCCTTAGATGTTGTGAATAGTTTTGGCTATTTGTTTTTACGACTTGACTCCTGCCTGACATCAACCCTCTTTGGGAATCAGCATTAATCAGTGATGTCTAAATACTCTTAGAAAGTACATATAACTCGGAAATATCACATTGGTATTTGCCCGGGCCAGGATCGAACCCGCACCCTAGTGTATGAGAGGCGGGCCTTTTAACAACTAGGCCACCACTGACTGTTATATATATAAAATATAACAACTCTAGATTATATACGTGTCGTACTCATGCATATTATGACGATAACAACTTTTATAACTTTTTGAATCGTTATATCTCAGAAACGGTGACTCGTAAGAAAAGAAGTATTGATATAGATAATTTTATGATCTATAATTTTTGTCTGAGGTACTTTTATGATAAAACTTACCGTTTTGCTGAAAATCGCGAAAAACTCATTTTTTTGACCTTTGACCTAGAATAAAAATTTTCCTTACAGGGGAATGATGGGGAACTTCTAGACATCGTTTATAATTATGTTTTGAACAATATCACAAAAATTCAGCTTGTTGGGACTTTATGTAACTTCACTCTCATTTTTAGGTCTAAATTGACCGGACTATATAATATGTATAATAACATCCATTACGTTCACAGTTTTTCTGTAATGTATTTAGCATCAGCATTGCACCCGTGCGAAGCCGGGCTAGGTCGCTAGTATAAATATATAAATGAGGAGGAGAATATGAACAAAATGTTTACAAATAACATTTATTAAACAAAATATACAAGTTTTATTTAGTTTACTACTACAATTATTCTTAATGTCTATGGTAACTGAAGCATTGATATTATAATACAGGCGAGGACCGTCACGATACGGACACGACACGACCACGACGACGACGAACGACTCGGGAAGAAAAATGAACTCTCTGGAAACAAGAAATAATACGATATTAATATATGAGCGTATTGTATTGTTGTAGTTGTGACGTCATCGCTACTAACTCTTCGTTTCGTTGGGGTCAGTGACCCCGCACTGCTTGTATGATATGGTGGTCTTCCTCTTAGTATTGACGTAGCCCGGGATGAAGATGCTGGGAGCGGCGAGGCGACCCGACGCTAGCAACCTGATATAATATTATAACTTGTTATAGTTAATCGTAAATAAGGCATCCACGACACAAGCTCGCTTAGTTTGGACGCCCCTGGAAATCGCGCCATGTTATATGAAAAATATTAATAAAGTATTTTTCATTTTAATTTTTTCAATATGTACACATATGAGGAAACACTTGTATACGGAATACAAGGACGTTACTCAGAAAGGAACAATAACACTTATATGACTGGCAGTCATCTTGAAATAACAGATAACGATGTTTCGTCTTGTATTGAGTGATTTTTTCTGTGTTACACATGTTGTATACATTTACGATATATACAGGGTGACTGGTGAATTACTATCGATACTTGAGGACGTGATATTTGACGATCATATATGACAAAATAAAAATTAATATAACATAAATATTAACAAACTTCTAAGTAAAGTTAACCAAAAGTTATGTAATTAATTACGCATCGTGTGAACACGCTACAGATTAGGTATACACACACTCACTCACACGCGCGTGCGGCGGCGTGGTGTTGTATCAGCACGCCGCCGCACGCGTCCACACTTGGAACACTTGGAACGTGTCAACACTTTATTTATTTATACGGAAATTTGGTCAAAAATTAAGTACCTATTTTTTTTACATAATTCGAATGAGAATCATGTACCGAGTATGCTTCTTAAATATTGATAGTAATTCACCAGTCACCCTGTATATAAAAGAAAGTTGTGTTAAGTACACTATTTATAACTCAAGAACTGCCATGGATATGGTAGAAATTTGGTGGGAAGTTAGAATCACTAAACGGACATAGGATATTTAATTCTGTTCGATCGAAAAAGAAAAAATAATAAATTCCATTATCGGGTTATTTATTTATCGATTTAGCTCGATCATATTTACATATTATATTAGTAATGCCGATGAAGTCGCGAGCGAAAACTATTATTACATGTATTTTATTTTAAACATTAATAGGGAAAATATATTTTTAATACTACCAAAGAAATGCTCACACAGAAAAGAAATTATATAGTACTAGCTTTCCGCCCGCAGCATCGCCTGCGTGGAGTTCGGTTATATCGCGTTTCCAAAAAACCTTTCGAAAATCTGTGATAAAACTATCCTATGTTCTTTCTCAAGGTCAACTCCATCTCTGTACCAAAATTTCATTAAAATCAGTTCAGTGGTTTAGGCGTGAAAGCGTAACAAACAGACAACAACAACAGAGTTACTTTCGCATTTATAATATTAGTATGGATACTATAAGGTAGTGTATACCTCGTGAAGTCAAGCTCGAGTCTGTTAGCATCTGGTCCCGTGAAGTGCATGAGCAGTTGTAGACATGAGCCTCTGTGGAGAGGACGCGTGCGGCGAGAGTCTACAGACACCATCCATGGCGGAGCGCCCAGGACCTTACGGACCTCCGACAGGAACTGACCTCTAGGACATACAGCTCACTATATACTGGCATTAACTCAAACTCAAACTCAAATAACTTTATTCAATATAGAAGCATTACACTTTCTTATTGATAGTCACTTGAGACACTACCACCGGTTCGGAAAACAAAATACCCTGACTATATACAGACTCCCGGAGAATAAATATACATAGCGGCCCAGTGGGACGTCTCGATATGTATATTTCTTTGTCTTTATATTCATAGAATCATTGTAAGCGATCTGATTTTACTATCTTAAGTCAGCATGACGACGTAGACAAGCGTTCCTTATGTTATTGTTACATAATGAAAAAACAGTTTTTCATTCACAAATCTTCTCATAATATAGTATATTTATATAAACTCAGTCTATGCAACCTTGTGCTAAGCATATAGATTATTTATATATTCCTTTATAGGAAATATGCTGTATAACAATAATATAATATTCTATTCTGTTCTATAACAGATGTTGACTTATACAAACAAAAGAGTATTACAAATTATGAAAGTACACGTGTGAAGTAATTCTTTCATTATATTCATACTAGTTCTATCTTTTCTCAACACTGAACCCTAGTTATAAGTATGTTATCAAACTTGTTGTCATATTATCATAACGTATTACACTCACAGCACGAATCTAGGCGGCTTCATGACGTTGACGTATTTGATGATGTCCTTGTCAGGTTGTATGTTGGCGCACGCGAACCTCTCGGAGGAGCGGCCCGGCCCGAGCACCACCAGCGACCGACCTACGGCTGACACGGAGCCCGAGAGGGGGAGGTTGCTGTCCACGAACACTTGACGCGCACCACCCACCGCTGATATATAGATAATACGACGTATAATGAAGAGAGGGGGAGTATGTACTCCATAATAATACAGAAGCTATAACAACTTGCTGCAAGGATGGACTTACAATGTATGAAAAATATTCTCAGTCATTTAAATGCTTTTTTTTTTTTTTGCAATGTTTGTATACATTATATATCGAAAGTGATATTGTGAGAAGAAATGACGAATCTGATACAAATAATTTTCGTGTTTAATAACTTTTATTGTGAAAAATTTGGAAATTGACTATAGATATACGTATATATATACAATATTTTTTAAGTCATTTATTCTCTCTTCACAAAATACTTGAAACACATTATCTTATATAAATATACATTAGTAAGAGACTGGAGCCCGTGATGAGTATAAGAATTTGTAACCATAGTGTGAAGTAATCAATATAAACCGTTTATATATTTGTTTATATAATATATTGAACATCTCACATATAGTTCCGAGCCTGGAGGTGAGGTCGCCCACGTCACACCGCAGAGGATTGTCCGCGCCACACTCCTGACTGTACAGGTCGTGCTGCGACAAATAATATTATATGAAGAACACTGTGTGTGTGTGTGTGTGTAATTTTATTTTATTTAATAGGAAGCCAACGTGATACGCAAAAACTTATAACTACATTATAACATGATGGAACATTATTGTTTACAATTGCGTATCATCACTTACAGGCTAACTCAACGTGGGTTACATAATGTTTAGATCTTACTCCAACACTTACTAGATACACTAAAAAAAAGGTAAAAAAGTATGTATATAACAACAAAAAGGAATAAAAAATAATAATAATCATCTAAAAACAGCTTTATAAAAAGTTATGACATTATTAAGAATGAAAATGTTTTTTAATGACTTACATTCAGCGGGTCGGCGAGCTGCGTGAAGTGCGGGTTCCATCGATACCCTCCGGCCACACAGCGCGTGCCGGTCACCTTCACCGCCGCGTCCACACCCACCGGGTTCACGAACACCTCCCAGCCGTGCTCGTGAGTCTGAACACAGAACACACACATGACACTCACTGACACTCACTGACACTCACTGACACTCATCACACACATCAAACAGTTGCTAGATTTATACGCGGTGGAACTATACCGGCTATATCTCTCTACTACCTACTAAAATACTTGGTACATACAGCGTGTTCTAAGAACTGTGTCCTCCCTTAAAGGCATGTATAAATATAAGTATAAGCTTATTATTAAAAATAGTATAACTTAAAAAATATCAAGCAGAGATCAGTTACAGTGCATAGGATAAATAAGTTTTAAATCGACGTTATTTGAAAAAATGTTTCAAACATCTAACCGATAAACAGTTAAGGCGCCGTATAGTCGCGTCGGCGCACGCGCGGCAATTAATCGCAGGCGCCGGGCTGCCGGCGTTATTATTATTATTTTTTTAGTTTTTCGAATAGAGATTTGCAAGTTTAATAATTAGGTATATCGATAAATATTCTGTCGATATTTTCAATATTGCTATAAATAGCCATGCTTTTCACATTAAAATAATTTCATCTAAAAAAACCTTTCTTAATAATGAATATTATTAATAAATATTATAATTTGGAACTACTTCAGGTAAAGTAATTATGTTGTATTATTAGGATAAATCGTTAATCTACTTCTGTTAAAAATGGTATTATACAATCAAAAATAATTTTAATGTTTGATACCTATATCAAAATAAGTAACGAAATAATATGAATATTAAATATTTATTTATTGTTATGATTTTTTAAATATCGATATTTTTAATTCGAGCCTATGCCGCCCTTTTAATAAAAAAAAATAATAGTTCGTTCCTCGTGGAAATTTCTTCCGAGTGGATTACTTTTTGGTTACGGTTTTACAAAATTGTGTTGTTTTATAAAGTGTTCTCCAACCAGGAATATTTCAATACGTTAATATGTCTAGGGAATCATTTAATATTTAATTTTATTATTTTTATTGAAGACTTTGTAATTGTAAGTTGTTTGATTGTGTTCCATTTTCGATACTGATAATATTTAAGGGGGTTGACACAATTTTTCATACACACTGTATATGGATATAACGTTAGATCCAGCTCCTCACAGTGAATCCATTGAATGCTAAGAGGTTCCGTCTCTCATAAGGAGAATCACGTGTATAAAACAATGTTCTAATTCTAGATACATCTGAGTTTAATAATTAATTTCCCGCGCGGTCTTATCTATGAGGACGTATCTAGAAACCAGTGGCGGCTGTACCTTAAGTGCACTCGTGCGCTGAACCACCAATTGAAAAGATTTAAAAATTACAAAATATTACTTCATCCTTATTTTTAAATTACCATTTTAATATTTATTTTTTAAACATACAAAAACGTATAAAAAATTAAATTTCCAATTATGGTAAAAAGTTTGAGCGCTTCACTAAACTCATATCGTGCGCTTCGTCGAGTGCACGAGGACTGCTAATACATCTTGTATGAAATACGAAATAACACGCCTGACGCGTGAAACAAATGATAGTTCATAGAAATGTACCGAGTAATGAGTCGGTTCTCGAGCGCCGCACGAAGCGGCCGAAGATTAGCGAGAGCACCCGATGTATGACGAATTGAGCCGTGATTGACATCTCGTTATGTTTTGTTGCATTTTCTAATTTTAATATTTTAGTAAAGTGCACCACCAGTTCGACTACCCACCGGCCGCCACTGAATTAGAAACTCCTCCCAAACCCCACGCCGTATATAACACACAACCAAGTCAAGTTGAAGTTTCTCACCAAGTTCCGGTCCCTGACCCCAGGGTGTCTCAGGTTGACCTCTATGACAGTGTCGCTGGCGCTGCCGTCGTTGTGTATCAGCTGTGTGAACCTCACGTAGCCCCACGCGAAGCCCCCGGGGTGGTGGAAGGAGGCCACGGCGCGGAGCTCGCGGGCCTCGGACGGACTGTACCCACGCTCTATGGACGAACACGCCCAGCGACGGTCAGACGACTGGAACGAATGAGGGAGCGAGACGGAATATATGAATATATGGAGAGAGAGAGAGAGAGATGGAGCTCACTAACAAGACAGAACTTAACCAGATGAGCGATCATGATCATAATTAAAATTAATAATAATATTCATTTAAATACAAATCAATTGATATTGTTATAAAACTGTTAAATAATTCAATTTCTTTTTAATTATATAATCGATCCAAAGAAAATAATCTTATGATAATTACTAATGTTTAATATATTTAGTGCATGCTGTGATTACGTATAAAATACAACTATCAAGTGTGTTCAATTGTTAACTATATAATATTTGTAATACTATTGTCATTTCTGTTGGTGATCCTATAAAATACATAAATAAATAAATAAATTATGAGTTCTAATTTTGACGAGTATTCATTTACATGAAACCAATTTCTTCTGATGCTAAACGTATCATTATCGTTATCAAATCCCGTCTGACCGTGATAACTGATTTTTTATGTGAAAGGTGACAAATAAGCAGACGGCTTACTTAATGGGCAGTAGTGAGCGTCGCCCATGGACATCAGCAACATATCTTATGTTGCGAATACGTTGACATCCTTGGTTATTAAGAAAAAGGAGATGTGGGAATAAAAGAAATGTCTAAAAAGGGTGGGAAATAGGGAAAGGGCAATCGGCTCTCTCACTCATCGGACGAAACGCAGCCATTAATGACTACATGACATGAGAGGGTGTTACTTCCCCGGTCGGTCCAGACCATAATCGTTAACTTGACCACAGCTAGACTCTACCACCTTGCAAAATAACCGAAACTTCGAGAGTATCTAGTTTTCTTAATAATAAAATACGCAAAGTAATCCGACAAAAATTGGTTTCATGTTAATCATGACTTCGTGACGTCACTAACTAGTATCGCCTACCTTTTTATGTAGAGCGACCGACCGTCCCAGGATACTGTACGGTCCGTACAAGGAGAGTTGAGTCTCATTGTAGTAGGTGGAGTATTTTTTCAGATCATTCAACAGACCGTATTTACCGCCCAGGTCACCTAACATGTATTGGTCCGCTGTGCCTGTAAATTATTATTGAATATTGTTAAAAGTTATGCTATGTTATTATAATTAAATGTAGTGAAATAACCTAGAGTTTACCGGCCCGCCTCTCATACATGAGGGCAAGTACCAATGTGATTGTTTCGAGTCATATGTACTTTATAAGAGTATTTAGATAGCACTGACAAACGGTGAACGAAATTTTCGTGAGAAAACTTGGACTTAAAATATCAAATTAGAATGAAATGACAATAACTTTGAAATCATCAACTCGTCTTGACCAAGCGTGATGATTAATGCTCAAACCTTCTCAATGTAAGAAAGCCTTTTGCTCAAGTGAGCTCTAATAGGTTGATGATGAGTGTAATAAATAATAATAATAATACACTTTATTGTTCACCACAATAGCATAGAAATTTAACATTAAAAATGAAATATATATAAAATATTAATTATGTTGGACAATAAGGCGGTCTTATCGCTAGGTAGCGATATCTACCAGACAACCTTATGGGCTTAGGAACACAGTCATGATTTGAGAGAAGGATGGTGCCACATGTTATAAACGTTAAATGTTTATTAAATAATAATTATTATCATATATACATACACACATACATACATACATTCAAATGCTATATCAAATATCAGATGTATTGTCACCATAAGACAATGAATCTAACCTTTGGTCGGCGGCGGTACTTGGCTCTTGTTGACGTGAAAAGGGTTGTACGTATCATAGATGGTCGTCCTCTCACAGGGAAACTCCAAGTCTCTTTCAATGGGAGTCTAGAAAAGGATCAAAACTATAGAACATTATTAAGGAACGCTTGTGTGCAAATGGTTACTATACAATTAATGAGTTTATGAACGATAGCACACCTTGGGAATGAAACGATCGCCTCCTGGCTATTTCATCTCATATTAAATTGTTTACATAAATATATAAAAAAAACCCGCTGAGTTTCTTCCGCCGGTTCTTCTCAGGTCAGGGTATTTTCTTTAACTGGTGGTAGTGTCTCAAGTGGCCATCAATAAGAAAGTGTAATGCTTCTATATTGAATAAAGTTATTTGAGTTTGAGTTTGGTAATTAAAACATTATACATCCACATGTTTGGTCAACTCACGACATGTATATTATATCCCCCGGCGTCTGCTGCTAGTTCTTCGAGCGTCACCTCCACATTGACCACGTCGTACTCCGACTGCTGAGTGAATTCCATCTTCCCACGAAGACGAATCTCATTCCCGTTCCCGAACCAGTCTTGTACCACCGCCTTACGACGAGCGTGACCAGACACACTGATAGATACAACTTGTATTATAAATTTAGTTAGTTAGTGATTATTATGTAATGTTTTATTAAATTTATTATTATTGTTTTTAATTTGAATCTTGATTTACAATTATTATATTTTGCATGGTGTGATAGCCTATAATTAAAAGGACATTTAAGTTATTATTAATATTTATAATGAAATGAATGTAATAATGTTTTCTTTTGTTGGTTATCCAATAAAAATAAAATACGTTCTTTCTCCTGATGATATTGAAGGCTTTTTTGTTAAAGTTATTTCAAGTTTCATTTAGTTTTAAAAAACCCTAATTCATCAATCATTTACTAATCATACTTCATACTCGCACACGGAAGGCACTTAATCCTGTATCATTGGCCAAAAAGGGCTCGCATCGTTTTTTAAAACATCTGACGCTTACATTCCTAGTAACTAATGGAACTAAACATTGTCAGGAACTGGCAGGGAAATTGGCTTCCAAATGAAAAGAATCGCATCGAAATCGGTCGAGCCGTTTGAAAATTATGACGTCACAAATACACGAACAGAAATGTCAAAGTCATAACAGCTATAGCTTTTTGTGTCGGAACTTAAAAATAGTCATTCATTTAATGAAATGAATATACATAGTTATTAGTTATTACGACATACTTTCTTCTTTTCAAGAAAAAAAAATAAAAATTTCAAATATATTATCTCTTAAATAAGAAAAAAAAAATTAAATATAATAAATAACATAAGAAATGTAAAAAAAGTATTTCTCTCCGGCGGGGAATCGAACCCCGGTCTCCCGCGTGACAGGCGGGGATACTGACCACTATACTACCGAAGATGATAACTGCATGTGAAAATATATGTATATAACGTTTATATACAATATTAACACTTATTTTTTGACAACGTATTTATTCTATGAAATATTTAATGAATTAAGTTTAAAAATACTTTCATTCGTTTCGAATAAAATTATACCTTTCGATTTTATAACTAACAGAAATAATTCAATATTTTATCTATTGTGATAAGACAGAATTTATATTTAAAATAAAGAATTCTTTTAATTTAATCAGAGTGTTAAATTCATTATAATTATACTCGTAGGTCATACTCACATGGAGCATGCCATCCTCTCCCCGCGCGCGACAGGTCCGTGGTCATCATACACCACTAGTGACCGTCTGATGACTGACCTCCGGCCGTGGAGAGAGATGACCGGGTCAGAGAACAGACGCCGCGTTAGAGATGATGAGGAAGACTTCTTACCGGCTACTGATAGGGTGCCGTGTCTAAGGAAACGAACATGTTATCTCTATACAATGACTTTTTTTCGTTTATTGGTAATCCAACAGCGTTAAAGTAATTTTAGAATAGTAACAATATAGCTATAAAGAAGACCAATTTAGGATTACATAAATTTACAGTTCTATTTACACTCGAGCATACAATTAAGGAAAAAAAGAAAAAAAAGCAAAGCAAATGGTGTTAAATACAAAAGTGTGTGTGTGAGTGTGTGTGTGAGTGTGTGTGTATGTGTGTGTGTGTATGTGTGTGTGTGTATGTGTGTGTGTGTGTGTGTGTGTTTAACATACAATTACGGGTTACGATGTATCTTTATTATTTCTTTTTTAAGTTGGTTTTATTAACATGGTTTAGGTCTAGATGTGAATCAAATTTATTTTATTATAGTCGTAGTGAAAAGCTCCATACCTGGTAGTGAGGTCCCCGAGTCGACACAGTCCTTCAAGGCCCCTCCTACAGTAGTACTCTGGATGTCTACTGTCCAGGTCGACCCCGTACGGGTCCAGCAGGCCCCCCGCGGACAGGCAGCGGCCCGTCCAGTTGTAGTAATCCTTACCAGGAGGCTCCGAGTGAAGAGCCCAGCGGTGATCGAATGTGTTGTTTACATTAGCACCGTCTGCGTGGACCTAGATAACGATAAAATTATGGTTAAAGATACTTCATTTCCCAAAAAGAAATAACATTTCACTTACTTGAGAAACTTATGACTATAAACATATTTTAAATTAAAACTTGGACAATCATAATAAATGTATCACTAGGTAGTTTAACATATTCTTACAATAAATTTTGCTTTAAACAAGAAATTTAAAATATACACCCTCAAAGCAACAATGATTGTGTACAAAACAGCGATAAGAAATGCAAACTAATAGACACAGAGTAACAAAAACAGTTAGATCATTAGTTATTTATTTCATACTTTATTTTTATTCTATTTAATTTAATTTAATTTTTTATTTGTGCATTAGCGTATATTACTTATTTTATTTTGAACGAATTTGCATTTTTTATCTCTTTAGGTAATTTATTATAGATTTGTACTTCAGCAAAGATCACGGGGGGCATACCTAAAGCGATTCGGACTTGAGGTAATAGGATACCAACAATTAATGACTTGAAAAGAAAGTGCAAAGAAAAGCAATGACCTAAAATCTGAATTATATTAATTTTCTTGATAGAACAGGCATTATAACTCACCATACTCTCAATAATAATGGTGGTATCTTCCCAGGGCCGCTCGCTAGGTTGTCTGAACAGTACACTGCCCACTATGGGGTATCTGAAGACTACCCTGGCGGATGTCATCCTCGTCTGTTCATCTGTACCGTACTCATACAGTAGGAGCGTGCCACACACCTCGTGCTTGGGAGGACGACTGGGAAGAAAATTGAATTCATAGATTCATTAACAGTTTGTTTGTATATGAGAATCTTCTTCTACCTGGCAATTTCCCAGCTTTAGCCAGGGTCTGCCTTACATGTTGTGAATAGTTTTGGCTAATAGTTTTACGACCGGCCGCCTGCCTGACATCAACCCTGTTTTGTTTGTATATGAGACTGTAGTTCATTATTCTTTTCAGACGCTAGACTTGAAACATCAAAAAGTTTGACAAAAAAAATGTTTCAAAAAATAACAATAATAAAGATTCAGATGATGATGATAGTTCTGAAATAGTTTTTAGTATTTAAGAAATGTTATTTAGATTTGTGAATAATTTATAGTGATAATATGAAAGTATTACACGAACACAGTTAAATAAAACCATGGTTTTGGAATTTACTGCTGTCTATATTCTATATCATTCGATCCGATATTTCTTTTCCTTTACATCCAATATAATCTCGGGTAAACACTTTCACCTCATCCGTCTTCGACCAAATCATAAACAAAAGTTTTATTTAATTTATACATTGGATTCTACAAGGTATGTACTACATTTCAATTTCAATTCAATTAAAAGCGCCTGAACAAAAATAATACTGATAACTCAGAGGTGTACTGTTAATATAACTTTTATAAAACTACTAGAAGACCCGGCGAACTTCGTATCGCCCTATAATCAAGAAATATCTGTTACGTTTTTTATTTATATTTTTGGAGTTTACATATTAAACCCATAAATATCCGTGTTTTCAAGTGCGACATAATGATTGACATATTAGTTAGTTGTCAAATCTAATGTCAAAAAAAAACGTTTGTGTCAACAACTACTAATAAATTAAAAATTAATTAAAAAACATTGTCCAGTGGACAAAATTGTGAATCTAAACCATTCCCAGATCCCCTTGAACACCCACAAAAAATTTCATCAAAATCGGTCCAGTCGTTTGAGAGAAGTTCAGTGACATACACACTCACAGAAGAATTATATATAAAGATCCAGACACAAACTACGTGACTCACATACTTTATAGAGGAAACACAATGTATACAGTTAGAGTCCAGTCGTTTTCCTATTACTGTTATGATTTCTTTTATAATAAACTTAACTGTTTGAAATATCCTCAATATAGAGGATCAGGTATATATTATACATTTGTCAACAGTTGCTTATTATATTATCTTCTATATATATAAAAATGGATTACTGTTCCTTAGTCTCGCTAAAACTCGAGAACAGCTGAACGGATTTATCTTATCTTAGTCTTGAAATGTTTGTGGAGGTTCGGGGAAGGTATAAAAGGTGAAAAAAATTGATTCATTACTGGGAAAAGAAGAAAAACAGCCCTTTTCTATTTCCCATACAAACGTTTTTTTGACATTAGATTTGACAACTAACTGATATGTCAATCATTCTGTCGCACTTCAAAACACGGAGATTTATGGCTTACAGGTAAACTTCAAAAATATAAATAAAAAAACGTAACAGATATTTCTTGATTATAGGGCGATACGAAGTTCGCCAGTTCTTCTAGTTTAATATAAGTACTAACCGCGTGAGCACGACCGCTCGATGCATCACACTATGCTTCCCGCTGAGAGGTAGCCATGTGTCCCAGTACGCTCCACTCAGCTCGTTGGCCAGTCCTGGCAGCAGGTACTTGTGGTTGAGGTACTCGGTGCGGTCCTTGTACTTACCGAGCAGGTCACCCACCGGGTACTGGTCCTGGGTACCCATACCTTACACAGACATACATACACATTATACATACATACATACATAGACATCAACACGATTTCTGATTCAAATTTCCATGTATGAAAATGAAACTAATATTTTCGGATTTTACTTCGCGTTTTTATTTTTTGATTACAAACCACATACTCCCGACGTTTCGGCTACTTTTCAGCAACCGTGATCACGGTTAAATATTAGTTTCTTTTAAATGAGTACTCGCGAAAATCTTAGATCTCATTCCATGTATGTATTTAGTAGACAGCAGGCGAATTTTTATTAATAAAGCTCGCGTAGTAAAATCCAAATATTATTAGTTTCATTTAAATTAATAAAACTCACGAATCTTAGATCTCATTAGCAAGTGAGTTTAATATTTAAATTCAAATGATTGTAATGAATTAATTTCTATTTAAATAAGATTACCATTAATGTAATAATGATATAATGAAGTAATTTGAAAAAAAATTCATAATCCTAATTAATACATTGGAATGATTATCATATAATTGATATTGTAATCATTACTATAACGAGGTTATTATATCCATAATATAAGTTCTCAATATTCTAAGAACTCATCTCATCGGAGTGTGTCAGTAGTGGTATGAGTTTTCTAAACACTGTCAATAATCCACAACATCCACACAAGACCTCGAACGTCCGAATTCCTAACGAGTAAACAATCTTGGAATAATTCCAAGAACAGGGGAAATAACGAATAAGACGGCTCAGAAAACTAGTGTTCATGTATTGAATATATTATATTTAGAATAACATAATAATAGAAGTAATGAACTAGAGATATTATAGAAATAACTTTATTAGTACGAGTATATAGAACTAATTACATTCGATGTTATCCTCGTCAAAACGCAGAACATGACTTACGATAGGAATTGTAGTATTCTTACTACAAGTTTCCGTCACACTACTCATAAACGTTACCAGTTTTTGACGTAGTTTTTGTAGATAACATATATTTGTACACATAATGAACAACATTCAAATTAAATGTCTATTACTGATAGCCTCTGTATCATTATTTATACTGACATTAATATAACATATTAATGTTTAAGACTTTAAGAGGTGGTCAGATAAATCGTGAGAAAGTTATAATAATTAATGGATATAAATTAACTAAAATATAAGAGATTGACTGTTCGTTAAGACATGATCAACCAGCCGAGGAACGAAATTTGTACGTAACAATTATGGAATAAATACATCTTAAACCTACACCTAGGTAAGTCCCAGTCACTGTTGAAGCTCCTCTCACTACAACGATGGACCCGACACACGCATATGAATACATTGAATGATGAGAAGTTTCTACCTCTTACCTGGTGGTGGTATGTTATTCAAGTTCAGTCCCATGGGATTGTATAAGTGGCCCGTAGTATTACACACGCTGGTCCACTGACTGGCGTCCACCAGCTTCGGAGGAAGTTCCCTGATGCTGTACTGGAGCATGGAGCTCACGAAGCGAAGGTTGGACTCGTAGTCCTGGTCCGACGCACCAAGTTGGAAGTTAGCCCAGGTCGGGTCGAAGGGCGAGCGCTGACTGAACTCAACGATGCCTCGTATACCGTCCATGTTGATGAGGGCTCTAGAACATTTAATGTTAGGATTTAGTTCCAAAGAAATGATAGTAAAGTATTAAGTATGAAAACTTCCAAATATGTGGTTAGCAAATTTCTTGAGTGTATTGGTAGAAGATATATGGTTGCTTAAATGAGAATCATGTTTTTTCTTCAATTTACACTTGAATTATTACTGTTCTATTCCATATATATCCCTAATAATATTATAAATGCGAAAGTAACTCTGTCTGTCTGTTACTCTTTCACGCCCAAACCACTGAACTGATTTTAATGAAATTTGGAACAGAGATAGAATTGACCTTGAGAAAGAATAAAGGATAGTTTTCATCCCAGACTTTTGGAAAGTTCTCTTAGAAACGCGATATAACTGAACTCCACGCGGTCGAAGCTGCGGGCGGAAAGCTAGTGATAAGTAAATGTTAAAGTGAATATATCTCCTATTTGGTATAAGCTGATGATTTCCATCTGCTATTAAACTCACTTGGTGCTCCTCGGAGGCATGATCCTCAGCTTGGCGCACGCCAGGAAGCTCTCTGAGTGTTTGTTATCATATATGACCACGTACAGACTCCTGCGCGTCACCTCCATATCATTCCTCAGTACATTCAACACGTCGTCTCTGTACAGAGTCCTCGTGTTCTTCACGTTCGGGTCCGTCGCTACTTTGATGAGTCCCAGCCTACTGTCCAGGTCTCCAACGCTCATTCCGTCTCCACTGTTTTCAGGGTCGAATACAAGTTGCAGAACATTACAGTTATCTTCATGGTTACCCTTGTCTGAATCAAAGATATCTGTCACAAATAACTTCCACTTGTGCTGTGTGTATCCTTGGTTTTCCTTCACTGTCTTGATGTGGTATAAGTCTGCCTGTATGTAGGAGTCGGTTTCATCGAACTCTCTCGCTGCTAGCCATCTAAAGTGTAATGTCCCCGCTATAGGAGCACTGAATCTTGCGAACGCGTGTTTCTCGTACAGTTTTTCCGTTGAGAGTATCGAGGCGCAGATGATCCTATCTTTCTCAGCAGTTTCTAATAATATACTCTTGCCCCACAGTCCCAGAGGCCCCGTGAGAGTTACTTTACTCTCGAACTCGGCGTGATCCTTCCCAGGCACGATCAGGTAGCCGAGTTCCTCCGTCAGATCTACGACTTCTCTCCCCAGATTCTCTTGTGAGCATCTTTCGTTGGATATATCCGTATAGTCCACGGGATACTCGTGTATAGCCCACCGCCACACTCCATCAGGATACTGTAGAGTAGTCTTCAAGTTGGTTCTGATGCTGATGAGACTCTCATTCTTGTGTGAGAACTCGATCTCTCCGTGGAGGCCGTGTTGTGATATGTACGCTCTCAGTACTAGAGCGTTCACATCTGGAAATTAAATTAATATTTAATGACAGAAATATTACAAATCAGTAAGGAATATATAAAGGTTATTTGTTATCATTCGCTAATTATTAAAGCCTATTTTACATATGTCTTGTGGCTTATATTCCTTTGATTATAAACCTTAATATGAGAATGTAAGACATTAAGAGTTCTCCAGGTTGATTAAATATAAAGGGACGAGCGTCACACCAAGTCAGATCTAGTTTAATATTGTCTTCCTTATATTATTTATGTTATCTGCACCACTAAAGAACAAGTCAAATCTTCGATCCATTAATTATTTCTAAGTACATAGTATTTACTAAAAAGGGCTTAACATACTCTAGTTGTATGAAGTTATATATGAGAAGGTCGTCGTAAAGAAACAAATTCATTTTATAAACAAAAAAAAATTTCTCTCTCAGGTCGGGACGGCAGAGAAAACATCAAAACATATTTACTTCTCTTAGAAATACAAGAAAAACAACTTAAAATTTTAAGTATAAAGTTATATAGTTCACAACTCACCTGTAAATATAAATAATATAACTATACACAAAAGCTTTGGCACATGACTAATTTGGTGGGACATTTTTTTATTTATTAAACATTTTACTCTTTAACATCTTACGAGTAACTGACCATTCCGCGTGGTTAAGTGAAAGTTAAGTCAAGTCTTAGACTGGTTGACTGAGACGGGTATATGGTTAGAGAGAGACGGAGATAACATACGTCATGAGGTGAATGGTGGTTTGAAGGATGTTTTGGAGATTGAGCGGGAAAATTACTGAAAAGGGGAAGGATGACCACGAAACGAATTAAAATATTTATTATGCTTCACATATCTTTAATAACTTTAGCATTTATAAGTAAAACATATCAAACAGCCATTAATATAAGGAAATATGTACGTCTAAATAATATATTCAAGTCTCAGTCATAATATTAAATGTGGAAAAACGAGGTGGAATGCGTCGTTTATTTTTGTAATCAAATCCATTTCTCTATTCAGTATCAGTTTCATTGTAATAATGACAATAATTACTTTTCATGTTATAATTATCTTATTATTATAATAGTAATTAGGGGGATATAAATATCAACAGTACATTACGATGATGGATGGAAATATTTATAAACTGATTTATGGAAATGTAAAAATATATAAATAGAATTAAATATTTAATGTATAATTATATCGTCTTATTATTGCTAATATTATATAAGAGATTTCCACTGATGTATTGACTCATCACGGTATCTCTCGAAAGAAGAGGCTTGAAATTATATAGAAACGTCCTTTTGACGAGTAGAGGTGAGATAAGAACGGAGTTTAAAAAATTATACCTACAAGAATTGTTACCGGGAGTAGACAAAGATAAATTTTTGTTTTTAAAAGATAGTTACTACATGCTCCAATTTTAATAAATATCTTCTACTAGTTTTTGCCCGCAACTTCGTCCGCGTTAATTTCGTCATTAGTAATATATGTATAGCTGACCGGGCGAACTCTATTCAGTCTTAAATAACCAAGTATTAATTAAATTTTTCCTGTTTCAGTCGAACAGAATGATTGACATATTAGTAAGTTGTAAAATCTAATGTCAATACAAACGTTTGTATGGGAAATAGAAAAGGGCTGTTTTAAGGTTTTCCCGGAAATGAATCAATTTTTTTCAGCTTTGAAACCTTCCCTGAACCTCCACGAACACTTCAAGACTAAGATAAGATAAATCCATTTAGTCGTTCTCGAGTTTTAGTGACACTAATGAACAGTGATTCATTTTTATATATATAGATATGTGAAGTAGATATTATCTATGTTCGAATTTTATAATGTCATATCTAATAATGGTTGCAGGAATGGGTAGTAACAATGAAATTTTTTATATTTCCAGCTAGTATTTAAAGGAGATCGAAAGTATTGCATACAATTCTGGGCCCTCAATGTAAAGACATGAAAATAGTATTAATTAAAAGGTTCAAAATTAAGAGTTTCTTCATTGAAAATTCTATAGAAATTGACAATCAGTAGGCTAAGTTATTGGAGATTTAGTAAAAGTGAGGTTATACTGCATTATCTTCAATAGTTAGATGAATACACTTAAAAGTATGTGAAAAATAATAATTTTATTTAGTGGGCAAAGTACTTTTCCCAGTGGTTCCATCGCATGTAGAGGTGTATTGACGGGAATGGACAATATTTTGAAAAGATATAATAAAACTAATAACTGGCTAATGTAATCAGTTTTTGATTTTCTAAGAACTTTCAGTTTGACCCTCGTATATGCCATGAAAAACTTATTTATTATACTACGAAGTATTAAAGAAAGTTTGACAAAAAATGTAATATTTACGAACACTCCATAAACATACATAAAAGGTTATTTTAAATTTTAGTTGTTCATATATGTATAGTAAAAATTTAGTATTAGAAATTTATAATCTACATAGTTTCAACAAACGAAAAGGTTAAAACATTAAAAATGAAAAAATCATTCAAAATAACTTATTTGCATTTATGTATATTAAATAAAAAGTACAAAATGTAAAATGCAAGTTTCACATTAAAAATACATATACTTCTTTTATATAATTAACCTGACCATAAATAAAAAATATCAACAACAATTAAGAATAAACATACTGGTCTATTTTAAACATGTATTATTCTCAAATTATATTAATCAGGGAGACATTATAAATAATGAATCATAATTATACCCACACTAATCTTCTATATAAAAAAAACGTAATAGACATTTCTTGATTATAGGGCGATACGAAGTTCGCCAGGTCTTCTAGTTGTATATATAACTTTATAATAGTTTGGAATTTGGTTTTTGTTCCTAAGTAGGACGCTAAAGACTCAAATAAACTAACGATTCAAGAAAAGACGAAGACGAAATACAAAAGATTGTTTAAAGTTGAAACTTTTTTCTACCACTGTAGGTAATCTATACCTACTTGTATTCTAGATGTCTTCATTATACCTCATGTAGCTACATTAGGTACTTGCATTTTCTAAAAAATTGAAAACGAATGATAAGTATTGTTCTGAATATTAATTTGTTTAATTTTGACGTCATTTTGTATTGATTACGAAATATTATTTTACAAGTAACAGTTGTTGCGTTTTTAAATTGTGACTCGCCTACATTTAAAAGTGAAATCAATCCTACATAATATTTCCACGATGCAATTAAATTGGTGTGTTTAAATTTTGAATGGCGATGTTTTTGAAATAATAGAACATACTTTATACTCTATCAAGTCTCCCAGGGACCTCCTGGAATGCTCCTGGACATTTTTGTCAATGAATACTTTAGGGAAACAAATTTAATTATATATTGAATGTATAATATGTTATAACGAGCGAGGTGTGTCGGCGGGCGGTGTAAATTACAATGGAGCTATTTCTGTTTAGTGAGTAAGAACCGCTGGCACAGATACGGCGCGGGAGGGACTTCGATCAACCGAATCGGAGATAGACGATGGAAAATTAATAAGTTCTCACAACACAATACGTGAAGGAGACGTTCATATTATACCTATTTATACTTTTATAATGTTATTATATTTGTCTTGGATGTGTTATATAATTCGTCGGTTCTGTCTATTCTGATGTATTGTCTATAAAAGCCGAAGTCCATTTTTGGGAAAAAATCTTTGCACTATGACATGTTTGAGATGGAAAGTCGTACTAAAACCTCTGCGCTGTTCTATATTAGCGAAATATCTATACAAATTCACTGTATCATATCTTTACTATACAGAACATTTTGTATCATGACTTATAAACGAAACAGAATCCTAACTGATAATTATTAGATAAATGACATTTTAATCAAGACTACATCTGCTTCTTACTTAATAAATGTAATACACTATTAAAACACTAAAACCCTCATTCGGTTTTATTGCAAACTTTAAAAATAAATTCTATAATTCTGGATTCAATGATCGACATTGACCTGTTTCTTAAACAAAGATGACTGGGTTTAATTCGTATGACCGACGACTTTTTATTTATGTAATGTTATTATAACAGTCCATATATAAAAGTTTAACGTAATATTTGTTCTGTGTTATTATTAAATCAATTATAACTACATCTGTTTTTAATATTATAAAGTAAACGATACGTCATCACAGACTCAAACGGAATTAATGTGACAAACGAACGTCAGCGAAAGAAGATGTAATTTTTCAGAGCAGTTTCATTTATAACAAATGTGGAAACTGTTTGAGAATAAATATATTTTACATGCAAGGTAATATTACACTTGTTACTAAGTACGAGGTCAGTCTAAATGATGACAAAAAATTCTAAAACAAGGGAGACCCTCTATTTATAAAGTCGGTAAAAAATGATCGACATAAAGGGGACAGAACTCAAATATCTGTTGAGGTTCGGTAATATAAACCTCACGAGACGTCCCATTACAAGTTCAGTTACGATATCTGGTACAATTCCTCTGGCAGGCAGCTCAAATTATTTTTAACATCCGACCGAGCGAGCGGACCAAACGGTTCTGAGATAGAGATGTGAAGATCGTGTTTGGCTAACTATATATGGGATCGAGGAATTGGAGCCAAGATGTGGCGAGGAGGAGGAGGAGGGAGGAGGGGGGAGAAGTCTATGATATTGAAACAGGAACGGTGTCTCGGAGTCAGGGTGGGACTGCCGAGCGGAACAGTCTCTCTACCGTCAGAACAACTAACTATACAAAATGGTAAGTTGAGTGAAGTGAGTGTCGTGCAGTGAGGGAAGTGAATAAGGAAACGGAAAGAGGACATTAAAAGGAAGTTTGGAACTCTTCAATGATCCTTACCTACTGGTCTCACGAAACGCGTTCTATAAGAAAAATCGAGCAGTTTACTAGGATATACTATTTTAACATTTTTTTCTAAACAATTGATTAACTCCGACTCTTCAAAAATGGAAGAAGATAAGTGAAGTTATAGGTTGTAGGTATTTTAGGATTAAAAAAAATTAAGTGCTTGATAGGGAAGAGTACGACTACATTAGTTTTATATAATCGGTAGGAGAATATTGTGCATCTGAAGAAAAAAATATAAAAGTATACGATCCATTTAAAATCACGGACTGAGAATCTAAGTGTAGTAAGTTTGCGTAACGAATCCATCAGCCGGGTAACACGACTCCGAGCTATAAATAAAGGCGCCTCGGAACGCCTGCTCGGGCAAAACCAAATTAACTCTAATAATAGCTCAATCACCGCCACAGAAATATTAGGCCGGACGATAGAACAATTATTAGGGAAGTCACTATTTTAGTTTGAACAAATTTATTCCAAACTGAGTAACAGATACATATAGACTAGTTTGATAATAATCGACTCAGATCATGATTAACATCTAATTATAAATATTTGCAATGGAATTATAGCTTGAGTATTTTTTTTATTTTAGGCGGATAAGGAAAAGAAGATCAAGAAGAAGAAGGTAAAGGAAGAAGCGCCCGCTGAAGAGGCGCCCGCCGCCGCACCAGCCGCCGCCCCGGCCGGGGAGCGCGCCTCCTCCCGCGGCAGCCGCAAGGCCAAGCGCACCGGCTCCAATGTCTTCTCCATGTTCAGCCAGAAGCAGGTCGCTGAGTTCAAAGAGGTGAGCAGTCACACAAGGATTACATCTCTGTACTGTACTGTACGATACTGACACTCGTGCCCTTTCCTCTGAAACAATGTATAAGGTCTGTTGTTTGTTACGATAGGCCTTCCAGCTAATGGACCACGACAAGGACGGTATCATCGGCAAGAGCGACCTCCGCGCCACGTTCGACTCGCTCGGCCGTCTCGCCACCGAGAAGGAGCTGGACGAGATGGTCAGCGAGGCGTCCGGACCCATCAACTTCACGCAGCTGTTGACTCTGTTCGCGGGCCGCATGTCCGGCGGCTCGGACGATGACGACGTCGTCATCAACGCCTTCAAGACCTTCGACAGCGACGGCAAGATCGACTCCGAGCGGCTGAGGCACGCGCTCATGACCTGGGGAGACAAGTTCTCCGCCGACGAGGTCGACGAGGCCTACGACCAGATGGAGATCGACGAGAAGGGCTTCATCGACACCAACAAGCTGATCACCATGCTGACGGCCAGCGCCGAGGACGAGGAGGGCGGCGAGGCGGCGTAGACACACACACACACACACACACCAACACGAGGAAGATGGACGGAGGCGACCACCCGGCCCGAGGTTCACGTCGGATTAAACGCGATGAGAACCGAACACTTTTTTATTTTATTCTCTTTGTAATTTATTGTTTCCATTTTTATATATAATGAAAATATAGTTTTACTATACCGATGACGTGTACGACTGTCCCCACTTTGGACGTTTGTTGATTCAAACGGCAGGAGACGGGGGATCTCTATCTGTATGGAATACTGTGTGATCATGTTTTATGGAAATAAAGAATTAAACCAAGTCTGACTACAGTAAGGCCCGCAGGGTCACAAACACTACGTGGACTTGTCATTACACCAACACCGACACCAACAGACACAGGCAGTACCTTTGAAGTATTCTAAATAAACATCATAGATGCATTATTATATTTTATTATTTGATAAACTATATATATATTAGGTTTAAGAGTTGTCTTACTTGAAGTCACCGAGTCAGTTATTTGTGAATTAAATTAGATCCAAAAATAAAAACAGAACGTCTAGTGTGGTTAAAGACATTTATTTCTCAAAAGAAATTACATTTCACTTAATGAGAAAACAAAACAAAAATATTACGTACTAATTCAGTTGGGAGCGTTTTAGACAGATACATTTTTCTAATGTCAAATAAATATTTTAAAAAATCTATACCTATCGCTGTACCGTGAACGGAAAATTGAATAGAAGTAATGATTTCGATTGCAAAGTATAGTATTACGACAAGGGACTTATTTCCTAAACATATCACTAGGTACATTAAAATGGGTAGTTAAAGTCCTATAACACCGATATTATTAAGGAGTTAAATGTTCTGTCTGTATGAGAACCAATAGAGTATAATTATATTATATGTGAGGACACTAAGGAAATGACACGATAAATTTTTTTTTACATATTTCATAAAAAAATGGATCAATAAACTAGTAACTAGATACTACTTACTTAGTATACATTTTACTACAGAGAACTGTATCAAATGTAGTACATAAATACATAACATAAAAACTTCCCATATTCTTAAATCTACACCTGGATCACAAGTCCCAGGCACTGTTGAAGCTCCTCTCCCTTCAACGATGGACACGGCACACGCACTGAGTGGTTTCGTCTCTTATACTTATACCATAGTTTTGGTAATTGATAAAAACAATGCCTGGTTAAAATTTAACCAAGACACTGGAATTATAATAAGTGAATATTAAGCTCTGATAAATCTATTCCTCACTTAAAGATTTTTGCTACAAAATATGTAAAGCTGAATGACTGAGTAGGACGTATTATTTATGAAATCAAATTAACCCAAGCATCATGTTTACAAATTAGGTAGAGTACTCGATTATCAAATACAATGTATCAAATACAATGTAAAAGAGAATAAAATATGTTATTATATATTATATAAAATACTTGGAATTTTTTATACACAAAATATTTAATAATAAAACTTTTGCATCTATAGCTCATATCTGTGGCATACACTTCGTATATGTACATAACCAATGCAAAACCTCATATAACAAGTAAACCTACATCGTCATATTCTTAATTTCTTACTTACATACTTTTATCTCCTTATACATTAGGTACTCAATACACAATACGGGTGTTCATAGATTATTTATTAAATCATTTCATTCATGATTTTGTTAAATTACTAATAGACCAGTGCCGATAGGTTTTAAAACATAATTAAATTATAGTAGAATGAAACTCATTAGAAAAGGAAGGGAATATTATAAAAATTAAAGGAAAAATAATTTACGGGCGATCTGAGGTCGGGAAGGATATGGAGATGGGTATTTAAGGATAAAAAATGGGTTTTCTCAATTTCCGGCAAAACTAAAAGTCCTACGGAAAAATGTTATACAGCAAAGTTGTAGGTAATAAAAAGATCTAAAACTTTTGTACTAACATTTTTTTCAGATAACCTCAAAATTTATGTGATATATTTGAAAAACCAAGTTTTTGGTTTTGTATTTTTATCTCTTTCAAAAAACAATATTTTGTCACAAAATTTGGTGAAAACTTTCCTTTTGGTGTTACAAATACACTGTAATTTATTTGATTAGAAATATTTATGTTTTCAACTTATTTTGAATAAATATCTAAAAATCAGCCTCATTTTCAATCGAAAAATCACCCGTCAAAATATAAGCGTTTTCCAAAAACTTGGTGTGTTTTCTGTTCGTTGAAATCTCTATTTTCCGATGGTGAAGAAAAAAATATAAGTTTCTTACTTACAGTACCATTTTTGGATAAAATAATCATGTCTCTTTTAATGAAATGACACTCGACATCGGTTTGAAAATGCTCTTTCTAATTTATTTTCAATAGTTGTGTACTCTGGAAGTTCTCCAGATAGTCCCTCTTCTAGGTTATTTACAGAAAATGGACATTAAGCTGCTAAAACTATTAAAAATAAATTAGAAAGAGCATTTTCAAACCGATGTCGAGTGTCATTTCATTAAAAGAGACATGATTATTTTATCCAAAAATGGTACTGTAAGTAAGAAACTTATATTTTTTTCTTCACCATCGGAAAATAGAGATTTCAACGAACAGAAAACACACCAAGTTTTTGGAAAACGCTTATATTTTGACGGGTGATTTTTCGATTGAAAATGAGGCTGATTTTTAGATTTTTATTCAAAATAAGCTGAAAACATGAATATTTCTAATCAAATAAATTACAGTGTATTTGTAACATCAAAAGAAATATTTCTCCAAAATTTCGTGACAAAATATTGTTTTATGTAAGAGATAAAAATAAAAAACCAAAAACTTGGTTTTTCAAATATATTACATAAATTTTGAGGTTATGTGAAAAAAATGTTAGTACAAAAGTTTTAGATCTTTTTATTACATACAACTTTGAAATATAACATTTTTCCGTAGGACTTTTAGTTTTGCCGGAAATTGAGAATACCCATTTTTTACCCTTAAATACCCATCTTCATACACTCCCGACCTCAGATCGCCCGTAAATTATTTTTCCTTTAATTTTTATAATATTCTCCTCCCTTTCTGATGAGTTTCATTCTACTATAATTTATTTTCACTTTTCATTAATTTTAGACCCTTCTGCACTGGCCTATAAAGGGAGTTCCTTGCTAAAAAAAAAATAGGTAAAAAAACTTTTTAAGTTAAACGGTATTACGTTAAACATACATTGCAATTTTTTAGATAAATGTATTGAAAACCAAAAAATAATAAAATAGATAGAGTCGTGGGAATTATAAACATATGCACAGACTAGACTAAAATAAAACCGTGGGGCACGTCAATTGTCTACAAATTATCGACTTAATGTGCGATAGAAGAATCGTTTAATTCGTCGTTAGGCAGTTGGCCCGCAGACGGTGAGGAAATTACTTACTATTTTCTTGCTCATGGAAATTCCAATAGTTATACACTCCATGTAAATAAAAGAGATGTTTCAACTAGTTTATCGTTGGACATTCACACTGCTGGCTGGCGAGGAATCGTTTCACTGCTCGTAGTTTGTCTCTAATCGACAAAACATATTAAAAGTACAACTCGCTGAATGAAACCCTAAAACTCGCTTCATCGTTGTCGGTTGAACAACTGCCTAATTATAGTGTAACATTACAAAACAAACATTTTAATCAACGATTGTATACACTTGACGTGCCCCACGCTTTTATTTCATTCTAGTCTATGCATATGTTTATAATTCCCACGACTGTATCTATTTTATTATTTTTTGCTTTTTGGTACATTTATCTTAAACATTGCAATGTATGTTTAACGTAAAACCGTTTAACTTTTTAAGAAGTTTTTTTATGTACCTATTTTATTATTTATTATTTATTCTTGGGTCCAATTTAGTAATTCAAATTTCACCCTCTTTCTGTCAACCGATTAATCTGAAATTTTGTATAAACTTTGGATTTTGGTGACAATACAATAATGTTTATTCATTATCATTATAAATTCAAGATGGCCGCTGCTACAAAATGGCGGATAATTTATGTTTTACCAATCTCATCAATATGGGTATCAAATGAACGGGCTCAACAAGCAGAATATAATATACTATAAAAAAATTAAATCCAAGATGGCGGCTGCTACAAAATGGCGGATTCAAGTACATTTATCTTAAACATTGCAATGTATGTTTCATGTAAAACCGTTTAACTTAAAAAGTTTCTTTACCTATTTTTATTTTCTAGTTTTAAGTTTTTATTTCGCATTCTGTTTAATTCATTTGTGCTTCATTATTGCAAGGTTCCTTGCCCGTTAGTTTATTGCAGTCCAACTCCTCTAAAAAATTGTTATCAGCCATTTGGTAGCGGCGGCCATCTTAGATTTCAATTTAGCATAGTAAATTGTATTCTACTTGTTAAGACCTTTCATTTGATACCCATGTGGATGGGATTGATAAAACCTACGTTATCCGCCATTTTCTAGCGGCCGCCATCTTTGATTTCAATTTTTTTATAGTATATTGTATTCTGCTTTTTGAGACCTTTCATTTGATATCCATATTGATGGGATCGATAAACCTACGTTATCCGCCATTTTGTAGCAGCCGCCATCTTGGATTTAAATTTTTTATAGTATATTATATTCTGCTTGTTGAGCCCGTTCATTTGATACCCATATTGATGAGATTGGTAAAACATAAATTATCCGCCATTTTGTAGCAGCGGCCATCTTGGATTTCAATTTTTTATAGTATATTTTATTTTGCTTGTTGAGCCCTTTCATTTGATACCCATATTGATGGGATTGGTAAAACATAAATTATCCGCCATTTTGTAGCGGCGGCAATCTTGAATTTATAATGATAATGAATAAACTAGTGATGTGCCGATTACGACTTTCGCCGACTAGCCGACTAGCCGATTAGTCGGTTGTAATAAGACCGACTAGTCGGCCGATTAATCGGCTAAGCCGATTACGGTTTCAGGGCTTTCCGTAATGCTTCGTTACAAACAATACGTCTCCGCGAACATCTTGCTCCGAAACTTTAATTTCAAGTTCACTATTTAATGTATCCATTTGTGCATTAGTTAATCTTCGTTCGTTTTTATGAATAAAGAAAATTAAATTAATGTGTTCGTTATTAGTTTAATTTAAAATTAAAATTTAATGATGTCAAAACGAAAATCTCGTGTATGGATGTTTTTTGAACAATTGGACAATGATTCCCGTAAAGTGAAGTGCAACCAATGCCAAGGGATAATTTCTCGTGGTGGGCAAGGGAAAACAGCTAACACTACAAGCATGAACAACCATATAAAACATAAACATCCAACCCTGTTATATCAATTAGGTTCTGCTATCAAATCTTCAAGCAGAGACGATTCCACCAAGTCTCAAATCTCAGCAAAAGAATTACCTAAAGCAGTGCTTATGATATAAAAAAATTATATAAACCTATTTCTTATAACCATACCTATATATATATAAATATGTTTTTTTAATTTTTTTTGTTTTTATCAAACAGTTCATGTTTAGAATTTTTGGATATATATAATTATTAATTATACATATGTTACTGTGCATCTTGTACATACAATCTTGCTTTAATACATATAACTGAGTTTGTTAATTTAAAAAATATACTTTTTATTTAAATAATGAGAAATACTTATAAATGTTCATTGAAGATAAGAAGATATTATGTTGTTTTTATGTTAATTAGGATAGGAACTAACTTTGTTCAACAAATGTCATAAAAATGTTTTTTTTACAAGCAAGTAATTTTAAAAACTGCTTGCCAAAGCAAAGTTTGCTTTACATTTTTCAATGTATAAAACTGATGATAAAATAAAAATAATAATATATAACCAAGGTTTTCATTTCTTGTTATTGATAAATACACACAACGTAAGAAGCCGGATAGTCGGCGCTCTTTGCCGATTAGTCGCCGACTAATCGCCGACTACAATAGTGGCCGGATAGTCGGCTTTACCGACTAGTCGCCGACTAATCGGAACATCTCTAGAATAAACATAATTGTATTGTCACCAAAATCCAAAGTGTATACAAAATTTCAGATTAATCGGTTGACAGAAAGAGGGTGAAATTTGAATTACTAAAATTTGACCCAAGAAAAATGAAAAAAGAATAAAGAAAAAGAAAAAATCAAACAAACAGGGTGACCTAAATAAAACCGTTTAAAATGAAAGTTATAAATCGATTCCTCGTTTTAAAGAAAATGTCGCTCTCACATTGCCTGTCTCACTAAAAAAATAACAGAACTGAGTTGTATGGATCTCCAGCTCATTAAGACTAATGTAAAACCTCATTGATGCAATGAGAGCAAACTCAACGTACAGTGATAAAATGCTCAAATTTCAAAAATATATTATTATTTACTAAAATCAAACAGCAAAGTAAAAGTTTGAAGACTTAAAACTTTAGTACATATACTAAGGTAACACATATTTCAAAACAAATTTTATCGCCACCAATTAACATAAGCACAACACCATCTTGCAAAAGATTCGTTGAGTGAATATTAAAATAAATAAATATTTAATAATATCTATGAAACCATACTTATCGCGATATCATATTATATTGTTCTCTTAACATTGCCCTGTAATACGGAACGTTACCCTGTCAATGTCATATTATACAATTTGTTTACAAAATGTCAATAAAAGTGGGTGAATCTTAGGATAATATTTACAAAATGACCGCTACGGAGTTAGAGAATACAACCAAAACTTTTAAATTTTCTTTTCCAACATGCACGAACGAAGATCTGTTGTTCAAATTAGAAGTTCCAGTGGAGATACCTTACCCAGGCTCAACGAGGGAGCTGGTGCAAAGGATATTAAAAATGTTCCATATTCCTGTATATTTGGAAGATGGTAAAAATTTAATAACTCACTTTTAGTTTAAATGCTTAAGGATGGAAATTTTTATTAATTAATAATTACACACTAGACTAGTTATATACTCAAAACATATAAAGACATTGTTTACAGATATTTATCACCAATTGTGTTTTTCAGATCTTAATGAGAAATTGGCTGATTTTGTATCAGAAGAAACAAAAAACTTTCACCACAATCGTGATGCTGCACTGATTGACCAATTGAAGAACAATGAACTAGATTTGGAAGGTATTATCAAGAATTGGGAGAAGCAATTTAAAAATGTAGTTGATTTTGCTGAACAGAAAGGATCTTCAGACGAGGAGGTGTTTGCTGCTGCTTATCACAAGCTGGTGCACTCTCCGGCTCTGGAGACGATACTACAAGTAGAGAGTGCTTACGCTAAGACTGTCATGGATATGATTCAGAACAGAGACGAGGACATCAAGAAGCTTACCAAGAGGTATACAGGACTACTACACATTGACACATAGCTATATCTTTATATATATAATTCTTCTGTGAGTGTGTATGTCACTGAACTTCTCTCAAACGACTGGACCGATTTTGATGAAATTTTTTGTGTGTGTTCAAGGGGATCTGGGAATGGTTTAGATTCACAATTTTGTCCACTGGACAGTGTTTTTTCAATTAATTTTTAACTTATTTAAGTAGTTGTTGAAACAAACATTTTTTTTACATTAGATTTAACAACTAACTAATATGTCAATCATTCTGTCTGGATTTATGGCTTTAATAGGTAAACTCCAAAAATATAAATAAAAAAACGTAAAAGATATTTCTTGATTATAGGGTGATATGAAGTTCGCCGGGTCTTCTAGTAATATATATAAAATTCTGCTTTACATAAATTTAAATTTAATCCTATAGAACAGTGTTTCCCAAAGTCGGCTTACACCCTAGCTGGGAGACATTTTGTATTTAGAGGGGGACAATTCAGAAGTAGAAAACGCAAAACTACATCCTTACAATAAGTGTTAGTACTAAAAATTCGTTATAATTATACTATTTCAATATGTTTTTGTGTCTAAAAGGTTTATATGCCATTGATCTAGTTGGCCAAAAGAAGTGTTTAATATTTCTGCAATTATAAATTTCAGTTTCAAACAAAATTTATTACTAAACAAAATTTATAAGCGGTCAATAACCATGTTCAATTTGAATAGTGGGACATGGAACCAACAAGGTTGGGAAACACTGACAAACTAATAAAAAAAAATACTATCAGCAGTTTATAATGTAGTAATGAACATTGTAAATTATTTTCCATATATCATTATGAAGGCAAACAGAAGAAATGGAAGAAAAAATCCGTCTTCTGAACACTTCAACTACTGAAGAGGAGATCAACACATTAGCAGCTAAACATTTTGAAGCTCAGAGCCTTGCGACCGGGCGGTGGGACTCACAGCTTGATGCCTTGAAACACACACAGAGAGCCGAGCACCGCGCCTGGCTCATGAACGCTATCAATGAATATCAGACTGAGGAGAAAATTACTCCCAGGTTAATGAGCTTTTTTAATCTAATTTTTGGCTACGACAATGGAGATGGTAGTCAACAAAAATAGAAATCAATTGGTTGTTATATTATTATTGAATATGGTAGATGTAATAGAGAAGTTGCATGTATTGTGATTATATATTTTTTTCGAAACTTTAATCGAAATTATTGAGAAAGTTTCAGTATTAAAAGCAACATAAAAATTTATTCTTTATGTTATTGTTAATTAAAAATTATTATTCCTTGTAAATATATTTTCAAACGTAAGCGACGTCATTATATCATTCATAAACATGCTTCAAATTAAGTGTTCTTAATTGTATACATATAAATTTCTTGCGATATAAAATTTATGCAACTTCTCTATTGTTTAAGTTAAAAATATTATGCCTTTTTATATGTAAATTGTAGTTGCTTTTATGGGGACCCCGATCCTCAACCCTCAATATTAATTATACTAGTTGTAACAAAATTTGTGAGATAAACACAGAAAGATAAAGCAAGAAATCCTTTATTCAGAAATGAGATGACGTAGTTCTTGACTGTTCTATTGATTTAAGATCCAGTTGTCTGGAGGTATGTGTTTATTCCAGTAAGTGATATATATACAAGTGTTTCTCCGCCAGTAACTCCCCCCTGTGTTCGTACGCGTCCCTGCCCCCCGCGCCCTCCGCCCCCGCCGCCCTGCTGGAGGAGAGCTTCACCATCCACCTCGGCTCTCAGCTCAAACAGACACACAACATCAGGCTCGTGTGTGCTGACATGTTGGACCTGTGTGCGAGGGACCGGGCTGACGGGTGAGGAACATACTTGTAACATATTACTAGCTAACTTGAAAATTGTTGAGCTGAGAGACAATTTAATGAACACAATAAACATTAAGCTGTACAGGTAGCAACGTCTAGTCTGTGTTATGTGAATTCATACAAAGTACAAATGTTAAGCTGTGATCCTGCAGGTAATACCCTGGACTCCGGGTAATTATAAACTTATGTGAACAGTTTCATCAGAATCCTTTACTATCAACTAACGTCCATACTTTTATAATATTATCAGTATCATAGAGCCATCTCGTCTAAGCTTCATGTGTAGCGGTTTATATATATAGTGTTGTGTGTCAGTGGCGTGTCTCTGAGTCTGTACTCGAGCGAGTTGTCCGGCGCGGTGTTGGTGTGCGAGGCTCGTCCATCCCGATCCCCCTTGACCAGCCTCCCGCGAGTCACCGACCATCACTTCCCCGACCTGCACGACCAGCTCCGGCGAATAGAGGAGGCCGTCGCCGAGCCGGTCAGTTAATAACTATATATACCTTAGAAAATTACTTGGAAATACAAATCTCTTATACTCCAGCCAAATGCGATGTGGAATGTTTAATAACAAAGCGCTGCTTAGCAACCAACGTCAGGCAGATGCTCAAAACATTTTTAAAAATATGTACAACAATTATTTTTGATGTTAATAAAAATTAAAATTGATGATTAATAATATAATATTTAAGACAAAGGAAGCGCCTTCTTGGTTATAATTATAATACTTATGATCATCTGGAATAATGTAGATCTCAAAAATAATACCTCCAATTTTAAAATGATATCAAAAATTACCTCGTAGTTATATAATTTGCTTTATTAACTTTATCCATCGCCTTCCAAACAACAGAACTAATTTAGATTAATTTTGTGTATATTTGAAAAACACTCCAAATGTTACAAACTTGCGATTTCTTTACGTCAGTATTAAAATATAGGGTTGTTAGTTTTGTAGTAATATTATAGTGGTAATTAAAGATTTTTAAACTTTTATTTTAAGCTAATTTTCATATAAATTATGCATTGACCGGCTAAATAAAATTTTTGGATTTTATATTAATGTTTTTGTTTTTAAACAGGAAATTGTGTTATAATAAATATAGTTCTAATTATAATAATTATTATTTTTTATTAAGAGTGTATCAACCCTAATTATGATGACTCATGGTTTGTTTACTAAAATTCCAGATCGAATGTGGCTGGAGTACAGTACTGTCGTTCTCTAAACGTTTCCTAGCTTCCCTTACTTATCGTTTTATATTACGGTACCATAAGCTATTTTGTCATGTCTTAAGAGCTACTCAGTGAACTGACTTTAGATATTTGATTTCAAATAAGATTTGATTTAAGTTATGTAGTTTTTTTTTTTACTAACAATAGGTTAAGGAGTGCACTATACTAACAATTTTGTACATATGATCAGATTGTTTGAAATAAAGATTATTATTATTATTATTACTATTATTAAATACTTAAGATCATATTTCTTAAAACATCATATCTTTCTCAATATCTGAAGTTTTGAATTCATAACATGTTGCGAAATATAAGTTATTATTTATATATAATTTTAAAGCCGATGAGGATCAGGAAATGAAAGGCAAGATAATCACTATAATAATATATTTATAATCAAAAGCACTCATTACAATCGCATACAGCTGACGAGTAGGAGATGAGGAGGGATGTTGTTTGTGTAATGTTAACGTGTGTAGGCCGAGGCGCGCAACAGGAGCCGGTCGGAGCGCGAGTCCCGGCGGCGCGCGCTGCGTGCGGGGGACGTGTTCGTGACGCGGCACAGCGACCTGGCGCAGCACGTGGTGTTCCACCTGGTGGCCGACGAGGACGAGCTGCGGTCGGCCGAGCTGAGCTCGCGGCACCGCGCGCTGCTGGGCCTGCGGGAGGTGCTGCTGGCCGCGCACAGGAACGACGTGAGCAGCGTGGCGCTGCCGCTGCTGCTGCGGCGCGAGCTGGGCGAGGACGCCACGGCCGCCTGGTGCCTGCGCCGCGCTGAGCTCGTGCTCAAGTGCGTCAAGGGGTTCGTGCTGGAGGCGAGCGCGGCGGGCGGCGCGCGCCTCACCACGCTCACGGCCGCCGTGCCAAAGGACGCGCGCGCTCTCTTCCCCGCGCTGGCCGCGCTGCTGCCCGCCGTGTTCAGGGTGGCCGGCCCGCTGAGACCCAGGCTGCCCTCCGGACCGGTCTAGTCATACACGCCGACTAGACTATTATAATCAATATTGTACACCGTCTCTAGCGGTTCACAGAGCGACTTGTGTATATAATTTGTATAAAAATTGTAATCATGATGTTTAATCGAACGATGATTGTATAATTATGTAAGTAAGCATTGGCTGTCTCTCACCCATGAGTCATCAACATCGTATAACAACATTTCTAACACGTAACAATATAACTCGTTCAGTCGCGACCCTAACGCCTATAATCATATTAAAATATACTTTGTACGAACTCTTATAATAAAATTCCTATCAAAGGATATAACTACGTTAAAAAACTAGATTATTCTAAAACGATGTCTTCGCTGTGTTCAAATCGATACATCTGTAACGAAGGAGATGCTGAATTTAATACCGAGGAGGAATCGTTACAATTATTTGTCAGGAAAATAATATTTTGTTATCATTATGTATACCTGGTGTGACGTCTGTATGAGCTAGCGACGTCTGGGCCTCTCGGGAACTGTAATCAGAACGAGTGTCATACAGATGATGAATGATGACATTATAAATAAATGTTTATATGAAGTACTGTTGTGTTATTATACCTGGAGCCGTGACCCGGGCGGTGCGGCGTCTCTTAGTGGTGACGGGGGGTTCTGTAACAACACATTTAGTTTTAAGACAGATACATGAGATTTTATTATTTTATTTATTTATAAGGACAACTTACAAAACATACACCATTTAAACTTTAAAGGTTTTAAGGTAAATTACATTTTTAGCTAAGTGTTGTTTCAATTAAAAGTTATCACGGCATGAAAAAGGACAGTTTTTCTATTAATCTAACAACTTTTTTTTTTCTATTTCTATTATACAAAATCGAAAACAAAAAATACTACCAATAATAATCCCTACTAATATTATAAATGCGAAAGTAACTCTGTCTGTCTGTCTGTCTGTCTGCTACGCTTTCACGCCTAAACCACTGAACTGATTTTAATGAAATTCGGTACAGAGATAGAGTTGACCTTGAGAAAGAACATAGGATAGTTTTTATCCCAGACTTTTGAAAGGTTCTCTTGGAAACGCGATATAACCGAACTCCACGCGGCGAAGCTGCGGGCGGAAAGCTAGTACAATATAAAATATAAATTACAGAAGACAATAACAGATTACCAATTTATTACTAAACAATTAAAAAAATTCAAAGTAAATAAAATGAAACTTTTTTTTTAGATAACAAAAATTTTATAGCAAACATAACAAACAAACAACTGTAATACAGAACCTAAACGACACAATATAAACGAGATCGATGTTGAAGGACTGGAATGTGATCTTTATTTTATTATTTTCAACTTACAATTAATAATTTATACTGGGCGATTTAAAACTAGCTATAAGCTATTTTGATTTTAAATTTTGGCAGACTGTCTGAAAAAATGTCGATATCAATTTCTTGATTTTTTATAAGTAGGTTATACTGTCTAGGTAGCCTACTCGTGATAGCATTCTGTCCTAAACTCGTTTTTGGAATCTAAAAAGGAACGTATTTACTCGCACGGGGAAACCTTGACGGCGCATGATAGTTTATATAAAGCAAGGTGAAGGTGTCGTACCTTCCCGGATGTCGTCTTGTGCCGCGCGTCTCTTGCGAGGCGGCTCGGGGCCCGCCGCTGCTGTCTGTAGACACACAATATATACTTCATTAACCGAGTATAGAGATCATTTCTCTTATCAACAATGAATCGAACGGTATTTATTTATTTATTTATTAAGATCCACCAGCGATAATTACATTAATACAATATTGGGTAAAAAGAAATACAGTGTAGCTTAATTCTAAATGCATTATCTTTTAAGTCAGATACAGCATGCAAATATTAGAAAGTTTATAAATCATTTATTACATTATATTAAAAACGTTTTAACTTATTGATAAAAAATATTAAAATCTCTGTATATAAAAATTAGGTTACGGGTGGTTCATTATATTAAAAATTAGATCATTACCTATATTTTGTTTATGTAAAAATTATTTATTTAATTTATCGCTGAACAAAAACTTATAACGAAATGTTTTGAGTCAGTCCCTAAAAGGGTCCAAATGTTTACAACTATCATTTAGAATTTTAGACATCCTGGAAATTGGTGAATTTTAAGATCATAATGACCAAAGTTTTCCATCCGTACCTTCTTCCTAGTCTCCTGTGTTTGTCCGTCTCCTCTCACTCTGCCTCTCCCCCTCCCTCCCTCCTCTCCTCCTCTCTCCGTCTCGCTCCTCGTAGTCTTCTTGTTCTTGGTCTCTTGTTCTTTTCCCTCAGCGTCATTCTTCTTCTTATCATTAATATCTTTATTTACTCTCCTATTTCTCCTAACTATCTTGTCTCCATCACTAAGCTCCTCTTTCTTCTCTGTCCGTTTCTGTGTCTCTGTGCTCGGTGTTACTATAACAACTGTCTTCCCTCTCTTAACTCTCTCCGTGTCTGCCGCCGTATCTTTTCTACTTCTGGTACTTTTCTTTGGTACATTGTCAGTGTCAGTACATTGTTCCTTCACAGTCTTCTTATTATTTCGTGTTACTCTCTCACTCCCTGGATCTTTCGGTTTCCTCCCCCTCCTCCTCCCAGTTCCCTCTACTACTTCATCTTCTACTTTAATATTATTGTTGGGAGTTGTTTTTCTTCGTCGTTTCGGTCCAGTAGTTTCTTCCTGCACGTCCTCCTTCGCCTCACCTCTCGTTCTCTTGGTCGTGTTAGTCTTCGTTTCGATTACATTTTTCTTAACGACCTTCGTAGTTTTTGTTTCCTTCAAAGTTTCTTTCTTAATATTCGCACTTCTCGTTCTTCTGGGCTTCTCTTCTTCAACGTGTGCAGGTTTCTTTTCGTCGCTACCCTGTTTCTTTATCTGTTTCTTGACGGGTGATGGTTTAGTCACCACCACACTGATCTTCGCCCCTCTCGCCCTAGTCTTCCTCGGTGTCACTACTACGTGTTTCTTCTGTCGTGTGCTCCTCACGTCCTTCACACTCGTGTCTGTCTTCTCCTCGCCGACCCTCTGTCCCCTCGCTGACCTCCCTCCTCTACCTCGTGTTCGTTTCATTGTCTTTTTTCCCAGATCTTCCTCCGCCTCGTCCTCCTCGTTCACCTTTAGGTTCTTCAGATTCGTCGCTTCTGTATGAGACTGCAATGTTCTGTAACGGAAACATATTATCGTATATCTGAAGCACATGACCCGGTGTAGTGTAGTGTAGTGTAAAGTGTTCTTTGTTTATATTTACCGTGTGTCGTCAAGCGCTATGGGCGACACTCGTCCCAGGTCGGACGCGTTCAGAGCGAGTTCCCTTCCCTTGACGGGCGTGGAGTGCAGCACGGGCCGCTTCTTGAGAGGCAGCGGGTCGCCTCTCGCCGGAGCGTCGCGCGTCACCAGCGACCTCTTCTTGATGGGCAGCTTGCGGGCGCTGTACAGCTCTGAAGCGGATTTCTGCCGTCCGTCCGACTGATCTTTCATTGATATAGTGTGACGGCTCCTCCCAGACGCCAGCGGCGTCCGTCCCTCGACCGTGTCTATGGTCAGTTTCCGTAGTTCTCTGGCAGCCTTGTCACCGTCCGTGTGGGTAGTTCGGGCGCGTTTCTTCAGCTCGTTCTCGAGCCAGGCCTCCACGTTGTCAGTGATCGGTCCGATGGAGTCGTGGAGAGACTTGGCGGATCGCGTTTCATTCCTTTTTCTTTTGTCTATTCTGCTGCAGCTGTTGGCCTTGGTGTATTCCCGCAGTGGAGGTCGCCCCAGCAGCTGGTCGAAGGTCGCGTCCAGACTCTCGGGCTCGTGGAACAGTTCCTCGACTCCGCTCACATCGCTCACGTTGTTCCTGGAGTACTGTTCCCGGTACAGTTGCTTCACACCTCTCATGTCCGATAAATTATTTCTCGGCGAATTCGCTCTCATAGTGTTCTTGACTCCAGATATGTTCCGCAGATCGTTGCGAGGGCTCTTCCTGTAAAGCTCCTTCACTCCTCGCACGTCCTCTAACGCGTTTGGCGAAGTCTGGAATAAAGTCTTCACACCCGATACTCGTCTCAAGTCGTCATTCGGTGATTGAGCGAAAACTTCTTTAACTCTCACGTCGCTCAATCTGTTCCTCGGTGATTTCCCGAATATTTTTTTGACTCCAGATACGTTACACAGGTCATTCTTGATAGACTTCCTCGCCCGGGGTGTTCGTAGTATATTCTTAACTCCTCGAACGTTACGCAGATCATTATCTGGTGTATTCTTCGCAAACAATCTCTTAACGCCGACGAGGTCGGGGCTGCCACTCGGCGTGCTCAGCGGACTCACGAACAGTTCCGGAGTGATCGCTTGAGTTTGATCGACGAATGAATGCTCGGGAGTTCTGCCAGCGACTGCTATAGTGTTCCTGGTGTTCCTGGCCGGCACCACGTCGTCGTCGAACAATTGCTTCTTTGAAAACTCTGTCATGCTCTGCGAGAGTTTTCTCTTGACCGGGCTGTTAAACAATTCTTTTACTAGGTCAGAATCGTCCAGATCGTCTATTAGAGAGCGTTTTGATTGGGGCTTCTTGGCCGTTGAATGTTTATTTTTTACTCCTTCTTGTATCAATTTGACAGCACTCTTAGGTGTGGTCGCCTTTTCAGCATCTCGAGATGTGTTGATTGCATTCAGAGATATCCAAGAAGCTTTCCTGGCTCGCTGAGACCTTCTCTGAGTCAAGTTCAATGATTTAGATTTAACGCTGAGTCTAGATCTTCGCGGTCGCGTGTAGAGGCCTCCCGTAGATTTTCTCTTCGACTTTTTAAAGTTCTTCGAGGACTTGGAGGTCTGATCGATAGAACTCTGCTCTAGAAGGCTTTGAATGCTCAGTACAGGAGTCCCGACGTCCTGTGGACTGCACCTGTTCTCTGGAGTGATAGTGCCCGGAGTGGGGCTGTGGGACGGTGACACTGTGATAGAAATATTCTTTCTCACTATTGGACTCAACAGACTTTTATTAGACCGTCTCGAAGATTTAGGAGAGGCATCTTCGTTGTCATCCTCCACCACGAGCAGTACGTCGCTGTCGTTAACACGGGACCTGCTCCGCGAGGGTCGCGACTTCCTCGTGCTATTGAACGATATGTTCTGACTGTTCTCTGGAGTGGTTATAGATGTGGATCTCTTACTCGTGGACACAGTTTTGTCTGTGACTTCACGAATATTCGATTTCGGTGATAGTCGAGTTTTGTTCGTGTAAGGCGTACTCGAACCCAACAGAGAAGGATTAGAAGACCTCGTCCTCCTGGTGGCGACCGTCCGCGGACTACCGAACGATACTTGACTGTCAGAGTCCACCGAGTCGTATATAGATGACCCGGAGCCGTTAGTATCTATGGTGACCAGGTCTACTATGGAGTACGTCTCTACATCTCGATGTGAGCGCGGACTGAGCCCGTCCGTCACGAGGGAGGTGACGGTGGTGCTGTAGCTGTCGTCTGAAACACTCTTTGTGGTTCTACTTGAATATCGTGAGTTAGATTTGTCTAACGCCTTCTGAACTATTATACTTCCTCTTAAAGATTTCTTGGCCCGCGGTGACCGAGTCGTCACCTCGCTGGGTCCACACACAGTAGTCATCATGGGAGAGCCCAGTGTTTTTTCTATAATCCGACTACTTCTCGAGTGTATAGTTTTTTTCGGGGAGGGTGTGACTGACTTTGTGCTGGATGTATCCGAGTAACGTAGAGTCAGCTCGTCCTCGGTGCCACTGTCCTGAGAGCGGTCACCGTCACGTCAACCAACACAACATCAGAGTTGATATGTCTCTCCTCGTTTTCTAAGTTACTCAAGTTACTGCGACTGTCCAAGTTGCTCAAATCGAACTTAATCGATTCCGTTTTCCTCAAGCTCTTCTTTTTCTTCGGATCCTTCATAGCAGATTTCTTCGGATTAGCAAACGTCGGTGACCGCACGGCCTGGCTCGCGGCCCGCCGCCCCACGGACGAACTCTTCCTAACCGACTCTCTCCCCTTCACGGTAGGCTGGAAAGAACAAACTTTAGGTAATACAATGTATAAACATTAATTCTGTATTATTATTATTCTGTACTAGCTGACCCGGCAGACTTCGTACTTCCTCAATCAAGAAATAAATTGTCTTATTTTTTTTTTGGTGTTAACCTTTAAGCCATAAATCTCCGTGTTCTGAAGTGCGACAAAATGATTGACATATTAGTTAGTTGTCAAATCTAATGTCAAAAAACCGTTTGTATGGGAAATAAAAAAGCGCTGTTTTTAGGGTTTTCCCGGAAATTAATAAAAATTTTCAGCTTTTAAACCTTCCTTGAACCTCCACGAACATTTCAAGACTATGAAAAGATAAATCCGTTCAGTCGTTCTCAAGTTTTAGCGAGACCAAGGAACAGCAATTCATTTTTATATATATACTAGTTTTTGCCCGCGACTTCGTCCGCGTTAGTTTGGTCAGGAGTAATATATGTAGGTATAGCTGACCAGGCAGCGGTGGCCTAGTGGTTAAAGGGCCCGCCTCTCGTTGCCGAGGGCGCGGGTTCGATCCTGGCCCGGGCAAGTACCAATGTGATTTTTTCCAGTCATATGTACTTTCTAAGAGTATTTAGACATCACTGATTTATGTTGATTCCCAAAGAAAGGGTTGAGGTCAGGCAGGCGGCCAGTAGTAAAAACAAATAGCCAAAACTATTCACAAACATTTAAGGCAGACCCTGGCTATAGCTGGGAAATTGCCAGGTAGAAGAAGAAGCTGACCAGGCAAACTCTATTCCGTCTTAGAGGCCATAAATAATCAGGTTTTTCCTGTTTCAATCAAACAGAATGATTGACATATTAGTTAGTTGTCAAATCTAATGTTCAAAAAAATGTTTGTATGGGAAATAGAAAAGGGCTGTTTTTAGGGTTTTCCCGACAATTATTCCAATTTTTCTCACCTTTTAAAACTTTCCTGGACTTCCAGGAGTATTTCAGGACTAAAATTAGCCAAATCGGTTCAGCCGTTCTCGAGTTTTAGCGAGACTAAGGAACAGCAATCCATTTTTATATATATAGAAGACTAGTTTTTGCCCGCGACTTCGTCCGCGTTAATTTCATCATCTTCTTCTTCTATATATATAAAAATGGATTGCTGTTCCTTAGTCTCGCTAAAACTCGAGAACAGCTGAACGGATTTATCTTATCTTAGTTTTGAAATGTTCGTGGAGGTTCAGGGAAGGTATAAAAGCTGAAAAAAATTGATTCACTACTGGGAAAACCATAAAAACAGCCCTTTTCTATTTCCCATACTAACGTTTTTTTTGACATTAAATTTGACAACTAATATGTCAATCATTCTGTCGCACTTCAAAACACGCAGATTTATGGCTTACAGGTAAACTCCAAAAATATAAATAAAAAAACGTAATAGATATTTCTTGATTATAGGGCGATACGAAGTTCGCCAGGTCTTCTAGTTAGTAATATATGTATAGCTGACCGGGCGAACTCTATTCCGTCCTAGAGGCCATAAATAATCATGTTTTTCCTGTTTTAATCGAACAGAATGATTGACATATTACTTAGTTGTCAAATCTAATGTCAAAGAAAACATTTGTATGGGAAATAGAAAAGGACTGTTTTTAGGGTTTTCCCGAAAATGAATCAATTTTTCTCACCTTTTATACCTTCCCTGAACCTCCACGAACATTTCAAGACTAAGATAAGATAAATCCGTTCAGCTGTTCTCGAGTTTTAGCGAGACTAAGGAACAGCAATCCATTTTTATATACAACGTGTAACGTAATTAACGCACACCCTCAAATACCCCAATGCAAATATAATAATATAAACGCAATGCATACACCAAATATTATTTATATGTGCGTTTGCATTTTTTATTTGTGAAATTAGTTATCCCAATTACGTGCAAATAATATGGTCAGACACAATGTACCCGCCGCGCCCGCGCCCCTCTCTCCGAGTGCCGTCCGACAATAATAAGAAGTAGGTAATAATAAGTACACGAAATAACTACATTATGATTTATGATTCTTCTTTCCATCACACTTTTCAAGCTTTAGATTGTTGACATTGAATTTTCTTTTTAATGTGAAGCCAATATTTTATAATTACTGATTTGTTAAATTAAATTTGTAAATAAGAATTATTAAACAGCTGATAACGCGTGATTTGATTAGACACCACAATACCTAAGACAAAGTCGGCGTGTTTAAATGGTGTGTATCAAAATATTTACAATAATTTAAAGATCATAAACAAACTTACAGTTTAATTTGCACTCGCACGGCGTTGTCGTTTTAAAACATTTTAAAAATGTCCACCGCCTTGTTCAATGCACTTTAATGACCGTTTTCGCAATTGTGGTTTTATTTTAGATAATACTGCAATGTCACTTTTCACTTTTACAAAGGCGGTTATTATCTTATTTTTTACTTCCTCGGCACTTGTTATCTCTGTGTTATAAACTAGCGATTTAATTCGCCCCCCACAAAAAAAAAGTCGAGTCGCGTCAAATCAGCTGATCTAGGAGGTCAATGGACACGTGCGTAGGTATTTGATGTATTAAATGTTAGTGTACCGAAACGACACAGCGAAATGCGCGACTAAGATTTTATTGGCACTTTACACTTGACCTCTTTTCGATAAGGTGGACGCGGCGTGACTAACTTACCCAAAACACATTTTGTTGACTTCGATGTTTAGTTATTATTACTCTGATTCCTGGAATTAGCCTGCCGTCTCGCTCTATTGTAATGTTATTAAGCCAAAGAAAGAAGGAGAAAGTAATAATTTTTGTATTACGCGGCTTTCTTTTATGCACTGTAGTGACCTTGCTGTGTGCCGGTTGTCGCTATGGTGTTGCGTGCGTAGTTTATTAAATACTATTTTAGCCTTGAAGTAAGTATCAGTTTTCTTTAATTGAATGATGATTACTAATTAAATATTTCATTTTAAAAATCTTAATACCCTGACTTACGATCCATTTTTGTTTCCATTAATTTTCGTTTCTATGAAGTGTTTAGATAACTGTGTGTAGGGTGACTATAATTTACTTAGTTCTATCTAAATTTGAGAAAAAAAATGACCTACATAAAAAACTACCAAAATCGATCCAGTATCCGATTCTGATCAAACTACTTTCAGAGTGTGCGTTAATTATGTTACACGTTGTATATAGAAGATAGAAGATATAGATATATAGATTAACGATGTACTCACGGTCCTGTAGGCGGGTGTTCGTCTCGGAGTGACGGTAGGCGTCTGTCGCACGTTGAGTACACGCGGCGAAGAGGAGGCCCGCGGACTGTGACCCGTCATCAACATGATGGCCGCCTGCTTGGTGTGGTCTGTACAGGACAAACACGAATATTAAGTGGAACTACATACTTTATATTTTTTTTTGTTTACGAGAAAGATATAAGTTTTATATAAGTTAATTTCTTGAATTAATTGAAACACGTCCATACAAAATGACGTTTATGTTAATTATATACAAATTTCGTTATCGTCTTATTTGCGTATCGATGCCTTTCTTTTTACCCGTATCTATCGTGAGCAGCGAGTCCCGCGCTACCTCCACGATAAAAGTGCTACAACCCTGAACTGGCGTTAATACTAAGTATGAGTTATTTTTTTTTTATTACTTGTATTTAAATTAATTTGTATTCATTTTTACCATCAAAACTATATCACATATATTTAGTAGATATATGTAGTTTGATAAACTTCTTTAAACGAGAAGCATTTCTTTTCTCGAATCTATTCTTTGTCATATGGTTACGATCCATCCAGTGTATGTGTGTGTTTATTAATATTATCCGTGTAGTAGTTACCTATCTTGAGCGGCGCCTGTATCTTGGTGACTCTGTGTTGCGCGGTGTGCGCCTTCTTCAACACGGCCAGTCTCAGTGGAGCGCTCTTGATGGACACACGAGGAGAGGAGCGGACTGACTCGCTAGTGGCGGACGCGACGGATGTATTGGAGGATCTGTTGCGAGGGGGCCGCGGGCTGGGGCTCGGCGGGGGCTCCTCGCTCGGCTTAGGAGAGTTGCGAGGAGAGCGACACTTGCGGGACTCGATCCAGAGACTCGCCTTGGTGGTGTCGTCCGCGCTCACCCGCTTGGGAGACTTGCTGCACACACACACACAACATCATTAGTAATATAACACGAGTGTCCCCCGCGTGAATCGTGTAGGCGTGTGTCCTCACCGTGTTCCAGAGTGAGCGTCGTCAGGTCGGCCGCGAGGAGACGGACCCGGGCTGACGGACGAGCCTGCCGCGCTCACTGTGAACACACACACACATGTAGTAACACACGACATACAGTTTAGATTACAGTGGAATAAACATATTCATTAAATAATAAATGGATTAAAAAAAACACTACAGTCAATCTGGGTAACTTTGACAGCGGGACCATGAACTAGTTTTATTTTTTCGCATGAAACCAACACTATTCATATATGTTTATTTTAGATTTGCGATTTTAAACAAGATTCCTAAGCTCACATTAAAAAAAAGTAAGTTGTGAAAATAAAAAAATGTCAAAAGTTTTTTTCGGAAAATAGCGCGCGAATTTAAGTTTTTTTTCGGAATACATCTGATAAGGCGCGAGATTTAGCCAGTTTAGCATTTTATGGGTGCATATATTACTTTTTTGAAATTATGCATTTGAAGATACTAGCTTTCCGCCCGCGGCTTCGCCCGCGTGGATGCTGTTACATGGCGTTTCCAAGAGAACCTTCCAAAAGTCTGGGATAAAAACTATCCTAAGTTCTTATACAGGTCAAGCCATTTTGTGATTTTATTAAAATCTGTTCAGTGGTTTAGGCGTGAAAGCATGACAGACAAAACTTTGCATTTATAATTTGAAACTTTCAAGTTTAGTAATGTACTGGCAAAATAAACCATTGAACAGAGTACTTTGATGCCTTTTAATATATATTATAGTTTGCAAAAAATAATTAAAGAAATATGAAAAGAAACTTATTTTGACAATGTTAGTTTTACTGCAAACTTTCAGGGAAGGAGGAACGGCCTTGTATGGGGCTTTCCCACTGTGCGGGTAGAAGAGGTGTATTTATTGAAGAACTCTTTTTGCACACCAATTGTTAAAAGAAAAAAAGAAAAATGTACAAATAGGCGGCCTTTTGTAAAAACATCTTTTGAACTTAAAAAATATGTTGACTTTGTCAAAAGGAATTTTTTTTATACTTGATAAAAAAAGGCTAAATACACGTTCTTTCCAGTAGAAAAGTATACAATTTTCATCCATTAATAAATTTTGTATACATTAAGTTTAGCATGTAGTTCCCTTTCCAACACAAGGTCGGGAATTCAATGTGAAATGACCCCCAGATGGTAATAGAGAAATTATTAAAATTAGATAAGATGATTTAAATGTATCTCCAGTGTAGATATCAGTAAAATCGGTATAAAAATCCCCTGGGCTTTCTACTTATTTCACCCCCTCACTGGTCGAAATTCAAAAAATGACGATTTGCTATCCTATCAAGTGTTTAAATGGAGTGGGGAGAATACACAATTTATGCTCAAAATTTTACAAAAAGTTTAAAGAGCCTTTTGCATATAAATTAAATTTTTGGAATAAAAAAACGCTTTTCATAACTTCTAATGCTGTTTGAATAGAAAATGTCTAGTCGTAATTAAAGGAGTTTTTTAAAGCGCACGCGTCGTAGGGAATTTTTTGACACCTTGGGATTTATAAAACCTTCTTTTGAATTAGCTCCAATAATGTATTATTGGAGAGAGAGCCCTATTTTTTTGATAAAATATAAAAACACTCGGGAGTGATAGGTTGAATTTTTTTTAAAAGCCTATTATTACAAATAAACAAACAAACAAATCTTTCCCTTATATAGACGTATTTTGAATCTGTCAAAGTTACCCAGTTACGAGTGATAGGTTGATTTTTTAAACTGTATAAAACATCACCCTTATCTGTTAAATTACCTAAAATGTACATTTTAAATTGTAAAGCATTTCATCATCCCTCACCATTATTGTCGCCGGCGTCTCTTCTCTGTGGCTGCACTATCGCCACCTGCTTCCTGCCCGCTGAGGCTGCAACATTAAAGGATACGTGTTAACGAACACGACGGACAGAAGATAGAAGAACGACAGACACACACTACGGAGAGAGACACTGACCGGGGGCGGAGTCCCTGTGGAGAGAGGGCACCGCGGGCCGGCGGGCGGGCTCGCTGCGGCGACGAGGCCGGCCCGGGGAGCGGGCGGGGGTGGCGGGTGTGAGGTGCGGCGCGGGGGGGACGGCGCGCCGGTGTCGCTCGGGCCGGTCGTATTCCCAGCGCAGGCGGCGGCCGGCCAGCGCGAGCGTGTCCCCGTGCCGGAGCGCCGCCACACTGACGCGCGCTCCGTTGACGCTCGTCTGTCCGTAGGAGCGCAGCACGGCGCCGGCGGGTCTCACGGCCAGCGTGGCGTGTACAGCGAGCGCGGCGGGGGACAGGACCCGCACGTCGCACGAGGGGTCGCTGCCGATGCTGGCCGACCCCGCCCTCAGAGGGAAACACTTCACGTCGCGACCGCCGCGGTCCAACACCACCAGCCGCCCGCCTGACATCACTACAACAGAAAAATTACTATATACATACAATACAATAAAATAGTTAAGGGAAGTCAGCTTGGTATTTCAGCACCAAACCATTTTTGGACATGAGTTTTGTATTCTAGCCCTAAAATTAAAAGTTGTATCCGATTTTTTTTTATATATAAAAACCTTCCTTAATAACTGAGCTATCAAACAAAAAAATCTCTACTCCCTGAATGTGTGCCCCAAATGGCCAGCATAATATTCTACTTGCTTTACTCAATTAATAATTTGAGCTGTGTTTGCTACCGTTCACACAACTCTATGGTAAACACTTAAATATTAAATATATAAAAATCTCAGAACCACATCACTCACTTATCTGTTATGATATTTTTAAATTGAAACAAAAACTATCCTACAATAAAGAGTTCTAAAATTTTTGTGACTTTTAATCATTAAATTAAAGTAGTGTTTTTCAGATTTGTTTGACTTTATTTTTGCAAAAACCCCATACTCTCGACATTGTGCCTACTTTTGAGCAACCATGATCATTGGCAGAAAAGATGTGATATTTTATAAATAATATTTGTAATGAGTAGGGCCTGGATTAATATGTAAATACATATTTTTAATTTACGCGATTTTCGGTCTAGAATGTGTTTTTTACATGGAATGTCATATTTAGACTGTGAAAAACCAACTTTTATTTTCCATATTTTACGATATTTCAAAGTTAAGTCCATATTTTACAAGAAAATGTCACAATCATCCATATATTCACAAAAATACATAAAATTTACGTTCCAGCCACTAATGTTTTGGATAAAAATAAAGGATTTAATACTCTAAAAAAAATTAACAAAATTCTGTGCGAAAGTTTCGCGGGCTGTAGACATGGCATACACAATTACTGAATTGAGCATTTTTAAGTATGCATCCATCACATCATGTGACTTGAGATGAGACCAATCAGCAGATATAATGCTTTATTTCGACCAAATGGTCAGTTTTCATTTTGATAATTTAACTCGGCGGGAGGCGCTACCGGGTAAAATTTACCACATAGTGCATACTTTCGAAAATATTTATTTTCGTAAGTAATTTTGTGCAGCGCCGTTTTAGATACCTTTCGCCAGATGTTTGACGGTTCGATTAATAAAGAAAATCGTGAGATTACTTGAAGGTGTTGGCTGTGTCTCTTGTATTGCCACAAATTAAGTGTAAATCAACCATCTTAAACCTGCCTACATACATTTATAAAAAGTAAAATAATACTTTTACTTGGTGGTAATGGCGAGCAAAATAATAATATTCCTAATAAACAACAGGAAAGAGACCTCCAGCCACACTAGCAAATATTTCGTTTTGTGCACAAAATGGCTGAGCTTTTGGGCTATGACTTAAAATGTCAAATATTACATATTATACCAAGCGTTATTAGTTTCCAACTGTCTTGTTTAACTGAAAATGTAACATAATATAATATAAAATTTGGTTATATTTAATTATCCATAAAATAACTCTAGTTCTTACATTAATATTATTGTGGTATTTTTTACCCAGTAGCGACAGTCAGTGTTGGTATATGGGGCGCGCCTCCCGCCGAGTTAAAGAAGCATGTCATTGTGTATTGCAACCAATTTGATAAGGCTAGTGTAATGGAAGTTGAATAAAACTGTTATTTTTTGTTGAAATAAATATTTCACTACTTTTTTCATAGTTTTTTAAATGTAAGTTAATGATGTACTTCACGAGTGACCCTTTTCTTATAGTAAAACAATGTTTAATTATGGAAGTATTCAATTTTATACTCCATATTTTTGATTTTTTTGTCCATATTTTTATGTACATATTTTAGATTTTTTAATACATATTTAGCTGGGCCCTAGTAAGGAGTATAATACATTGTTGTCATTAAAAGGTGTGAGGAGTGTGAAGCTATCATCTTGCTTTAATAAAATTGCTCTTTCAATTCTTTTTTTTTTTGTAAAGTGCAGAAATAGAATTATAAAATAGAAACAAACTTATAAGTTTAAAACATAAATATTTTTTACATTAAATTAAACTAGAATTTGATGCCCTTTAAAATTAAACTAGAATTTGATGCCCTTGATCATTTAATAGCATATATTCAATACTATTCCTTAGAATCTATCAATTATTTGAATCAAACTATATTATAACTCACATTTAAAATACTATCAACTTAAATCCAACTGTGATATTAAATAATACACTATGTTTTCAGTGACTTAAATTTAATTGACAATTAATTGATTAGATTGGGAGCCAGCAATAATTACAAAATATAAGTAACACATACAACTGTGGGATATTTCAAACTTTATTGACTACAGTTATAATATTTCTGAATTTATTATGCTTAAGCTAATACGAATATCTTGAACTAAATTAACGAGAAGCATATTAATATATTGTTTAACTAAAGTAAAAAAAAAAATATATACAAAAAAAGTATAACTATATTTAGAACGAACTACGGATTAGCTAAAGCTTAATAGCTTTCAAAGTCGTTTGTGGCTGTCAAATGTGTAATTTTCCCGCCACAATGAATACTAAGAGTTATTATAAACAAAATTATAATAACATATGTATAAACCAAATTAGCGATTTTACTGTTTCATGATATTTATAACGAACAAATAATAACTAGTTTAATTAGCTGTAAAAAAATCACTAAAAACTCACCGACGTCAAATGTTATCCTTCAAACATTTACACATAATAAAACTTGTTACAAATGATTGAAATGTCTTCAACAATCACAATACGTTATTATACCAAAAAATACTCTTTAAAATAAACTTTCCAATTATTAGTTAAATAGTTAATTAAAAAATTTAAACAGCGTCACTCTTCCTTGTCAGTCAACAAGCAATTCTAGATTTCAAGTTTTATTATTTAAGATGGCGTTAGAAATGGCGGACTTTAATATTGCCCTACAAAAATAAATAAAATACTTGCAATCATTAAAAAAAATATGTGTTGTATTATATAGTCAAATATTAAAAATTATGGTATAAATCTGTAACCAAAAATTATAAAACTTTTGATATTTTGATACAGAAGTTATGAGGATCTTTTACTTCTTAGTTTTACGTTGTTATTTACAAAGGAAAACATGTAATGTATGTAATGTAAAAACGTATTAAAATTATAAACAAGCAATAGTAATTTAAAACTGTTGTGAACAATTGATAATTTTTATCTTTGGGCGAGATTTACTTTCTTATATGATTACATTTTATTTTGTCGCTGGTACTAAATATCACAGATTAAAAAGAATTAGAAGCATTTGTTGACTTACATTGTCAATATTATTATGTTTGAAAGCCCAAGTCAATAAATCTGGAACTACATTGAACGTCCTGTTCCGATAGCATTTACTTTTCTGTGGGGACAATGGATGTTAACAACTCTCATAATCAAAGTTATTGGTTTGTTGTCCGGGAAGATCAAAGTAATGTTATTTTCAGTAGTAACAACTTCACCATACAAAATCCTCAAAGTATGTCTATTTATTTTACAGATTTTAACTCTACCGTTATATCAATGGATGTAAATATCAATGAAGGTTTCAGTTACAGGTCAAGGAGGTCGTTACATTGTAGGCGCCGTCGACAATCGTCAATATATACATGTTGACAATGTTTCCACTGTGCCAGAAGATATTCCAAAGAATTGCGTGAAAGATACTTTACATAAAGAAGATGAAAACTTTTGGGACAGAAATAAAGTGAAATTATTACTAACACTTTGTTTAGAAAACAGATTCAATAGTCAAGACAAAGACAAGATTGCATGGAACGAAATCGCGTTACTTGTTGGCACCACACCCGAGGAATGTGACAAAAAATATAGGAACTTACGAAGGACTTATATAAGACTATTGAAGAAGAAGAGACTCGGAAAAGATATAAAATGGGTCCATTACAATATTTGTGAAGAAGTGTTTAAAGATTGTAAGTCACTGTCACCATCTATATTTGAACCTTGGGAGGATTCTAAAGTGAGGAGGCTGCTGAGTCTGTATATTGAAAACATTAATAAATTTAGAAACCCAGATTGCCTTCAGAAAGATATTTGGAAAGAAATCGCTTGTCTATTGAATACAACAGAGTACAACTGCTACCATAAGTTTAAAAATTTAAAAAGAACATATTTTAATTGGGTTGAAAGGAGTCGAGAATCAGGTAAGCTTATTAAATGGCCGTACCATCATTACTTTGAAAGAATATATTTTAATTACAATCCTAACTTGGGTCCGTGGGACAGAAACAAGATCAGGCTACTCATCAATGCATATTCAGAATTGGCTCATAAATTTAAGAATCCCAAGTATCAGAAGAAAGAACTCTGGAAAGATATTTCTAAGAAAGTGAATGAAACTCCCAGCAACTGTGACAGGAAATTTAGAAACTTGAAGCAGACTTACATCAGATTAAAAATGAGAGCAGACACTGGCCGGGCCGTCACCAAGTGGAGATACTATAAAGACTTTGTGGCTATATTTGAACACAACTGCTGCTCTGTGTTGGATGATGGACACAGTGTAGTGTATAAGACATTGGAACAGGATTATGTGAAACAACTGCTCAACTTCTACTTAGAAAATAAAAACAAATTCAGAGATCCTTTGGTTAAGAAAAAAACCCTTTGGAAACAGATCGGTCCCAAACTAGGGCTGTCCCCTGAAGAGTGTGATAAGAAGTTTAGAAATCTCAAACAGACCTACATTAGACTAGCTGAAAAACTCAAAGAAACAGGGAAAGGGAATGGCTGGCCTTATTATGGTTACTTTGAACAAATCTATGATGAACCGGGCTCTGGAGGAAGAGAGTGTCATCACAAGTGTGACTTGGACACCACGACTGTGACAGAAATAAGAAAGCTGGTCCACGAGCACGGGCTTAAAGATAGAGACAAGTTTGATAGACTGGTGAGGGTCATAGAAGACTCCAACAACATACAGAGGGAGAGGAACAGGATCCTACAGGCCTTACTGGATAGGAGATAATACAGGACATACATGTATGATAGATTCACCTTTATTACAGAAATACAAATAATACGTTACATACATCGTACACATAACACACTCATTGATACACTATAAATAATACATACATAATAAGTTTGACAGAGAGGGGACACAGGGAATAAAAATCATAGATAGAATGTTTAGAAATGGTTTTATTTAATTATTACCGTCCTTATGCTTTTAAATGTATATGTACAAACAAACTATATTAGATTATCAGTTTTCATTCTGAAATGAGAATTCGTTAGCGGCTGAATGAATCTTCGAGAGGCTACATCATACAAAAGGATCGACGTGAGGGACACCGAGCGTGACCACGTCTAACTTAAAAATACATCTGCGTAGTCAGAATTTACTTATCAATAACACTATACCACAGTAAGGAATGAAAAAAAATTAGTTCCGAAAAATTGAAGAATCACAGTGGATCGTAAGCGATCATATAGTCGTATGCCGTATGGCCACATGTCCACTCGTCAAACACGCGAGTCGGTACAACGCTAACCTAGGTTCAATTACCACACTATGTCGTACAACTAGGGGCTGGCCGCGGCCGGGGCGCGGGCGGCTCACTTCTTGGCGTTCTTCTTGGGGGAAGGAGCCTTGCCTTTAGCGTTGTTCGACATTTTCGCCTTCTTGCCCTTTGGTTCCGCCTCGTCCTCGTCTTCATCCTGCAGCACACACACACACACCACTTTATATAGTAACGACTTTAGTACAACAGTGATCTTAACATGTATGTGTATGGGTCTATCAGAAGGTAAAGGGAAATATTGACAAGTATAGAGCAGGTACAGAAAACCGACAGCCAATTTCAGATCATTTATCTTTAAAACATTTTATATATTAAGAGGCCCACTGGGTCAAAACACCACAGCTACTGAAGCGTTCATACAGACAACCATTTAAGTGGGCTCATTGACTCAGCTGTCACAGTGTTGGAGACTTGGACCTCAGGCCCTTTGCCCTCTGTTAGAAGTATCTTCATATAATAATTCATATTAGTTGAAGGTTTTCAGTACCTCATTTCCCTTGCGTTTTCCAGATGACGCTTTCCTTTTATTGTCATCTTCCTGTAAATTTATGTTTCTTCTAAATGATTAAATATATTTTAAGGGCCACATACAATGACAAATGTTTTATTCACATACAGTCAGACAACACACTCTCCCTATGAACCACTCGTCCTACACCTACTACTACACAAGTTATCAACATAGTGTTGGTAGTCTTAATACTGACCTTGAACTGAGAGTCTTCACCTTCCTCTTCATCTAACATCTCTTCTTCCATTTCCTCCATATCCTCAAACTCCTCCACGAGGGCACCCAGCAAGTGTTGACCGATTAAGTGAACCGGCCCTGAGCCCTGAAGAAACATATTGTCATAAACTAGCCCACACTACATTTGGTAAATGTTTTTCAAATATGAGTCAGACAAATGCCTCGAGAAATCACAAGAAGGCAGCAAAGAAACAAAACGAATCATTGCACCCATCAATAATTATTATTTGGTTATTTTATCATCATTTTTATTATATGTACTACTAGTAAAGAGCATGACCAATGTTCTTATATATTCCATGTACCTGTATGAGTGTGAAGGTGACCGGTGCATCTGGGAACTCAATATCCAGACGTGCTTGTCTTGTTTCACCAACTTTTAAGATGGCAACTGGGATTTTGATAGATTCTTGGAGACACATAGTCTCTACCTATAATAACAATTATAATATTGTATAATGCTGTCCATAATTATCATACAAGCAACTTTTATGTTATAATGTTGTAGTCTATCAGACAAATGCCTCGAGCGATCACAGCCAGCAGAGCACCCACAGAACGTGGCCACCGAGCTGATCATGTATGTATGTATACATACCGTAGTGTTTTATCATCACGTAAAATAACATCAACAGCCACTTGTAATTATTGAATTATAGATAACACTAAGTAAGCAATACGTTTAAAGTACCTGAACGACGTTTAGTTCGTCAGGTTTCGCATCCGGTCCAAGGAGTGCTTGGCGGATGAGTAATTTGTTGCTTCGCGGGTACTCCGCCTTCGCTTCGGGGTCCCATGTCTCCGACTGATGTGATGACGAGAGAGTGACACCTGAAATAATAAATAACAGAGCTATCAGTACACCGACACCCACACTAACTGATCGATATCATCAACAACTGTTACACACGAGAACACAAGCGGTTGCCCGAGACGCTTGGACGCCATACTTTTGAATTGCGCGCCCAACTGATGCTACATCCCACAATTAACACAGCCAATTTAAAACACACACGAATACAGACGAGCAACGTTAACCTTTATAAACAATGCTAATAATGGTATCAAACTATAACGCCATTTTTCGTTACCATGATATGACATACCCTTTTCTTACACTGGTTTGGTAAAGTAAATGGCGGCAACGACTAACATTAAGTTATCTTAAACACTTTCAGTAAATTAGTGTATCAACGGGCGAACTACGCATACAATATATATGATACAATAGAGTTTAAATAAGCGATTTATATTGTGAAATTAAAATGGCGAAGTTGCCGGGTGTCGTAGCTTGATGCTAATTTTTAACTAAGTCTTGACTGCAAAGTACGCAAATATGGATATAAATAATAACAACAACGCAAGTAACACATTATCAAGAACATAACTCACCGTAGAAATATTCGTCCGACATAGTGATTTCACTAATTTATTGAGATTTCAGCAACACGTTCACGTGCAAAGCCGGCGCACACAAATCTGAGGCCGATGTTGCCATCTATTATAGAATAACAGTCAAAAAGTTTTTTTTTTATAATAATCAGGCACAGACATCAAAATCTATGCTTCGAAAAGAAAAATATTTTTATATTACTATTTCAGACTAAGATTAAGAATATAGCTGGATGTAACAATAAAAGACAGTTATTTTGACAAATATTTTTATACATTTACTTATCTACTCATAGTAATCTATTCATCTAACATATAAATAAGTTTAATTAACTATACATCACTTTAGGAATAAAATAATAGAGTTCTGATATTGTACCCGCTCATGGATAGATGACAAGATATATTTTTATTACATTTTTCGTTTTTTTTTCTTAAACACTTAGACATTATAAAAATAAATTTATAGACATACCTTCATGTAATATAATTATGAAAGTCGTAAGAAACAAGAATCTTTAAAAGCACTAAAAGCTCCGTGATGTGTTTTTGTGCACTTACGAATACATCGTTAATGTATCCAGTACCATGGTCGAAGTCAATCGTATCAGCTCGGTATAGAAACAGATAGCTAAGTATAGAAATGTCCATGTAGATCACTGTCGGATATAGATTTACGAAGATTATGGGTGTCGGGAAAACGAGCAAAGGAGTTTTTAGAAGCGGTCATTATGTCAGTAGTATAATGTATTTGAGAACAGCACGTTCGCATTAGGTGTAATGGTTTTGGTTCATTATAATTCTCCATTTTATTTTGGGACGAAAGACTCGGACTATCTGTATCACCACTTAAATATGTATTTGAAATCTGGTAAAGTTTCAGTTGAGTATTTTCAAATTGAAGGTCATTGTTCATTTTGACCAACTTAATGTATTCCTCTTGCCTCGGCGACGACGATGTGTTTTTTATCAAATCATCCAATAAAGAATCAACAGCGTCTCTGTGCTCTCTTAGGGCTATTAAAACATTTTCACAAACCTGAAAAACTGATTGTCAAAAGTAATAGGAACTTAGTCTGTATATAAGGTGTGGGATTGTAGCGTTTCAAGTGAACAGAAATAAATATAGCACTCTTGTAATGTTTCTTTATGACCCTCGTATAACATGTCCATACAGTGCGGGGAATTCCCATACTATAAACATATTATCTTTGATGCTAAATGTCTAAATCTGACAGTTAAAGGAATCAGTGTGATGACGCTGATAGAAGATTGAAATAGAAATAATATGTATGTATTCCTATAAAAACTTGCTTTATAACACATACGCGTTATAAGAGATCATACAAGGGCGTTATACCAAAATACCATAGGTACAATACTCACACCGTGTTGTACGGGAGGTTGTTGTCATTGGAATTTCGAAGAAAATAATTATTACACTATCTATATATGTATATATATTGTATGTAATTACCTCTCCACAACTTCTTTGTAGCGTTTTAAACTTGTCTTGTATAACTCTTTTGTATCTTTTTAATTTGAGATATTTGTTACACACAGAAATAATAACTTGATCCTTTGACTTTATCTCTGTTTTAAGGTCACTTATACATCGATCTTCCTTAAATTTAATCGAAGTTTACTAAAAGTTTTTGTTTGTCTATCATTGAGAAAGAACGTAAATGTATATAGCTTACAACTCCATACGACGTGTCAGATTTTTCGGATCCATTCAAAATCTTGGCGTCCAGCAAGCAATCTTTATGTATTGAATTCATTTTTCTGAATTGAAATGACAAATCTTGATTAATATCAACTCAGACCATTAGAGACTTAAATTCTTAAGGTTAAATAAAAAAAAATTCAATTAAAATAACGGACATATTTGTTTTGTTATGATTGTGTACCTTTCGTGTACGAGCTGTTGTTCTATCTTTTTGTTAATTCTTTGTAACTTCGTCAAATCAAGATATAAATTCTTTTTCTCTCGAGCTAAAATGCCGATAGCAGTTTCTCTACTTTCAAGTAAAAGTTTTAGGGTGGACACATTTTGTCGCAGTAATTCAATTTCATTTTGCAGCTTAGAAATGTCTTCTAAATGATAAGACCCCACCGAATTCGTGGATAAACTATTTTTAAAATTCATTCAGTATTGAACATTCCCGTTGAGTTGTTGTATTTATTGATATTAACAAGAAAAAGATACCTCAATGACTAATATATTTTTTGATACACTGGAATGATTCGTGTTGACTGTTTAACTAATTAAGCAATGATAAAATCAACACTTGTCTTCCGATATTCATACCAGTTTTTAGGATTCTTAGTCACGACATAACACAGGAAACAATCCTTTTAAAACAGTTTGTATGAAGACTCTAGGTTGTGTAGCGTAACACTATAAAATAACAATATACTCTCTGGTAGAGCGTGATTATGATCAAATAATTTTAATAAACCTTTCAAAAATAACAAATAACTTATTTGTCAATTGTGTCTCACAACATTTTGTTAATATTTTAGACATTAAGAAAAATTTGTTAGTTTGAGGTTTCAGTCTTAATACATTATTTTTTATCTATAAAGTGATATCGCCATACAATGCATACAAATAGTTAAAGATAAAATAAATATGATTTTATGTTTTTTTCAGCCCTCCATTTCCTATGTGGTAGTTTTAGAAATTAATATACCTTTCTTAAAACATTGTGTAATATATTTTAATAACTTTAATATATTTAAAGATTTTGTTAGTAAAACGTCAAAAAGGTATACTCTACAATGTGATAGAAAACACAGATAACATATTGGCAAAATAAAAATAGCCATTTTGTATAAACACTAGAAACTGTTTTCTCAATTTATTAATTGGTGCTTGATCATCGCAAACGTTTTCCTATTGGTTAGAAATACTGAACTAACCAATAATGGATCGAAATCGTTAATTATTTTCATTGATAAATAGTTGACTCTCCACCGTCTCGAATTGACACAAATTTATTTGTCAAAATACTGTATAAACATAATTGCCTTAATCTCCGTTGTTTCTCTTATGTTATCACCTATTTACCCTGATTTGTTTTGTCTGTTTTATAAAATCATTTCAAGTACTGTACGTACTTTAAATGTGTTACAAGCGTACCTCCTTGGTTGCCCAGTGAACTACGACCTAATCCTGGCGTTACGTTCTTGACCTTATGCTATTCGTGGTCCGATGCATATTTGTTGTGTAACAACGCCAAAATTTAGAGAAGAATGGTGCCAAGTTGCACATCGTCAGTCTTTCCTTGAAGTCGTTAATAAAATCATCATCTTCAAACAAATGGTGTTTCTGTGCGATCTGTCAAAATTCTAATTGGAATCGAATTAAAAATTGCTTGTTTTTGCATCATTAAGACTAGTCACTGTTGAGGTGAGCTTGTGATTTATTTACAGTTTCCAATGTGGGTTTATATTTCTGCCTCTCGTATTATTCAATGTGATTTTATTTTTAGGACATTAGTTAGCTACATATCTGTGTACTCAATAATAAAGAAACGGATTCGTCGACCAGCGACTGTGCAAACAATACGTTACAAGAGTAAGAATCTCTCAAAATGAGAACCTCATAGTGATAAGTAGTGATTATCACTTAACATAATCTATGGTACAATGAGTGAGGAGTTGAACAATGAGGGCAACAAGAAAAGTCAACCGCTGGCCGCCAGCAACGAGGCAGCCCTACTGGGAGCTGAGTGTGGCACACACACGGACATCTCTACTAACACTTCACAGACTAATGTGTCACAGGTACCTTGTAACAAACATCTTATCACAACGTCCTAACTTATATTTTAATTATGACTAGATTATTTATTTAAATGTGAAAGGGATTGTTATTTAAAATATTAACTATATAATATGTATCATTTGTTTGTATGGACATCATTGTGGGTTTTTTCTCAACTTCACAATACATGTTTGTCTACAAATATATATTTATTTTGTAATTGACTTATACCTCTATCTTATATAGTTAAGGTATTGTACAGCTTGATATGACTATTTTTGTTATAATACATAAATATAAACCATTTATTTTTAATCTTATATTTTAGAAGAAACTTCAATTCTCTAATTTATTAAGAGTCACTGTTGTATCATTCCAGATGAAATCAAGCTCTGCTCCGTCGGAGAGCAACAAGTGGCGATGTGAGCTCTGTACCTATGAGAACTTCCCTCTCTCACGCAAGGTAGTGTTATGTGTCTGGTTGTCATATTGTTACTCTCTCTTATTCTGTGTGATCATTGTCTGTTACTCAACTTCTTCTTCATTGTTTTCCTTTAGGTCACTTCATTCTAACAGTTTGTTAGGTTATTTAGATAATTTTTTGATAGTCAAAGGTTTAATTCCCTTTAATTTTAATTGTATATATTTCTAAATAATGTTTGAGTAGTTACTTTACTTTAAACATCAGTGCTACAAGAATAGTGTAAGTACCGAATTTATTTGTTTTATATAATGTTGTACCACTCACTTCATATTATTCTTAGTAAGTTTATAAATGAAACATTATTAAATGTAACGAGAATAATTTCAATATAATAATGGTTTGAAACAACAATCTATACAATATTTTAATTAATATTATTGTCATATTGTATGTTCTATTTATAATATTATTATGATAAGCCTTTTTATAAAATTAATTAATATATAATATGAATATGTGTCCTTGTATAGTGTATTATTTTTGTCTGTTGCCTGTATATTGTTTAATGTGTTAGTTATTGTTTCCAGTGTACAATGTGTCGCACGCCCAAGCCCAGCCTGGGAGAGGACATCTTCAAACTACAGGACGGAGCGAGTGCTCTGCCCACACAGGATATATGTGGTAATGTATTATACCTAGATCAGTCACTTCTATATAGACTTGGAAAGGTCGCCTTTTACACATACAAGCTTCCAGTTATCTATTAGGTATATAATAAATTTAATTTTGCTATATTTTTTACACATTGAATTGAATATAACTGAGTATTCTTTTTAAATAAGTGCTGGAACTAGATTCATATATTTAGAAGATGATTAAGATATTCTTTATTGATTGATTGAACTCGAGGAAGATGAAACTCAGGAAAATAACCATCACAAACACAGTCAACCGATGCTAGACATATGTTATTTGTTTCCAAGGAGCCGAGGCTGTAGCGGAGAGACTGAAGCCTTTACGTATATCGTCGCCCCAAGGACAGGCCGGAGCGTCCGCCGTGGCCAAGTGGTCCTGTCCTGTAAGATACAGTCAGTAATTAAAGTAGGCTGCTGAAGACGTTCTATATATTAACATGATGATACATCACAGACCTGCACCTACGAGAACTGGCCCCGCTCTCTGAAGTGCGCCATGTGCGGCGCCCCGCCCCCGCACGGACATGTTACAGTCACCAGGCATCACGCAGGTCAGTTGGTATTGATATAAACAGAGACACACACACACACACATATATATATGCATGACGTCATCATTGAGTTACTATGAGCGCAGGTCCTGTGGAGGGAGGCGGCACGGCGGCCGAGGACAGCGCGCGACGGAAGAGGAGACACGCGGACTGGATCTGGCTGCAGGCCTGTCTGGGTGAGATACTCTGGACGGACAGAGACAGAGAGAGAGGGAGAGAGAGACAGACAGAGTAATGTTGTGTGTTGACAGGAGTGGTGGAGGGAGACGCGCACTGCGTGGAGGCCTACCTGTCGTCAGGAGGCGACCCGGCGAGGGCGCTGACCCCGCAGGAGGTGGCGCTGCTCAACCGCGCCTCCGCCTTCGACGCCGGACACACGCTCGTACACCTCGCCATACGGTCAGCACTCACCACCACACTCAGCAACCGTCCCTATTAGACTGTTACCCGTTCGTATCTCATGCGAAGTGTCCGCTCTATTCCGCAGGTTCCAGAGACAGGAGATTCTGTCGACGCTGTTGTCCCGGATATCCGGCGGCGGACCGGGCCTCAAGAGGTCGCCCTCGTATGTCGGTACGAACTTATTATATTATTAAAGTAGTAGAAACTCAAGGTCGGCTACTTCAGAAGTTATAGCTAAAGCTTCAAGAACTTGGAATCAAAGGTGACTTGCATAGGTGGTTTTGTTCCTATATATCAAAAAGGCAGCAAACAGTTGTTAAAGGTAGTGCTCGTAGTGACTTCATATACCTACGCAACCTCATGGGTCCCACAGGGATCACTATTAGGTCCGTTACTTTATAACGCATACCTGTATGATATATTTAATTGTTTTAAGCACTTCCGTTTTTTACTATTCGCAGATGATAAAAAATTAATAAAGTAATAAGTAGCACATCCGACTGCATTGAATTGCAACGCGACCTTGATTATCTTTCACATTACTACGAAAAAAATAAAATAACGATTAATATTATAAAAACAGTAAAAAATAACATTTTCTAGGAAGCATAGAAATATTGAATATAACTATAATATTGATAACAAGCCCATCCAAGAAGTTAAATCAGTGCGTGACCTTGGAATTCAATTAGATTCTAAATTATTGATGGCAGAGCATATAGAACTCATTACTGATAAGGTATATAAGCAATTAGGCTATATAAAACGAATATGACAAACTCTTAATAATATTGAATGCATGAAATTTTTATATTTTACTTATGTACGATGTATTTTAGAATACGGTTGTAATATATGGTCTCCCAATTATATAACTTACAAAGAAAAACTAGAAATAATACAAAAAAAGATCATGAAATTTCTTTGCTTTAAGAACTTTAAAGAATTTAACGATTATGTTGATATATGTAAACAATATAATAATGAAACATTAGAAACGAGACGACGACGTTATGATATGTATATGCTACATGCAATAATTACCGGAGATATAGATTGCACCGATTTATTGAGCGCTTTGTATTTAAGAGTTCCTAATCGCCGCACACGTCATACAGCACTATTCACACGCCTGAGCTAAACACTAACTATGCACACAACTCTGTCCTTAATCGCATGGTCCACACATATAATTCACAATACTCAGAAATTGATCTGTTCAGCATGTCAAAACTATAATTTAAAAAATAAAAAAAGCTATAATTAAAAAAGATAAAAACTCATAATAACAAACACACACACACACACACACACACACACACAATTATGCAAACACGCACCTATTGGATTCCCACCCGTACCTTTATACAGTAGGACCTCGATTATCCGGACTAATTGTTGTCGGTAGGCATCCGGATAATTGAAAGTCCGGATAATCCAATATATGAAGAAAAACGGGCTTTTTGCATATGTACGTATGTAGTCTGTACCATACATATGTAATGTTAGGTGTTTATTTAAAACAACAAATACATATGAGCGAAAATCAACGTTTATTAAAAAATTGTACATAATGTACGTATAAGTGTTATAAATAGGGCCCGGATTAATATGTAAATACATATTTTGAATTTACGCGATTTTCGGTCTAGAATGTGTTTTTTACATGAATTGTCATATTTAGACTGTGAAAAACCAACTTTTATTTTCCATATTTTACCATATTTCAAAGTTAAGTCCATATTTTACAAGAAAATGTCACAATCATCCATATATTCACAAAAAACATAAAATTTACGTTCCCGCCACTAATGTTTTGGATAAAAATAAAGGATTTAAAACGCTAAAAAATTAACAAAATTTTGTGCGAAAGTTTCGAGGCCTGTAGACATGGCTTACACAATTACTGAATTAAGTATGCATCCATCACGTCATGTGAGTGGAGAGATCATTCAGCAAATATAAGGCTATATCATATATGTCGACCAAATGGTCAGTTTTCATTTTGATAATTTAAAGAAGGACGTCACTGTGTATTGCAACCAATTTGATAAAGCTAGTGTAATGGAAGTTGAATAAAACTGTTATTTTTTGTTGAAATAAATATTTCACTCCTTTTTTCCATTGTTTTTTAAATGTTTCTTAACGATGTACGTCACGAGTGACTCTTTCTTATAGTAAGACAATGTTTAATTATGAAATTATTTAATTTTACACTCCATATTTTTTCCATATTTTTGATTTTTTCGTCCATATTTTATGTACATATTTTAGATTTTTTAATACATATTTATCCGGGCCCTAGTTATAAGCGGAGTGGCGTTATGCAAGTTCTGACATGTTAATGTTAGAATAAACTCGTCACGATTGGCAGTCCGGATAATCGCGAATTCGGATAACCGAGGTCCGGATAATCGGGGTCCTACTGTATTACTTTTACACTATAAGTTTTACTTTTATGCTACCGTCTTCTAGTTATTAATATGTTTAAGTTACCTGTGTAATGCTATTTTGGTTTTAATTTTATGTTATATAATAGTTAATATAGAAACTTATGTATAAAAACTGTTGGATTACCAAATAAATAAAATATATAACGTTGTGATCGTCAGCTCCCGACCTGGCGACGGCTATAAGGAGACACATCGCGGGCTGCATCCGACAGAAGAAGGGCAACTTCCCGTGTCGATACATCAACGAGTTCTGCACGTTCTCGCTCCCGGCCGGTGAGTGTACCCCCCTCCCCCCACCACCACCTCTCCTTCACTAGAAGGTTGATATCACTGAACCGGCTCGTGTTGTATAGAGATAGAGGAGCTGCCGGGAGCGATCCAGGAGCAGCTGTTCTCGGAGCTGTTGGACCGGGACGCGCAGCACACGCTGGAGGGCGAGCCTCCTCTCAGTCGCTGGGGCGGGCCGCGGCTGCTGGCGCTCTGGAACCGCTCGGCCGGAGACTGTCTACCGGACGCCGTGTGTCAGGCGGCCTACGGAGTGTTCGACCGAAGAAACGTGCTGCGGGCCGCGCTCGCTGACTCGCTGCAGAACGCTCACCGCGCCTTCTACACGCGCTGGGCGGCGGCCGAGCGGCTGCAGGCCGCCCAGCTACACTACGCGCCCGAGGAGCCGCAGCTGAGGGCGGAGTGGGCGCGCCTAGTGGCCGCGGCCGCCCGCCCCGGCACCGCCCTGCACCAGCTGCACGTGTTCGTGCTGGCTCATGTCATGCGCCGCCCCATAGTCGTGTACGGCGTCGACGTCGTCAACTCGTTCCGCGGCGAGGCGCTCGGGTACGCGCGCTTCCAGGGTGAGTGTTAGTCACAACTCACGAGTCCCTCTCACACCCTCGGCTGGTCCACACACTCACCCGTCTGTCCGTCTGTCCGCAGGTATCTACCTGCCCCTGCTGTGGGAGCCCGAGTTCTGCTCCAAGTCCCCGCTGTGCCTGGGCTACACGCGCGGCCACTTCTCTGCGCTGGTGTCGGTGGAGCCGTACTCTCAGCGCGACCACTACATCTGCCGCGAGCCGGCGGACGAGCCCGAGGACGTGACCTACCTGCCGCTGACGGACGCGGACGGGAAGCTGCTGCCCGTGCACTTCCTGACGGTGGACGAGCTGGCGGCCGAGGAGGCGCTGGTGCGGCGCTGGACGGGCGCGAGGGGGGGCGGCGCGGCCGGCGGGGCGGGGGGAGCGCTGGTCGTGGAGCAGCGCCTGCACGCGCGGCCCCTGCTGCAGGCGCAGATGCTGGAGGAGTGGCTCAACCACTACCGCCGCCTCGCGTAACTATTTCCCCTCTCTTTTCTTCTCTAGTTCGTCCCCCCCCGCCCGTGTACTTGTGTCTCACAGTCCTTCTATTCCTTGTTTCAGACAGCAGACCCGCGCTCCGTTCCCTCCACGACTCCAAACGGAATTCTCCAGCGACGCCGACACGGACGACGAGTAGCCCCCCTCCCCTCCCCCGCTCCTCCCCCTCCCCCGTCTCGTCTCTCCATCCTGTTCTGTACTCAATAGTACTGAGTCAGTCACTGAGTCAGCGGGACTCATTCCTCGTTCGCCTTCCGTCTGTCTACTCTCAGTTATATCGCTTAGAATTCTGCGGCTTCGAAATCGTAGGAAGTTATGAACTTGAAAAGAATTGTGATATTTGCTCATTTTCTATGAAATTCTAAAAACTATCGAATATATAAGAACCGCTAAGGTCGATAATAAGATGTAGGACGTCGAGTTGGACCATGAGTAACACTAGCTTAAGATGGACTCTCACACGATCACACACATACAACACACATACAGCGCTCATTGGTCGATCATTATTATTATAGATAATTACTTTACTTTTTTAATATTGAAGGCAATCTAAAAAAATTGAGGCATCCGCAAATAAACACAACATATACATAATATGTTATAAATAAAGTCGCCTGTCATCTCAATACATGGATTTATATGTTCAGAGTCGTATATAATGTTTGTGTTAGCTCCAGTTTCGTTACGTGTCGTTCTCTCATATTATTTGTCCGCGGCCACGTCACTCATATTATTTATAACTTATTGTATATAGTCGGACCCACACCTTACCGCCGGCCACACTCCTTACTGTATACTTGACTAACTCAACACCTGCACAAATGTCTTTTCAGTGACACTTGTTCAAGTGTGCATACATACATTCATTATGCTATAGATGACGAAAAGAAAGTAGTGGGCTTTATTTTAGCGGCAAAAAACAGAATTCAGAAAAGACACCAAATTATATGAACTAATTCATGAACTAAACTGGTTAATTTTTTTGTCCTTGTGGTGAGTTTTTTAGTTTTTACACGGCTCATACCTATATAGTCTTATTAATTCTTCTATGATAGCGCGGACTCCATACCTTTCTATAGTCTGTTAAAAAGAATGTACACATGTAGGTGGCTAAAACAATTCTGAAACTTGTGCAAAATGAAAATTGCTACCACACACTTTCATGTAAATTCGGTCGCTCACGCAATATTACACTAGTTAGGAATTGAAATTTGGAATTTTTTCAAAAATCTGTGCGTGTCTGAAATTTGTGCAGTATCGTAATATACGGTACTGCATACCTGTGCAAGTCAGGATTTGTGTGTGGCCGGCATAAATAGATTTAAATTTAAATTTTGCAACGGTTTTGATTTTAATTCAACTAATGTTATAAATACATAGAATGGTAATAAAGAAAATTACAGAAAAAAAAATCAAAATACTTAAACAAATATACTTAACTAGAAGTGTCAGCAACAAAAGTACATTATTGTATTTAATAATTATTTTCCCGATGTGCTAAAAATATTTGTAATGTATTATAACCTGCCTCCCACGTGACCGCTGGTTGGAACGTTTCTGTTATTCTTTATCTGTGCTCTTTATATACATAGCTAGTTTCGTGGAAGTGTACTGCGTCTGTTCTCTTAGAGCTAATATTAAATGATTGTAAGAAGGCAGAGTCTATTGAATTAACTATATGACGACACTGTACAGAGAGTATAAGCTAATATTTATTATATTTTTGGTTATTGTAAATAGATAAAATTGTTTTTGTGTATATTGATTATATATAGTGTACAGGTCTCGAGGGTGTAGCTGGGTACCTATAGTATCACGTAGTAAGACCCGCGCTACAGGTTCGCTTCTACGGTCGAGTATAATGATTCTTCCGAGTCTCGTTTCATTGATCGATTTTATATTTAAGATCTATAAAGTAAATATAGTTTTGCTGTAGACGTACATCGAACAACTTTAATAGTCCATAGTGAGTCGCACCGTTCCAGCTACATACATACATTAATATTTTTGTTACTTATTTTTTTATGCTTTGTTGGTTTCACAAATTATTGTATAACTTCGGGAGGGTTTATTATCACGAGTTTTATTGTAACTGTTTGTTTTTTTTTTCATCAAGACGTACAATTTAATTTTAAATTATGTACTTCTAATACCTACAAAAATTAATCAATAAAAGCACTTACTTTATGAAGCGTCCATGTTTTTTTCTCTTAATGAAAACTCCAACTCCTTGATTCCTTAATACAGATAAATTGGTCAGATCAAATAAACTTAACAAATATATTGCATGTACATAGATCAAACTATTGAAAATTATAATTTTTATCCCTAAAAAAAATGGATACTGAGTTGTAATTAAATAATGGAGGAATATTACGAAAAGATGCAATAATGGCCACGATGTTGAAGTATTACCTCGTCTTTAACCAACATACACTTTTATTTGTTACGAGATACTCATTTTTACTCATGCTCTATATAACTTGAGACTAAACCATTATAAGTTCAAATTGCAATTCTATTACTTTGTAAGTATCTAATTGGTTAAAAAGGTACCTGATGTGTGTTCTAGTAAAGTAACACACCGTACATGCGACCTTGCAATTCATAATATTAGTACGATATAAAAATTTATAATTACTTAGTTGTATAAATGTATTTGTTAACTTAAATCATATTTTGTGAACTGGGTTAGTAATACGACTGATCATAAACTCCTGTAATTTCTGAAATACTCGCAAGCACTCCAATTAGTTAGTTTTATATAGCGAGTAATCACAATGGAATGACACTTCATATGATTATGATAAAGTCGTTTGAATTCTGAGTCGTGAATTCGGAACGCACGCGCGGCGGCGCCCTGGCCTGTAGTCTGTACTCTGTCCTCGGAGCGCACTCGGCAATTCTCATATCACTTGACAGCTGTGCTTATAAAGAGTTCGCGTCGGTCGGCTTCATACAAAAAAACGGTTTTTAAATGTTATAAATGAAGTTTTAACAATAAGTTACAACTTATGTGTCAATATTCCTAGTTTGTGATGAGGCAGAAGAAATACACCTAGCAAATTTGTTGTGACTTGTGCTAGTGAAGTTTTATAAGAAGTTCTCTAGGAAAATGGGTGAGTGTACCGGCTTTTGTATTTTAAACGTATAATTATAAACAGAGTAGTATATTCGTCTTGTATGAACTATTTTCAAATATAACAAAATGTTTTAAGAATCTTGTTGGAATTCGTCCTCGTTTCGGGCGAGCGGCTTGTCCAAATTATCGATTTTTCTCATGCCTTTTTTTTGCAAAGGTTACATAGATTCATATAAACAGAGAAGTTACATACGAAAAAATAAGTTTTGTCCATTTATTTATTAATCAAATTAGAATTTTAAGAGTGGTATAGGATATTTTAAATAAAATATGATCTCAGTAGTACAAATTAATGTTAAAAATGGTTTAATATAATGAATTAACTCATCGTAGTCTCAGATGATATCTTAATGCTAAGTTGTTAACACGGTTGTGTGTATAAGTGACTATCACAGAGACACTAATCATATGGACCTTGAGCTGTTGCTACAAGGAAACCATTTTGTTATTATATATTTATAACAAAAAAAGTATTCACAGAGGCTGTAGTGAATCAATGTGAAGTCAAAATATTTCTATTTGTTGATGTAGCTATTATATACATATGGGCAGTAACAATGTTACTATATATGTTTGCTCATTATTCTCATATTATTTATATAAGTAATTCTTATGAATGTCTTATTATAAAATAATATTATAAATGGGGAAAAGAACAATACCTTCTATTATATCTTAGTGATAAATCATCTCTTAATATCTCTTATAAATCAAGTCCATTTCAATGCAATATATTTTTCTATACCGTCAGCAGTTTAAAGTAATTATGTGATAAAGATTGTTTATCAATGCTTTAAATTTAATCCAAATGTACAAAGATAATATTGTTATCATATGTGACACTCCTGTGTGATGTGAAGTAGGTTGATTGCTCGTACATATTTATTAAATAACAAAATTATGATCCTAGGATATAAATATAACATTACTCATATGTTAAATGAAGCTGTTCTGATACAGAAATTTGTTTTGTTCTCTAATTTATTTTAGTTTTTCTCTTACATTTTTCTTAACCGACCAGCCAATAATCTATATGCAGGTAATTTTTTAATATTTATGGTTATCATATTACAGTAGGGTGTGGTGTGGACACTCTATATAACATATATTATAATTGTACCGTTTGTATCTATATTACTTATTTTTGCATCAAAAGTCTAAATTCTGATAAAGAAGTGATATTAGTGTTGCAGTGCAGCGTTTGAAGTAGGTCAGCTCGGTAATTAACGTACATAAGGTTCCTAGGAGCTTTGATTACAGCATTTAGTGTGATGAGGTCAAAGGTGTATGAACTATGAAAATATGACCTGACTTAACATGAGTGATAGGAATGACTTTGTTAGATGGTTATAGTGTTACGACGTATTGGCGTGAAGGGATTTTACCGTCTTTTAATAACCGCATTCAATATTTTGGTATAACTTAAATAACAACGAGATTGTTATATCTTTTCGTATTACTTTCCAACCAATATTAATGCATTAGTTTTTTACGTTCATAATAATCAAACTGTTTGTTTATTAGCATTTCCGATTACTTTAAAACGTATCGTAGATCGTTTTCATACAAATATGTCATGAAACTTAGGAATACGGATATTAATGCAATATTTTCGGTAACAAATTAATGTCAATACGTAAATACATTATTAAATAGTAATGTTTAGTTTGGGAACATATTTCATGTGGTCAAAGCATGTTTGGAAATTTTACAATATTCTATAGAAAATTTATGAGAAACATATTCATTCCAATTATACCCAGTTCAAAACTTGAATATTTTTAAAATCATACAAATTATTAAGGAACTGTTCCAACAGTAGTAATTCGCATTTCAAGTGCTGAACAACAAAGTATTGGCGGTTGTTAGATGTCAGGGACCGGCCGCTGTCTCTATCGATCTATATTGTACTAGGAGGGCTTCAAACACTCATTAAGACCCTGCAGTGTTTCGTGTGGATAATTCGGGGTGACATACTACTAAATATATATTGGATTAGAATTAGCCGGGGGTCACCGGCTGACTGGCTGGTCGGTGAGGCGAGCGGCCGGAGAGACAACGAACATACTTCACGGATTTAAATGAAACTAATATTTTCGGATTTTACTTCGCGATCACGGTTGCTGAAAAGTAGCCGAAACGTCGGGAGTATGTACATAGTTTGTAATCAAAAATAAATATGCGAAGTAAAATCCGAAAATATTAGTTTCATTTAAATGAGTACTCGCGAAAATCTTAGATCTCATTATACTTCACTGATTATTATTATTATTTATTTATATATTGAACAACTCCGTATGGTTAATCTAAGTTAGCATCGACATAATACATACGGAACGTTAATACTTATTTGTTAATAAATCTTCACTCATTGTTAATGTGGTTTGTTGATTAAGATACGGGAAACGCGTCGTACGTAGCGTGACGAAGTAAACTCGGACTAAGTCCACTGATCCGATCCATCTATAATAGTAATAATACATAGTAACGGGCTATTTAAAAATATACAAAGGACATCAATTACATACCGAATATATTTTTATATTAATTATTGTATATATTTTACGAGTATAATTGTTTTTCCTGTAACCGATACGGGACATTGTTTTGCGGTAAAACCACTAAAACTGAATAAATGCACAAACCGCAGTTTAATGATATAACAAATTGAGCGACCGGATTGAAATCAATTATCGTTTTAAATGTTACTTTAATAATATAGGTTAGGTAGTATTAGTAACTATGCCCAGTGTTATTACTAATAATATTTAATTTCTTGTTGCATTTCTCCGTACTGCGTTTTGTTGTGTCTTCCCTTCACTTGTTGCATCTTACCTCATCTTCTTTCGTCATATATATATGTATATCATTGTATCGTCAATGTCTTGTGTGTTAGTATCTAGAGTGAGCGCGCATCCTTACTATACACTATGTGAGAATTGCATTTTGGCTTTTCTTTGGGAAATGCAGTGAGAATACCCGTCTGGATAGCGGGAAGATTATGTTAGCGCTATTGAGGTCTCTCTGCAGCGTAACTGACTTGTAGAAGGAGGTCGAACCTTACAACCCTCGCCATAATTATCGCGAGAAATATTTGTGGGGAGAGATCTTACCCTATCTCTGTACCCAGAACTCTACGCTGAGACCAATATATCGGATAGTCCTTCAAAGTGCCGTGCTTTGAAGTGAAGTAAAACTGCAACGACATTTTGACCTTTGCTGACACTTTACCGAGTAGATAGAAAACCTCCGTGTATAATAGTTTAAAATAGAGCAATCAGAACCGTTTGCAAATTTTCTCCCTTGGTCTTTAAGGGGTAGTCGGCGTAGGAGCACACTTGTTATCTTTCTCACTCGGGGCACGGGTCGTGTGAAATGATCTTCTATATGTTCCAAGGCATCACCTTACAGAAGACGAGCGATACATATCTCTCGCCCTTTCCGTTAATCTGTGAAATCCGTAAATTGTCCTTACAGAAACATCATTACTATTATTAGAATTCAATGAAACAATACAATTTATTGAGTATATAACTATTATATAATGTGGTACAAGTCAGCTTGTCTATCGAGTTATAAAATGAGTCGATTCTTTGAAGTGTAGGAGGGAAGGTAGTAATCAGTTCCCGTCCAACCCTGCCGGCTGGTCACCCAACATGTAGGTTAATGGCGTCTATTAAAAACTAATCCAATTTTCTATCGAATCGATCAAAGTATTAACTAAGTAACATCGGTTTTTATATATGTACGAGACTATAATATTATATGTGTTGCAAAACTGATGAAGAGACAGTCTGCTTGGTTATAATATAGCCTTACATGTTCAGTATATAATATGTTTTGTTCATTCTACGTGCAGTTTGATGTCGTAATAACGTTTTATTACTGAGCCCGGTCACCGGAGCGACGTTATACAACTCAATAAAATGTTATGTACGGTTTGATTAACATGCATGTGTATGACGGAACGGAGCACTGACAACATGCTGTGTGCATATACATATATACAGATATATGAATAACTGCTTAAAATAATAGAAACAATCAAACATCGATCAAATAATTAGTGATAACTGACATGTTACTTTTATTATAACTTTAAATACAATAATAGAAAAAATGGCGATAATGATTCGTCTCTCAACCTCATAACGTCATAATGTCAGTTGGAAAAACACGATTTAGTATGCGATAAGAAATATGTAACGCTCGGAGAAAAACGACGGAGGGACGGACTGAAATAAAAAATAATGAGGTGAGCGAGCCATGACCTCATAGGATTGATGAATATGAACTGTTGATGATACAGAGGATACGCTACGTGTGTATGAGGAGTGAAGGAAGAGTTATTGAACTTATTGTTTAGTGAAAAACATAGTTTGAGTTTAAGTTTCGTTTTTAAATTAGCAGAAGTGTTCATGCGAAGTTTAGATAAAAGTTATTTAAATAGAAAAAGCAATAATTATGTAATATATTTTTTTGTATTATTATGGACCATTAGAGAACTTTTAGAGACAGATATTCATTTATAGAATGGATGTACCATGTTATAGATGAGCGCGTGCAGGGCACAGGTTTGTTTTATTTAATGATCACTACATGTTAATAAGCCCGCTCCGCCTGTGTCGTCTGCATCCCTCCTCCTGCTCGTATGTGGGTGAAGGCGAGCCGGCGCCGCGCCCGCACCGCTTTATAAACACTTTACAATTATCATTATTATTATTTACATTACATACACACAGATAACAACTGTCATGTATGACTAGGTGATCTGCCCTTTCTCTTATGTATTTGAATTTTTCAAGGACTCTAACGCCAGGGAGAAGGAAAAAGATAGTTCCAATAGGTTGAGACCGAGTTCATACATGTCATGGTCATAGAAAACATGAGAGATTGAGTACGTGAGAACTGACATCTGGATGTATTGGATGTTGTACTGATGAGTTATGAGAGGCTGATGATGATTATGGCTAAAGCATCTGGTCCAACGTGTGGTTTCCTTCCTATTCATTTCTTCAGCAGCCCCTGTAAGTTCCAGGAACACCTCTGTGTGTGCTCCTCGCTCGCTGCTAGTCCGTGTTATTCTATATGATAAGTATTTATCTCCAGTTTCGCCTGTAATGGTTCGTGTAGATGTAGTGTGTTCCTCGAGCGGGCTCGCTCAGTTTACGTAGCGCTATTTCAGATTGTAAACATCATTTTGTTCGTGCGATGTTTGACTGGATGTTGTTCAGTGGAACACAACACATTGTATTAAACCTATTTTGGACTGTACACGGATTAGTATTAGTGGGTCGTCAAAACCTTACTTTAATAGGCTTCACATGTCACAATATTCCTTTGATTTTAATACACAATTCAACATTATAGGATCCATTAATTTTTATAATATTTTTCTCTATATAACCATGACCGCTCTCAGTCGAGATACCTTTGATTGTATCTGTAATTACATTTTAATTCAGTTTTTAACGAGTCCGGTGTTAAAATCGAGGGCGGACGGTTTTTATTCGTTAAAATATTTGACTTTATAAACTCACCTTATATAGAAATGAAAGCGATTCAACTCTGAATTTCTTTTCGTTTAGTTTTGCTCAAACGAAACGCGTTTTGATTACGAGCGTGAGATTAAATGTTTCTTTGAAAGCGTGAAAAAAAATGTTATTTGTATCGAATTGAATTGAAATAATATTGATACTAACAATTTATATTGTTCAAGCTGGAACAGTTCGATATCCCAGATGATGATTATGTTCAAATGAACAGCTTTCTACCTGAAGGAGCAGTTAGAGCTTGTGTCTTCATCTTCTCGATCCCTCTTTCTTAATCTTTTAAGATCTTCAATAAAAAGTATTGCACCTTAATATATATAACTTTGTTCTTAACCTGAAAAAGTAGAGAATAAAGAATGAAAACCTTGCGACTTGTTGTCTTCCAGTAATATGTAACGCTCATACATTCATAATGTTCAGTAACCACATAGTTGCCAGTTAAACTACTATTCCTATTCCATAGTGTGGTCAATATATGACAGAAGTTTTTTTATCCAACTATATTAAACACCAATATGGTACCGAGTACCACGTATCTATAAGTTTTATATTACACGAGCGTCCGAGAAAATATCTAAAGTCAGTTTGATCCAAATATATTAATACTAGCTTTCCGCCCGCGGCTTCGCCCGCGTCGAGTTCGGTTATATCGTATTTCCAAGAGAACTTTACAAGAGTCTGGGAAATAAACTATCCTATGTTCTTTCTCAAGGTCAATTCTATCTCTGTACCAAATTTCATTAAAATCAGTTCAGTGGTTTAGGCGTGAAAGCGTAACAAACAGACAGGCAGACAGAGTTACTTTCGCATTTATAATATTAGTAGGGATATATAGTATGAGTTATAATGTTTATAATATAGTCAATGTTTCATCTGAGCGTGTGTTAGTTCCTCTCCACCGAGTGGGAGTATCGTCGTGTCGTGTGTCGCGTTCCCTCAACATCTCTACTTTCGACTTTCAGTAACCTCATCCGAGGAACGGTTGAATGATCAATGACGAACATATACATGCGTCCGATATGTTAAATCGTCAACTTAAACTTTATCAATTAATTGAATATAAATTCTTTACAATTATATCACATTACCATCAGCCTTTACATCTGAGACAGGTGATTTAAACATATGGATATGGAAACATATGGATCCATAAAGTATATTTTTGGCCTTTTATAAAAGACTAGACTACACACACTATGAAGATCATTGTACAGTAATACCCCGCTTTACGCGAGGGATACGTTCCGAAGAAAATCGCGTTAATAACTGAAATTCGCGTATATCGAGGTTTATGATTAAACACACTCAAAATTTTATACACAAATATAAAAATCATTTTAATCAATCACTTTAATTCTAAGAACACTATACAATACATAGGTACTCCTATTTTTTACGAAAAAATACATGTATTATCTTTTGGATAGAGTTTTGTTTACGTTCTTGTAAAATACGTTCATAACACCAAACACTTTTTTTCAATCGTTTGACACACGTTCAAGATACGGTCATCATTATTGTCTATACTCTGCAATATCCCAACTTGAATAAATTTTTGTAAATCGTGTTATAGTGAAACCGCGCACAACGGGGTCGCGTTAAGCGGAGTATTACTGTAATAGCTAAGTGTGAACGATGAATGAACATGTTTTCATTATGATCACTTGTGAACATACTAATTGATCACTCTGTACTGTTCTCATCCACCATTCGTTTCATCATCATCATGTGTTTGTGTCAGAAGTCTTCAGTACAGTCTCTCTGTTCGTGATAACTGTTGCTCCTGATGTATATTCTGTATGACACTAGTTGTATCTAAGTAATCGATTGACTCATTCGATAAATCATTATAATATATTGATAAATTTCAACACTTTTTGTATGTTAATAAGTAATCAATATATCAGTAAAACGATAAACTCATGTGCTTACTATTTTTATAATTACCTTTATTTTGTGTAATGTATATACAAATAGTTCATATATTAACGTGTCCTGTGTCTGTCTGTTCGTACGTGCCGAGTCTCTCTCTCTCTGTCTCTCCGGTGTCCTAATATTTCTGTTGGTGTGTCATTTGAACGTGTGGTAGCGGAGTGTCCGGTCGCCGATCCCGGATGTAGTCCATATACAGGTGACGGACAGACTGCCTCGTAAACTATACAGAGTGTGAGGGGAGGAGGTACACCTTCACTGTCAATACTTAGGACTGACACGAGCACTAGCCCCGGGTCAATACACACGCGACCTCCTGGAGCCGCTCTCACGACGTTATTGGTGCTGAAGTGAACAGCTTTCATTTCCGTCCGCGTAATGTTATAATTATTGTTTTGAAGTAGTATTTAATGACTGTAGGTTGTGTTGTGATTACTTCATCTTAAATGTCTATGATTACTAGCTGATTGTTTATTTTCTTGGCGATTTTTCATTATTATATCAGAGCGTATTATATATTATATTCATCATAATGTATTCGATGATGTATAAAGTAATAATTCCCCGGAGGCCCGTGTAACGTGGTCAGGTCCATGTATTGCGCAACTTAAATGGAAATCAGTTATATGATGTCTGTTAAAGAAATGTCGCAACACAAACAATTTGTATTGTTTTGTGGAACGGATCCAGTTTTTACTTGAGCAATCGAAATTTTCATGTAATGATCGTCTTACACCAGGGGCTTCGGTTAAGAGATTAATAATAATTTCGGTCTCAATTAGATTATATACTTAAAGTTTTGAAGTACGTACGGTTGTTGTCAATCGTAAGAGCGAAGGTTCGACATCCTCAAGTCTCAGAGAGGGCGGCCGTCACGCTCCACGGACACCGCTCCTGGGAAAATATAGTTTTTGTATCAGTTGTTAACTCTTTGTACCACGAACGATTACAGTTTTGGCGAAACGTGACGACGTTTTTATAAGCTTCACGGACGTGATGTGCTTCCTTAGTCAACCATATCGATATTTATAATACAAACCCTGCTCGTCTAGTTACAGTCATGTACATACATATACATATACTTATATAGCATGATATACACGCTGATTCAAGTCATACATTTAAAGTGTTTCGGCACACTTTCATACATATATTTTTTGTAAGTCTTGCAACACTAAAGCAGCATTCCCAGACTGATTCCAGTTGACAACTGCGGAGTTTCCGAAACAACTTTTTGTTATGTTTATTGCGACGGCGTCGTTTTTTTCCTTAAATCATTCGATTCGGTTTTATTAACCCTCACATAGAAGTTGACAAAGTACGCGCGTTAATTGTTTTATGTTAAATAAAATTACGTTCAAACAAGTTGTTATTTCGCGCCACTTACCGCGACCTTGACATCGTAATACCGAATGAGAAACTTGTATTAGTCATCGACTGCCGAAATCTGTGGTGAGTTCAACGGCCATAAATCGTCTCCTGATGCCAGTCCACATATGTCTGTGTCATTAATGAACATCATCACCGTATTGTTTTCTGTCCCTCCTCGTCTTCGTCTCCGGCGCAGGTCCCCCTGCCCCCTGTCTCTAGTCTCAGTAGTCAGTCGCCAGTTCAGTCCGCGGCTCCGTAGCGCGCGGTCTCTGCGGCAGTCCGTGTCACGGCTCACCTCTCCAACGCTAACGTGTCTGATATAATTCCGATACGGTTCCGCCAATAGCGGCCGGTTGTTACACGAACACGAACGATAAACTATCAGCGGTGTGCCGAATCGAAATTTTTCACAGCGGTCGACGCCGTCCCGGTAGTGAGGAGTGCTTTTTCACTGGATTCTGTTGCCTCCGGTACATTATCCCTGTGTGAGTTCACTGTGCGGGGCTGAGACGAGCTCAACATGAGACCCAAGGATGGGTTGGACGCGAAGATCCAGACGGGGACCTTCATCCTGTCTGAGAAGATAGACGACACTAAAACGAAGAAGAGCGAAAAGGAACTGAAGAAGGAAATGAAGAAGCTGGAGAAAGAGAAACAGGAACAAGAGAAGAAGGAGAAGAAGGCGAGGGAGAAGGAAAAGGAGCGGGAGAGGCAAGCGAAGAGAGGTGAGAGACTTGTAAGTTCCGTCCTGTAGGACGGAACGAGGGAATTAGGTGCGAGGAGGTGTTGCGTTATCATGATGTCATCTCGGGCTTTAAACACATTACGGAGTCTCAAGATGACGACACTTAACAATTGAATTTTTTCCTCGATTGTGATTCTCGAAGTTTATAAATATTTTTGTGTCTCTTACATCATCCTCGGCCTTGGCGATACGTAAACTTATCAAATATTCATGCATATTTAATTGCTCCGTCGTTATCTACTCACGGATAGCGACGGCTATTACATTTTATACAGTACGGCTCTAGGACTACACTATCTCGACCGATCGGCATTACGAGAACGACTTCGACGAATGGCTGTGTGTGTGTGTGTGTGTGTGCGTGTCTCACAAGGAGAACAGCAATTATTATTTTTGGCAATTAAATTTCGTCAACGACCGAAAGAATTAAAGCATTTTAAGGTCGTCTGTATATTAAAAAGTACTCAATGTTTCGCCACACTTGAACGTTTTATATATAGCGAACGAATTTCTGAAAGTGAGAGCGTTTCTGGAAATCCGTTCTCGTATGTTCAAAAATAGCTTTATAAATAATGAGAGTTGATGCACGACGCTGACGGGAGACGCGCCGCTTTAAATTTAATATTATGAAATTCTTTGACATTAATATAGACCGAGAGAACTGAAGTGGCTTTATTAACATAATGAAATGAACTAAACGTAAATGTTGACGCGAGGCTGTACGGAGATGTTGCTAATGGAGGGGCTCGAGGGAGAGGCCCGGAGCTACATGAACCATGTTTGTTTAACATAGTCAAGTAATACATTAGTCAGCTCCACAACAAGTGCCAGAATAACATCAGCTTCGCTCCAGTTGTATTGGGCCGATCTCTTTGTTGAGAGTGGGTTATCGTTTGATGTTTCTTTCATGTTTTAAGTAGTTCTAATTATATTTATATAATCACTCTCTGTATGTCAGTAGAATGTATTATAAAGCTCGTGTTTATGTTGAAGGTAACAGTTATACTTCAATGTGTCTATACCTTACACCCTTTCACCGTCCGTCGTGTTCTCAGTGAGTCTCCCTCCTCAGGCAGTAGGGCGCGGTGAAACTCACCAGTGCCGTCATTGAGCGCTCGTTTTCCCTCAATTAACACATGTTTCTGGGGCAGCATTCAGATCCATTGTTTTAATTACTTTTTGAAGGGCCTTCTTGAGTTATAATAGAAAAACTTTAATATTCGATTACAGACGATCGCAATCATATCGCTAACTCAGGGTGGAAAGTTATTACCATCTAAGCGCGAATAGCATCAACTCGTGTTGTATCGACCCGAACGCGTTCTCTAAAGTCTACTCCAACAAACTGTTGTACTTTGCCGCTCGCCTTTTTCTAGCTCTTTCAAACTCTCCGACAGCAAGGTGTTGTGTTCTAGGCATCCAGAGAAATCCCGGGTAGGAAACCGTTCTGGTGATTTGGCCTAAAAGAACTTTGTGCTGGAGTCATGAATCCGCGTCATTCTCGTTTGTTAGGACCCGAGAAAAAGATTTTAGATATTGTATTTTGTTTAAGGCTTATCGTCTAGTATCCTTCGGATCGGTTAACTCGATCTTTTTTGGGAATGAGTACAAAAAAATTTGCTTTTCCCCGAAGAACACTCCGGGGATTGCTTCCTTGACCAGATTTTGCAGTCGTATATATTTAGGAGGTGGTTTGCGACTAACCGGATGGGGGACATTTTTTAACGACTATATATGGGATACCATCCGGGCCCGTTGGCAGATTTAGATGATTTCCTCTTTATGTGACTACTTATTTCGTCTAACGTTGGTGGTTATGCCGTGAAAATCGGATATGAGGGGAATTTCCGGGTTTTTGTTCGTTTTGGAAATCCGTATAGAGCCTACCACTTTTTAGGCACTTCGTATGTGCGCTTGACGAAATGTCCTCAAATGTGATCGTTTGGTCAGAGAAGCCTGTCCGCGTTCTTTCTTAATAATGGTTTTCTCGATACTCCATAAGGGGTTTTAATCAAAATCTACTTCCTGTTTGGCACGGTCAAAATTACCGCGCTATTCTGCAGTTTGTGCCGATATTCCTTGAATTAATTTAAGGATTTGATCTTAACGCCCTAACTAGCTGATGACTAAGGTGGTTGCCGCCTAGAGCTTTGGCTATAGGGCGTAGATTTTTATTACTTACCGTTTTTTCTTCCTCATTTTATCCTTGAAACGAATTTTCTTATTTTTGTTTTGCGAGCACAAACATCTCTACGGCTATAAAGGAATTCTTGTGTTAATTTCTTCATTCAACATATCACAGTACACTGTTCTGTGTTACACATTGACGGCATACCGATCACCCACTGAAAGCAACTTGGACGTTTATAGAGACAGATGGTATGTTGAGAATGTTTTCACAGGGACATAGTTATTTCTTCTATTTCGTAGTCTGTTAGATACTCGACTTTATTTTTAGACTAACCTCTTTAAGATCCCTCGTCTAGTAATAACATAAGAACAGTTGTCATAATGGTGTAACTGTATTTTGTATAATGTCTGTCACGAGCCGAGGGTCGGCCTGTACTGGTTACAGTTACGAGACTCGTGTTGAATTATTCAACCTTAAGGATGGTAATTACATAAATCGTCCTGAAGGTCGCTTGACTTGTAATCATCGTCGTCATCTCAATGTCTTCACGATCCTTCCTCTTCATCTTAACTAGTCACTCCTCCCGGTGTTGTTCGTATGCCCTCTCCGCCGTATTCGTCACTAGATGCTGCGTGTTAATCACCGGACGTTCTAATTACACCCTCCATTATCACGAATTCCACGGAATGTTTCGAATTATTCCATTTTCTATTTATGTTGCTTCTGATTAAATCCTTCCTAGTTGTTCTCTTGGTACAAAAAAATCTTTTGTATAGTCGAGTGTTTAGTTCGTGTTGTGTTGTCTGGCGCGTGTCCCGTGCGTGGAGATAATCCTAATTAGTTCTCAATATATGAAATTAATCTCTAAAATCATATGTCCTTACTTGGATATGTTTATTCTATTTTCGTTCTTTAAAAAATTTTTTTTATCCCTTTTCGTCACTAACATTCTATATTTGGTCGGAGGGTTGTTCCCGCTGGATATGTTTTTAAATAACATTTATTTTTCGTCGTTTGCTTGTTCTTTAATCAACGCCGGAAATAATTAGTCACAAACAAATTATTGAGCGGTTTCTTAGTAATTATTAATGACGAAATTCGGAAAATAAAAATATTACAAATGTAATTAATCAATTAATATTTCACGGATACAGTTACAAATATAATAATAAAAGCAAAAAAATATTTGCAGTAATAAACGATTTACTTCCAATTAAAGCGTTTATGATCCAATAAATGTACGCGGCCATAAAGTTCTAATATTTAATTATATTTTATGCATCCTTATAAACTCCTAGTGAACTTGTTGATTTATTTGTCCGTCGCGCGAGTGTTTTTAAAACAGCATCGTTAAACGCTTGAATGCAGCATGTCGCCGGGAGTCGCTTAAGGAACTATTTATATATGGAAGTATGTCCGCGGTTATTAATACACGAAGGGTCTGGCGCTCCAGGTGTGTAGGGTAGGGAGGACAGACGGACACACATCCTGCTACTATATATAGGGCGATGTGAACTTGGAAGTAAACGACCACACTTGATATTATTAGTGTAGTCTCTGTATGGAGCTCGTATAATGTAACCTAATTTCGGTTTAGTAAATATCATCGTACATAGATCTGTTGTATCGGAGCGTGCGTTATCACAGTACAGTCAGTAATGCGGCCGATAATGAGACGACATTGAGGTGTCATTCATTGATTGCGACATTACACTCGACATACACCCGCGCCGCGCCGGCACATCTGACTGTAAACACTCCGCCCTCTACATACATACATTATACTGAAACTATGAGATATCGAGACTTTAGTCAATAAGGATTTACTTTATATTAAACGGAGTCTAGTGCACGCGGCTGTGAACGTAATAGTAACATAATAAGGAAATGAGTCCGTTGATGCGTGCGAATAAAAAAAATGTTCGATATACAATTATATAAACACGGGCATATCTAGTTATTATACATGTAGTACGTGTGTGTTCCTGGTTCATATTAACGGTATGTCCCAGTGGCTGTAATGTGTCTCTCGCCCTGTGTCCTCCGTCTTCATGTTATAGTAATGTTCTTTATCAGACTCAATGTCTCTACCCCTGTCACTGTGACTTAAGTACAGTATATTTACTACAAGTCCACATCTTCACACTAAGTATATACAAATCGTTTCCCGTTTAATAATAATGTACTTTAAGATAATGTGCGATGATTATAAATTACTTTTAACTCCCCGTTTGTTGTGTGACAATATTCACTGTTAGTAAGGGAGCATCAGATGTTATTATAATAATTATTCGCATCAGTTATAAGTTTCGTGAAGGTCGATCTCGTCACCCACGGTCGGTCGCCTCTTCTCTTTATATTACACAGCTGCGTGAATATATTTTGTGTTTTTTTTTGTCAAGTCTTATAAAGCAAATTTATAGTGTTCGTGTGATTTCGTTTGAGTCACTAAAGTTATATATACGTATATGTAAAGTTGATCCGAGCTCGTTGTTCTGTATCTGATGTGTAAGCGATATTATTATGTTGATGATACATTTAGTTCGTTTTATCTCCTACATTCTGCGTTATTATTTTTATCAAGTCAGTTTCGCGTACTCTAATACATCTAAATATACATCTATATTTGAAGACTACACGTGACGGTAGCACTACTCAGTACCCGGGGCGATACAATACATCTTATTTATTTTCTATATAAAACCTGTTCTTGTTCATAATACAATAAGATTTTCCTCATAAATCGTATTTAACACGGTGTATGAAGTCGATTGTTGTTGTAAGTGAACTCTCCGTGATAACGACGCTCTCTGTTACAACACACTTGTTGAATACAACTAATGCTACTA